ATTCGTAGGCTTATGTAACACCCAAACCACCGGGACCGGCCTTGGGGACTTCCCGGCCGTAACTTACCACTAAACCTTAAAACATAGTCCCGTGACCTCTAAAAAGTGGACAAGAAGTTGATACATAAAAAAAGACACAGACATAAAACGCAGAGACAAACACACAAACAGGACAGAAACAAGACGAGAGAAAGCGTTAGTGGACGCCACGAGGAGGCCTTTCAGTAGCCGACCGACCGCTACTTCGGAAGACTGTTTGATGGGGGTGGGAGCTATGGAGTCCATGCACGAGGATGGACACTGGGCATCTCCATTTCCATGCATCCCCGTCTTCTCCCCGACCATGGCTCCGGTAGTCTCTCCTTACTTCTTCTCCTTAACTACTTCTCTTTTACTTCTTCTTCGTCTCCTCCTCCTGCTCTTTTACCGGTTGGCTACTCTCACGTCATAGCTCCTTTCACCCGTTTTATCTTTTCTTCTTCCTTTCCCTAGTTACATACCTTACAAAAAATGGCCCGCAGCATCGCCGACCGCCTCCTCACCGTTCGCCGGGAGGATGCAAGATGTCCAAGATAAGTCCATGCAGATCGGTCCACTGGGGCCCGGCTTAATTTTTTTTCTTTCACTTCACTTCACCTCTCTTCACCTCACTTCCACTTCCCCTATCCGCCGTTTATGAGTATCGCTTACTGGCCGGAGATGGCAGGCATACTCCGTACATAGTTGGAAACATAATCATCATCCTTATCATTACGGCTGTCCCGTCTCCGAGGATGGACGGCGTTGATTGATTGATTGATTGACTGACTGTTCCATTTCAAACATGAGATATACCCATGTCCATTGCCTTTATTCGGACTTTCATGGATGGGCATCCCATCGATCGATCGTCCCATCTAGTCCTGCAGACACCCCGGTGTCGCAGGCTGGCTGGTGACTTACATACTAAGAGAGATACATACCCTCTCCCTGCCAACGGTGGGCAGTTACTTACTTTTAAATGAAACATTTCACCTTTTTGCTTCTTCCCAGGGACATGGACAGGGCTAGATGGTTTGTGCGACCTCCTCACAGTCGGTAATATCCGCCGGGCAATCCACCGAGTAAACTACTAACTAATACTTATTTCGTTCACGGCTAACGGTTAAATGGGACTTTATTTTGACTGTCATTTAATTTATAGTCCCTGGCTATACAGCAGTTCACCTGACTAGCTGGCTGCCCAGGGTAGAAGAAGTTAACTAGGTGGTTGCTTATGCGGCCTGAAGCCTCTTCTCGATCTCGATGACGTCCATCTCGCTCTCGACTTCGATTACTCGGTTTACCTCCGCCGTGCTCCTCATCAGCTCCACGGCACCGGCATAACTCATCCGCTGTGTCGGGTTGCAGTTCTCGGGCAGGTAGTAGAGCAGCACATAGGGGACGGCAAGGCGGCCAGCCTGTCAGGTCAGCATACAAGTAACAGCAGCAGCAGTAGTAGAAGTAGATAGGAGTAGGTACCAGGGTCAAGGGATAGCTGAGTAGGATGAATCGAGGTGAAGAGTCGGGTAGCTCGTCTGCCAGATCTTCCATCTTGGAGTAGACCTCCTCGTCCACCGGCCGGATCTCCTGGCTCTTTGCATCGATCATATCTATCCCGTTATTAGCCATGCTAGTTACTGCCATTCGCCGCGGCCCTGCTTTCTCTTCTCATACATATTATAGCCTGCGGATCTTTGGCTCTCGAAGTTCCCAGGCGGAACTTGCGCAGCTTCTCTCTCGTCTCGGGAGAGAAGGAGTACAGGCGTGAGTCCGACTGGCGGCGTTAGCTAGCTGGTTAGAGTGCACTTAGCACAGGAGTCGCTTTCATACCATGGTTTTTATCTTCTTTGTATCTGCTGCTGTCTCTCGCTGCTGTTCATCTGGTTGTTTTGGCGTAGATAGGTAAATAACACCAGCGAGCTGCAAATGTGGGGTGAGTCGAGTTTGCCTTTCAGCTGCTCCTTTTTTCCTCTCTTTTTTTTTTCTTTCTCATCCTTAATCCTTACAGCAGCAGCAGCAGCCGCAGCTCTTAACAACCGTCTATAATCTACGTCTACGTCTCCGTCGAATTGACTTGCCCATGTATAGTCGCATAGGCCAGGTGATCCGCCATCTCAGCCGTCCACTGCCCAACTACGCCCACAGCTCTGCCGCCGCATTCCCGCCTTCGTCGCTATCGCCAATGACATCATCGTTAGCATCGCCGTCAGCGGCCTCCTCCGCAACGGCACGCGAGAACTTCAGGAAGACCATTTGTACGGCGGCATGTCTGGTCATAGGCGATGAAGTGCTAGGCGGTAAGGTGTGCCATCCTCTCTCTCCTGTCCTGCTTTCTTTCTTTCCTCAATGGACTGTGACTGACGATGACTTGCGTTTGGGTAGACGGTCGATACGAACTCCCCGCACTTTGCGGAATATTGCTTCTCGCTCGGGATACAGTTGAAGAGGGTAGAAGTCATTGCAGATGAAGAGAGCGAGATCGTCGAGGCTGTCCGGCGGATGAGTGAGAAATATGACTTTGTCGTGACCAGCGGCGGCATTGGGCCTACGTACACCACCTACCTTGCTACAAGGCACATCTTAAACTGTTACAGAAGAGAAGACTGACTTTCTTCAAGACACGATGATATAACGTACCAATCGATAGCACGCGCATTCAGCCTCCCGCTCGTGCTGCACGAACAGGCCTTCGAACGCATGCGTCGTCTTTCCAAACCTCAACAGGCAGGCCCAAACTTCAACTGGGACACTCCCTCCGATGCCCTCACGGCACGACTACGCATGGTGCAGCTCCCAACAGACAAATCCCTCCCCCTCAAAGACCAAGCTCTTTTCATCGACGACGAGCTCTGGGTGCCCATCACCGTTGTTAACGGGAACGTATTCATTCTTCCAGGCGTGCCGTCTTTGTTCAAGCGGCTGCTGGTAGGGCTTAAGCCAATCTTGCTTCCTCGTCTGATTGATCCAGAGGGGAAAGGCATGCATAGGATACTCATCTCTACTCCGCTGGTGGAGAGCTCGGTGGCGGCTTACCTGACCGAGCTTGCGGCGCGGGTCGAACCAAAAGGCGTCAAGGTAGGGAGCTATCCTCGTTGGGGCAGGAGGAGAAACACAGTTACCTTGGTGGGAGCGGACAGGGAGTATTTGGAGAGTCTTGTTCCGGAGGTCGAGAAGAATGTTGAGGGTAGGAGGGTGCAGAGGGAGGACGAGGATGATCCCGAGGATGTAGAGGAGGAGAAGATATAGGCTGTTTTTGGCATCTTAGCCGCGCTCCTCTTTTGGTATACGCTTGGGTTACTTGATATATACATTATGTTCGCATAGAGGAATGACTAGAACTGGTGGCGCATCTACTACGGCCGCTTATTGGCTTCTTTAAAGAGAAGAGGTGCGTACATGCATACCTTTGAGCTATTTTTTATATGAAAGAGGAAACAAAGAAAGCAGCCTAGCAGTGAGCGGAGATCAAAAGGGTAAGTAGAACACATCAAGACAGATTGATAGAGATAGAAGATAGGAAGATAGGAAGATAGAGAGATATGAGAGCGTAACTGACTGACTGACTGATTGACTAGTGTAGAGACTGTATATTGGAGGGGATATCAAGACACAATAGAGACACGCAGAGGACAGCAAGGAAAAGAAAGGAGAGCAAGACCAAGGGGAAAAGAAGTATACTGACAATGAAAGAGAAGAAAGAAAGGAAGATGAAGAAAAAGAATAAGATGTAGACAAGAATTTAAAAAGAGTAATTATCTTCCCGGTTCAAGCTCGAAGACTTTAGAGGACGAGAGAGATCGTCGTGGTAGAGCAGGTAAGATAAGGTAGGTAGGTATAATTAAGGGAGTATGGAAGTAAAGAAGTAACAAAAAGGGAGTATAAGAGATATGAAAAGACAAGGAACAGCACAAGGAAAAGGAAAAGAAAAAGAAAAGGAGATATGGAAATAGAATTAGGAAATAAACAGACCGATAGATAGATAGATGGATAGTACTGAACTGGAATGTGTATATGGCATGGCATGGTGGTTGTTGGTGGTGGCGGTGGTGATGTGGTATAATGTGGTATAAAAATAGAGGCATGGGACGCACGAACAGACTGACTGACGGAGGGAAAGGGATGCAAAGAGAGAGACACGAGGGAGTAAGAGGAAGCAAGAGGAAGCAGACAAACGAGGCTGATAGCAACAGGAGCAAGGAGTAAAAAGCAGAAAGGGAGAATAGACAAGGGGAAAGGGAAGAATTATATATCGACATCCATGAAGTTCCAGATGGGGAAAACAAAAGAAAGGAGGTATCAAGTGCACCTGAGGTATCCAGATGGTCAACCAAAACTGCGCAAAACTCGGACCGGTCGAGAAAGTAGTAGAAAAGAGATGATTCTTTATATCTTTTTCTTTTCATTTGGCGCGGCGGACGTTGGAGGATGGTCGGTCAGTTGGTTGTATGTTGTATGTTGAGTGCGGTTTCGTTCGAAGACAGCAGCAACAGGTCGGCTGCTGCACGTCCATGGCTCGTTCCATACTTCGACCGTCCTCAGGCCTGATCCTGGATGCAATCGTGACGTTGATGATGGGCTTTTTTGTTCTTTTTTTCTTCTTTTCTTCTTTGCTGTTAAATGGCTTGCTTTTCCTTTTTGTGAGAGATCGATCGTACACCCGCTGGGAAACCCACTACCTCTCTGTTGCGCGTCACTTCGTTTCTTTAATATCAGTCGAGATTTGACCATTTGACCCTCCTTTGCCCTCGGCTGACTCCTAGTATCCCGTCATCGTTACCTGTCTCTCTCTCGCTCTCTCTTGTCCTGCCCGCCTGCCTGCCTGTCCATCTGCTTGCCCGCCCGCCCGTCTCTCGGTTTTCCGTGTTTTCTTTCTTTTTTTTTGGAGAATGTTTTTTTTTGGTTTGGTTTATAATCTGGTTCATTCTTTTTTTACATGATGATGCACTTGGCGCAGCAGCCGCCCTGTTCGCCTTGGTCGTCGACGTCCATCTTGCCCTCTGGACCTCGGGATCCGAAACCACCACCGCCAGAGGAGTAAGACGACATCTCTTTGTTGTATCGGCGGATCTCTCTGACGATATCGTAAAAGGCGTTGTCGACGTTGATGCGTGACTTGGCTGATGTCTCGATGAACTTGCATCCGAAGCTCCGTGCTAGTTTTTCACCATCTACCGAGAGTTAGCATCGAGTTGATCATGTTTCGAATGACGATGTTGTTTTGTTCGTATACGGGGAGACGGTATACGAAGATACGGAGACGGAGATGGGGGGAGGAGGAGACGCACCCTCTTGTGAAACTTCTCTCTCCTTTTCCAAATCGCACTTGTTGCCTACGAGGATGATGGGGAAGTAGTCCTTGTCCTTGACTCGGAGTATCTGCTGCTGGAAGGTGATGATTTCTTCAAACGACTGTCTGGAGGTGATGGAGTAGACGAGCAGGAATCCCTCCCCGGTTCGCATGTACTGTTCTCTCATGGCGGAGTACTCCTCCTGGCCGGCGGTGTCGAGCACATCTAGTAGGGCGACCTCGTCGTCGATAACGCATTGCTTTCTGTATGAGTCTGTGACGGGATGAGCCTATGTACGAAGAGGTAGGGGAGAGGCAAGGGGGAGGAGCAGGTGAAACAACGACGACGACGGCGACGATAACGACGAAGAGCAAGGAGAAGAAGACGACGACGAGGAAAAGACGAAGAAGAATAGAGAAGATGGACGGTACCTTCAATTGTAGGGTCATATTCGTCGACGAAATGGCTCTGGATCAATTGGATGGTGAGACAGGATTTACCGACACCACCGCCGCCGACGACGACCAGCTTGTATTCTCGGAGATACTGCAGACGGTTAGCAAGGCGAGAGCAGGAGAAGAAGCAGGAGAAGAAGAAGAAGCCGGCTTACTCGTGAGGCCATGATGATGTGTGAGAAGTCGTAGCAACAGGAGAGAGTGAAGTAATGGGAGAGAAGGACAGCACAAATAAGGGGAGCCTTCGAGGAGGAGAAAGACGACCGCTGGTTCTTCCTCTTTCTAGATGGATTCTCGACAAGTCGAAAAAAAGAGAAGAGAAGCAGAAGAGATATAGAAAGACGTCAAAAGGTCAAGGAAGAAAGGGCCAAAAAGGAAAAGAAGAAAAGAAGAAATAAGTATCAGAAGCAGAAGCAGGAGAAAAAGCAAAAGGGCAGCTTTTCTTAACTCCTTTTTTTGTTACCCCAAGGAAGACGATGAAGGCGATGAAGATGAAGATAGAGGACTTGAAGATGAAGAAGATGGCAAAAGGAGAAGAAGAAGAAGATGATGATGAAGAGGAAGACTTCTCTTGCTTTTCTCTTCTGCTGGCTAATTATTTATTAAAAAGAAGACTCGCGACTCGCTTCCTGCTTGACCTCGACCTGTAACTCTCTCGGTGTCTCTCACTGTCTGTCTCTCTTCGCTCTATCAGAACGAAAAGGAAAAGGAAGAAGAGAGAGAAAAAGGGAAAAAAGGGAAAGAAAAGAAAAGAAAAGCAAAAAAGAAGCCAGAAAAAGGAAAAATAGAAAAAAGGGACCGCTAAGAAGTAAGTAAGTGTGAGTAACTGACCTGACTACGGCGTCCCTACCAACCACTACTCCGTACAGAAGACAGGAGAAGAAGACAGGCAGGACATCGAGATGCAGCTATCAGTCAACTGCAGGACAGACTACAGACTACAGATACTTTGTCGTTGCTTCTACTTGGTGGGATTGAGTCGGGCTTGACATGCGAGTGAGTGACCATGCAAGCCATCGCGGGAATCAACGAACGAACGAACGAACGAACGAACGACAGCACCATGGACGATAACTCGCATCGACAGGCAGACAGGCAGGAAACTTCATCTCCCAGGCGGATCCCTGCAGCAAGAAGGACGCTGGCGTCTCAGCAAGCAAGACGACGGCGCGTTGAGGCGGCTTCTGCATGAAGCACAACAGCAGGCACGAAGATCTACGGCAGGCATCACTATCACCCTACGGCCACTATTACACCACAGTCACCAGCATATGAAGAAATACGGAATACTTAAAAAACCCCGTTGGCACGTTCTCCGATTAGTACTTAGACAGCCAGTGGAGCTGCGAGGAAGAAAGAGAGAGAGCGAGAAAAGGGGGTCCCGCCGGGCTTTACTTTTTGATACTTAACGCCTTTTTTTGCCTTGGGAGGGAAGAAAGGGGATTGACTGGACTGGACTGGACTTGGGCTGACTTTTGACGCCGGAGATTGCGAGCATCCACTCGCCCTCTCTGGTACTACATCAGCCAGGCTCACCCAGCTAATGATGTACCTACGATAAGCCTATAAGCCTCCCCCGGGGAAGGGAAACGGCCGGCCTTTTTTCATCACAGTGGTTGCCAGGGGAGCAGAGCAGCAGCAGCCAGGCAGTCAGGCAGGTAACTAACTTAGCAGCTCTAGCCAGGCAGCCAGGCAAGCCACTTGGTCTGTCCTGCGAGCTTTGGGGGCGGTCACAGGCAGGTCTCTATTCGCTGACAGGCTCTCTGGCTTCTGGCATCTGGCTCTGGCTCTGGCGCGTCGATGCGATATGGCGCCGTAGCTTCTGCTCTTACTCCTGCTGCTGCTGCCTGCGTGCTTATCTAGTTCCTGCATGAGACTTTAACCTATATGGAAGCAAGCATGGAGACTGCCTAGACACCTGAACCTGGAACCGGAGGCTGGAGACTGGAGACTGGAGTGCATGTCCCTTTAACACATGCTTTTTGCTGCTACTTTCACTCCAGTCAACCTAGCTGACTGGCTAACAGCTACAGCTTTTTACGTACACGAAGCTGCCGACCTTGATGGAGATACTCCATAGTTCCGCTATCTCGCTGCTCTCCGGCCAGTAACTACCAGAACCGCGTCAGGGAGCCAGGCAGTTGAGTACTTCGTTCAGCCCTGTCAGCGTTTCACTCGCCACCAGCTCTCCCTTGCTTCGACAGCCCGTCACCCACGTCTCATCTCGGTGGATGGGATGCTTGCTTAGCTGCTTATTACTGCTTAAGTTACTCCTTGCCCTGCTCGTCGGCTCGCTGGCCGTTTTTCTTTTTCTTTCTTTTTTTCTTTTTCGACATCAGTCTTCCTTTTTTTGCAACTGGGGCAACCAACGCCGGGCAGGCCATGCGGACCAAACCCCTGGCCTGGGAGTTTCGGATGTACATATGTACTCTGGAGGCACATCATGACATCGACTGTCACCAGCTACAATTGCAACTGCAACTGCCTGCTTACATATAATATATACGTGGTAACCTTCTACCACTTGCATCTGTAAGCAGCAAGCAAGTCACATCCAACGCCGTCGACGCGCTCTACGCTGGCACGAGAGACAGCTCAAGACATGCTCTGGCCGGAGGATTCCCGATCTTGGGCTCGACACGGTCGAGATTGATATTCGCACTTATCTCGATATCAACGGTAGTTATCGGATTGGCCATACTACCTGTGTCCTACTGTGATTGACCGTCTCCTTATCGCGTTAACTAAGTGGTTACTTAACTATTGGCCGTTTGCAGCCCAAATTCCACCGCAACCTCACACCACCTTGCTGGGCCCTTACTGGCGTGGATCTCGCGGGTGATATTCGTGATATTCAGCCTAAAAAGCCATGGTAGATGCGCTGCCCTGTCGACATTTCACGTGTAGAAAGTGCTTTTTCTTCGTCTTCTTCCCTTCTTTCTTTATTTTTATCTCTCTGATCTCTCTGATCTGAGACTTAAAGAAGATTATCGCTTTACTTACTTACATCCGTCACTCTCTGCTCATCACTTAGTGTGAGAGCTAAGCTGAACGGGGGCTTGGCGGGTGTAGCTAGCGAAGAAAGAAAGAAAAAAAAGGGGTTCGGAGTTGATAGTTGACCAGCAAAAAGAAAGCAGACATGCTGAATTGAATATTGAATTTGATTGATTCAATATCACCCAAGGATCGAGACACGCTTCTAAGCAGGTAGCTATATACATATTTACATGGTCGAGTGTCTACTTCTTGTTCTGAATTCATCTCTTTCTTTTTTCTCTTACCGTCGGACTGTCTGCCTGTCTACTCCTTTGGCCGTTTATGACCTTCTATGCAGAGTCGTGGGAGAGCCCTATTAAGACACACGCGTTAAAAGGAAATTGATGTTTGATTCCTGAGCGGGGGAAAGGGAGAAGGGGGGATGAAATAAGAGGAAGCAAAAAGAAAAGAATAATAGTAAGAAAAAAAGGGAACTTACTTGATGCTGTGGATAGATCAACGTATCCGCGATAACGACGTTCTCCGGCCGCCCAGCAGTGAATACGATAACCTCCGCGATGTCCTCAGCCGTAAGAGGATCACAATTACTAGACACATCACACAACGTTCAACCCAACTATACATTCACCAAAGAGAGGGAAGCAAAGCAGAACTTACGCATAAACAGCATCAGCCTTGGCTTTATCTCCATAGAATCGCACGACGGAGAATTCCTGCAAAGAAGGACGAACACCCTGCGTTAGCCCAGCCCATATCACACACAGCTAACCGTCGTGGTTCAAATCAACAAAGCTAAGTAGACCCTTACAGTTTCAACCTGGCCGGGATCAATCTCAATAACCCTGATGCGAGTAGCAACGAGTTCCTTCCGGAGTGCGTCAGTGAAGCTTCGCACCGCCGCCTTGGTAGCGCAGTAGATGCTGCCGCCGGGATACGCTTCTCGACCAGCAATGCTTCCGAGATTGATAATGTCTCCTCGTCCGCCGTCTGGCCTCTTCTGGAAGATAGGTAGCACAGCCTGAGTCATGTGGATCAAGCCATGGACATTGGTGTTGAACATCACCTCCAGATCCTCCGTGGCGATCTCAGGGGCTTTTGCTACTCCCCTAACAAGTCCGCTGTTCAACAACAAGCAAGTCAGTGCATGGTTTACGCTTTTTCAGAGGGGACGAAGGAACATACGCATTGTTCACTAGGATATCAATCTCCTTGAACTCTTCCGGCAAATCGGCAATGAACTTATCGATGTTCTCCTTCTTGCTGACGTCAAGCTGCACCGGAAGCACCTTGACACCCTCGCCGACCTCGGCCTTGATCTCCTCGGCGGCCTGCTTGAGCGAATCGAACCGCCGAGCAGTCAGGATGAGTTTCAGGTTGTTCGGAGATGTGCGCGCGAATTCCAGCGCAGTGGCCTTGCCGATACCAGAGGATGCTCCGGTCACTAGGATCGTCTTGCCGTCAAGGCGCTTGCCCATCGCGGTGGCCATTGTCCGTCTTGTGTAGGTGCGGCGGAGGATCTGAGCGAGTGATGATGCGCTTGAGCCGGAGAGCGAAGGCCGGCTGTTGCTTAGAGCGATGGATCGGGAGTCAAGGGCGCCTAGGGTTCTGATGAAGGTTTGAAGACGGAGCATGGAGGTAGCCAGAGTGTCAATTGGTGTCTTTCTCTTTCTCTTCTTCTTCTTCGTCGTCGTCTTCGGCGTCTTCGTCGTGTTTATATCAGCGAAGCGAGGTGACTTTCTCCCCGCAGTTTCTCCCCTTTGCCGGATTATGTAAGTCGGCTTTAGGGCTTAGCGCCGAATTTAGCCATGGTCATGTGACGTCACCGAAAAGAAGAAAATGAAGAAAAAAAGAAGAGAAAGAGAAAAAGAAGAAGTACACAATAAAGGGAGTAGAAGATAGTCAAAATGATAGATACCCCAGTGTACGGAGTATGCAGATAGAGATACCTCTTCATCTGCATAACTATGTTTTAAGCTGATACCTGATGTTTCCACAGATGACACTAACCTGGGAGTCAACTAAGGGAAGGAAGATACCAATAGTTGCCCTGAGAGAACACTATATACCCAGTAACTTATACCCTATACTAGCTTAATACCCCCTTATTGTCCTTATTATTACTCAAACCTGAGTATAGATTATCCCCGAATACAGAGTCCTATATTCACTGAGTAAGTAATAAAGGTGTATCTAGACTATAATGTCACAGCTAGAATAGCTAAGAGAGCATACACAAATAACATGTTTCTTTCCATTACTTTGCCTAGATGGAAGAGTACCTATAAATATCCAAAGCAGAGGTAAATTCTTCCTTGCCCTATCTGTCTATTCCTATGGCTCTTATACCCGCATTATTGCTTCCGTGAGAGTGTAGACATAGTCAAGTTGTATACGGAGTACCTAGGTATACTCACCCTAAGTGTACCCTCATCTAGATAGCTCCCCTTAATGGTGCTTCCCAGCCCTTTGTATACCCCCTATAGCCATCTAGAACTCCATAGCTTTCTTCTGGTCGGTCTCTGTATGTTTGTCTATTCACTGACCAGAGGGAGGACGCCGAGCATGGTCATTCACTCTGATGGAGTCAGAAGACAAAAGAAAAGGCCTTCACGACGTTGCGCAGTCTTGCCCTAAAAAGGAAACCGGGGCACGGCAAGGGCACACGCAGCAGGACGGCCTTTTTCACTTCTTCTTCTTCTTCTTTCTTCTCTCTCTCTTCTTTACTGGCATCTTCTTCATCTCACATATAAAGGCTTCTTCCAGCTTCTTCAGCTGTTTCAGCTGTTCTCTTCCATCAAGACTTCCATCAAGCTCTTCAGATCTCATTGTGTCTACCGTTGGTACAACGTCCAAATTGTTCAACCTTTGTTACTCAACTGCTATCTCGACTGCTCGCGTCATCTCGTTTGATATCTCCTTCTTCCAGTACGAAAGACTGCAAAGAGACTGCAAAGAGACCGCCTGTCAAACTCGAGGCTTGTTACCACTGAGCCTTCTTGTTTCACTCAGGTTCTGTGACCGGATTCATTGTTCTTCAAAGCACCGCCGGATATGGCTCCCAAAAAGCATATAAACTGGCAGCCCTTCATCCAGAAAGTCCTCGAGAAATGGGCTCTCGAGTCCACCCCAAAGCTCCCAGAGCCTCGCCATTGCACTCTTGGCCATACTTCGCGTTTGAGGGAGTCTGGCCCTCACGCCGTGGCATATTTCTACCTCGTCACTGCAGCAGAGCCTGGTCCCTGGTATGTGATTGATAGTGTCTTATGGGACACGGAGAAGAAGTCGAAGCTCCGTGAAGCTACTTTCATCGTGCCCTGCCGTGACCCTCCCTCTGCTCGTCATCCATTTGTGTGCGAATGGGACGACGCCTTGAAAGTCTATGTTGTCCGTCACCTCAAGGAAGCTGAGAACATCAAGAGTACGAAACAACAGAGTACCAAAAATAAAGTCACTAAGAAGAACCCAAAGCGGTCACCCAAGAAAGGATCAAAGACGGAGGTCGAAAATAAGGACTCTTCTGGTCCTATGAACTCGTATGACGGGGCCTCAGATAAACCAGCAGGGAACTCCGATCACAACGCCAATGGACAACAGCATTCCGTTGGAGATGTGTTTAGCACTAGGAGTTTGGCTCCTCTCAACGAAGCTTCTTTGGACAATCGAAATCTCTCGGATTCTGGAGAGGCGGTTGCTTTGGATGGAAAAGAATCGTCATCCTGTTCTCTTGAGCCAGGCGCCTGCAGTGAATATACCCCTGAGCCGAACCAGCCAATTGAAAACACTATAAACGAGTCTTCGGAGGAACCGAACGACACCGATAGCAACAACATTGATGCTCCCACCTCCAAATTCTCTGAATCCTTTCAGGAAGAAGTGGTCGAAGGATACAATGCGGCAGATTATGAGTGCTACCGGCAAGATACCGAGCTCTCTGGAGACGCCCTTGACGAGATTTACCGGCGAGACCAGGCGCAAGACGGGCATCTCCCGATCCATCACTATAACTTCTTCGGCAATGCCATGACCGGACGAAGCTCCACTCCTCCTGAGGTATCTTTGCTTGTACTTCTGCTGGGTCCTAAGGGTTGGTCACACGAAGGTTGCTGCCGCGCCAGCCTTATGTATCGAGCAATCAAACATATCGACCCGGTCCTCTACACGGGCCCGCTGGAAGTCCTGTCATATGCTAGAACTTCTGATCTTCTCAAGGGTATTGCTGGGTACGTCCACAAGTTCTACACCGGCCATGGAACCTGGGTGCAAGAGAAGGGCAAGGCGGGTCAGAGACGGCCGATCCTCGACCCAACCAACTCGGATATGTACTACTCAGAGCCGTGGCTGCCATTCAACGGATTGCTGAACCCTCACTGGAGAGCATGGTCGAGAAAGGACTTCAAGGGTGGGATGTGTGAGATCGGGCCTGTTCGTAACAGAGTCAGGGTTAGACCTATACCCAAGTCACCGCTCTCGCAGTGTGTGTTGGCAAGTGAGCTTTAGGAGTTGCAGTGAGGATAATATTGTGGTTTCGATTCTTCTGTTCTGCTTGTTTGCTGGTTTCTTGCCATCGAGGCTGGAAGGCGTTGTGGTTGTGGATGGCCTCCTGAGGCTCAACTTGAGGTGAAGAAGAGACGTTTCTTGCTCGCTTTGTACCCAGGAAGAACTAGGAGGCCAGAATCTACTCCTTCATCCTTCAAGAGTGCTGGACATGGGCCACCAAATATCGAAAGACACGGAGGGGATGATTTACTATGAGATCTGCTACTTACGTTGTGACGATGAGAAGCGCGACCAATGTACTATTAACTATTGAGGCGGCGGCTATGATTTAATCCGAAAAAGAAAAAAAAAATACAGAAAAATATATATTAGGCGTCAAGCAAGCTCTTCATCAATTAAATAGTAGCCTAGTCAAATAAGAAGTAAACCTGTCCGTCAGGTAGAAGTGAGATATAGTGAGGAAATAAAATAAGGAAGAGAAAGACAGAAGCATCCACCGACCAGCCACCTATCCGATAATCACATTGAGCTCACACCGACCTAACACCTAGCATGGAAGCAAAGTCATGTATCATAGAGTAGCTTAAGAGAGAGGGGAAAAAAAAGAGACAAATTGATAGAACGAGATAAATGCCCAAGTAAGTAGGACAGTTACCAACTGTGAAGCGAATGTGGAAATAGAGTAGAGAAGGGTATAAAAGCCATATCGATCTACTGATATTCCTTGATAGAGAGAAAGAGTGAGTATAAGAAAGGAAGACAGAGTTACTTCAACGAAGCCAGCTCTCTCTCCTTTGCTCGCAAGGCCTCACGCATGTTCTCCGCCTCACGCTGTAGCTGGGCACGTCTGGCTGCCTTGACGTTATCCTCAGCTGTCGCGGCAAGAGGCGGCGGGGGGAGAGAATGGCTGCCATGCGCTGCTTGAGTAGACGGAGGATTCACTGGATTCGGAGAGTAAGAGCGAGTGCCAGGTTGCGGCTGTGTTTGTGTCTGGGATCTCGCTGGTGGGTTTGAGCCAAGAGCAGAGTCGACGTGGGCTTCGGTAAAACCGGGATCTGTGTGGTTGAGCAAAGAGGAGATTGAACTTAGACGGCCTGAGTTGGATAGAGCGCGAGCACCGGCTGGGTTGATGGGAGGAAGGTGTGCGGAGGCTGGCATTTCAGTCTGTATGCGGGTTGCTGGGGGTGCGGTTTCGGTAGACGTGCTTTCAGAGTGAGTTCGTTTCTTGGTGTTGGGGGAGTGGTTGATCAGGGTATTTAGGCCGGGGGAGGAAGTAGATTGTGCTGGTTTGCTATAATAGCCTGTGAAGTCAATAGGGGGAGGAGGAGCACTATGGGGGAACTGAGCAGCTCCGTAGGGGTGTCCTCTATGCTCAGACGGAGGGTAGGCATTGGTATCGGCGTTGCCTGTAGAAAGACTGGCAGACTGTAGCTCAGGGGAGACTGAAGAATTTTCTGAAGACCCGGCTCCTGGAGAACGATCTCTAAGAGCTGGGACGACCCGTTTCCGTCTTTTGATGACGGTCTTTTTCATAGCAACTGGTCGATGACTCCCATGAAGCCGATAATAGAGGCCTAGACATAGGCTGATTAGCAAGCTGGAAAAATATGTGTAAATGGGATACTACTCACCACAGGCGTTGCATATAGTATTCCCCTGGTCATCTCTCCTCCAGAGTGGAGTAAGGGTGGTACCGCAGTTCTGACAAGCCTTTGGCATCCCACTCGCATCCTGAGATGCACTCTCTAAAGCATCTAGCCCGCTCTGAGCCTGTTCTTCGCTTGTCTGAGCGGATGGCGATGGTCTCACTTGACGAACTGAAGTAGCTCGAGGGGCCGCCTTGTATACGCGGTTATTGTATGCCGGACATCCATCACATCCTACCGCGCCACCAGTTCCGTTACAGCTTCCTCCGCCGGGACAGGTGCCTGCTGGAGTAGAGCCAGAGCCACAGCCGGATGCATTCTGAGCAGATATATCACTTGCAGCAGGAGAGGCTCTTGGGTCTGAAGTTGAGCTATTCGCATACCCGCCGGTTGCGTTTGCTTCGGGATCACGAATTCGATTTGTTGGTCTATCCGTGTTTCTAGCTTTAAGGTACAGGCCGCACGCGTTGCAGATGGTCGAACCGGACGGTGACCTACGCCATAAAGGAGTTCGTTTTGTTCCACAGTTTCTGTATAGATAACTTTATGTTAGCATTTCTTCCTGCTAGATGTAGGTGCTGCGTAGGTTTTGGCATGCGAGTACTTACACGCACTGGTGGCCCAAGAAGACATCTGTATTCCGTGAAGCCTTTGGTGACATTCTCGAACGACTTGAGCTCTCGGGCGCCGAAGCCAGCTCTGGGGTTTGATTCTGTTGTTGTTGTTGCTGCTGCTGCTGCGGCTCGCTCTGATTTTGGTCCCTCGAGGCCGCGTCGTCCATGGCTGCACCAGTACCGACGCTCCCCTTATCTCCGTCTGTCGACCGGCTGGCGTCAAAGTTATCAGTCCGGAAATCCGCGACGCCTCTCGCAGACGAAACCAGCTGGTGTGCAGCATCAAGGTCCTCAGCAGATGGTTGCCGTATCATATCGCGCTTTGTAGCTGGGAATCCGCGTACGGTATCTGATGAAGATCGGAGGGTGAGCATCGGCAGCGTCTGTATCTATCAGATTTATATCTTCTTCGAGAGATCCTTCTCCGCGAGAGAAAAGCCCCAGGAGACCCGCTAGCAAGACTGAGTGAAACGAAAGGACAACCGTTGGGGTAAAAGACGAGGCTGTTTGTTTGCGATCGGGAGGTCTTTTGGGGTTGTTTGATCAAGAGGTTTGCCACTGATGAAATGCTTCAAACGGAGAGTCGGCAAAGGATTCTGTATGCTGGATATCTCCAGTGGTACGCGGGAGAGGATAAAACTGTAGCCTTCAATCCTTCAGTCCTTCAGTATTAGCTATCACAAAGATTTGCTCATGTCTCGTTGGCCGCAGGCTCCTTTAAGCCGAAGCTTTCGAGGTCGAATATATGCCGCGAAAACAGCCTTGACGGGAGTAAGAGAGACGAAGGGTTGTTTTCCCAGGGACAAACAGAGAAAAGGAGCTGAGACGATGAGACAGACACAAGAGACGGAGGACTGCAGAGGATGACACGACAAGCGAAATAGTCAACCTACTATTGGCCAGGAGGGCGGAAGATTAAACTAGGCTCCCAAGATAGAAAAAAAGTCCAAGTTGGAGAAGGAGAAAAAAGGAAGAAAAAATGCTTGTCCTTATCAGATCCTGACCAAGGTTTTTGCTTCCCTTTGTTGTCGCCTTCTGGGTCAACTATCCACCTGGCCAGCTTGCCCAACTAGTTGTGTTATACTGGATTCCGAGGCCGTTGGAAGCGAGGTCGAGTTGATCTGCTGCAAGTGCCCTCGCTGATGCTTGATTCTGGGTCGCCTGATGTTTTCTTTTTCGCCTGCGTTTGCATTCGTCACGGTGGTGTCGCTGCGGCTGGCTTTACGTACTTTTTTCTTTTCATGGAGGAGCGAATCTGATTACCTGCTCTCCACATTGATTATCTTATCTTGATCATCAACGCACCCAACACGCCACACCAAAACCACCAACCCCCCCGTCCACCTGGCCTTTCACCCTTGTTTTCCGGCTGTCCTCCGGACTACCCTTCGACTTGAGTGTTCTCTCTTCTGACAGCGCGTTTTCTTTGCCTTCTACTCGCTCTCTGCTCGTCTGCTAGTTCTCCTTCTCGTCGTTTTCTTGTTGATCAGATTTGCTGATAAGAAATTTAACCTCATCAGCCCCACTTCCTAGGCCGTCGCGCTTTCTTATTTTTGGTCTTGGCATTGGTAATTGCATCTGTACGTTATTTGATTGGCTACCAGTAAACGTAAGCATTACTCCGAGTACTCTAATTGGCTATCTCTCTTTTTGACTAGTAGCACGTGATATCGCCCTGGTCGCCCGGGGGAAGCGGCCAAGCAAGGACGTGCATTAAGTCCTACATTTACTCCGAGCAGGGGGTAAAAAAAGGGGGAAAGGGGATATGAAGTACAGGCATGGAAAGTAGTAGATTCATATAGCATACTACGGTACAGTAAGGAGGAACAAGTTATAAATAGTGTATCCCAAATATAATAAAGAGGAAGAAAGAAGGCCGGAAAGTTCTTGATAAAGGTAGGTCAGCGAATAAGCAGTATAAGCTGACTCACCCGGTTCTCATGTGCACGTTGCGAGTAAATAGGGAAAAAGGAGTAGTCTTGGAGTTGATATAAGATATGCGCAATTAAAAGCAGGGAACTTGGCAGGATAATCTGCTCAAAATGTGAGGTCCCTGGTGCATGGCAGGTTTGGATGAAGCAAGTTTTAAACCTGCTCAGCGCCCCAGCCCGGATCACCGCCATCCTCGCGCATGTTGGCTGGTGGTTCGATGGACGGAATGTACTCGAGCACACAGTAGCCCAATCCGACGATTCCAATGAGTGATCCAGCAATGATGCGCAACACGTTGTACTCAAGGATGATGCAGCCGACGAAAATATAGACTGTAGAAGATATTAGAGAAGACGTTATATCGGTGGAGAACAAGGTTGGTGCAGCTCACAGATTCCTCGTCCGATGAAGGAGAACATGAAGGAGGCATGTCTGGTCAGGTATGGCGGAACGTTCGGTACCAGCTCCATACCAGCGGTGGCTATTACAGAATATCCACGTTAGCGCACCCGTAAGCTATAATTTAAGGCCCGCGACCGAAATATGGGGTAGTCCGGGGTAACTCATTGTAGGAGCATCATACCTAAGCCAAAGAGAATGACATAGACTCCGATAATGATATTTCGGCTAAAAGCGACACGAGTTAGCCACCTCCCAAGATAATCAATAAACCGGCCCGGAAGATGAACTTACAACAGCGGCTGGGAAAAGAATTGACTGATACCACCCAAAATCATTATAACACCCACCCCCAAGTTGACCAAACGGCTACAAAATCAAGACAGGTTAGCTTCATGAGTCCCTCAAGAAAACTATACGACTATGCTTAGCTAGCATAGCGCACATGTAATCGCCGCCACTTATACTCACAATGCATTAGAGAGATCCATCTTGCTTGTTGATATGATACACTAAATGAAGGAACAGAGCTGTCGTGAAAGCTGTCGTACAAAGTATCTGTCCGATATCGTGCCAATAACAAAGGGTACAAAAGCGTATACGGTATTTCGGCGTCGTGCAATATGTCCACAAAAGGCAAAACAAGAGCGTCGGCCCTATTATATAGAGCTCGTCGTCGTCGTGAGAGGAGGAATGTCGTAGCCTAGGTGGCCAGGCAGGTCGAGACAGCTAGCTTGCTGACGTCGGCGAGGCAATAGCCAATGAGGGAGAGTGATACTTAGCTATTGGGCACGGTCAGCAACGCGATGTCAAATTGCAAAGAGATAGATATCCTTGATAACAGCCGGAAAGGCATCACCTTACTTACCTTGAAGCTGTTGTTGTTTGCTGCTGAAGTCATAATAAAAGAAGCATCAAAGCGCAGGGCAGTGTTATTAGCTTAATAAGAACTTACGTATGTCTTATCACGTGATCAATCATCTCCTTCCATTTTAGGCATAGGGTACGTACCTAGATACCTAGCACATAAAATGCAGGTTCATTGACAAGATAATAGTCAGGAGTGACGAGCGTTGGTCACAAAATAATACGATTTATGCAGCTAAATATACTTGAGTTTGATTTTTTAATTGAGTAATGAGCCCTAAATAATGTTGATCTAACTTACTAGCAATCTAAATAATTGTCTTATAATGTTAGAGACATTGATATCTAGAAACTGACCTGGCAACTACAAACTTATCCTGAAGTTACCAAAGAAGAGAACAATTCTATACCCTAGAGTCGAGCCTTTGTCTTCTTTTCCGCCAAAGTCTCCTTCACCAAGGAGGCAACTTCGGCACAGCACCCGAAGGAAGTCTGAAATCCAAATCCACCATGGCCGTAATTATGGACCACAACAATTCCACCAATATTATCTTTTTCAATTCTGGTGCCTCCTTCTCTAAGAGGTCGTAGTCCAACGCCATGACGGATGATATCGAGGCCCTCAATACCTCTCTGTTTGCCATTTTCATCCTTGCCAACAAGTTGAGGGCACATTGCAATGCATCGTCTCATGATGCGAACCGCCAGGCTTGGTTCTGGCTGGCTGTCCCAGCAGTTTACCTGGTAGGATCCGCCTAGGATAGTCCCACCTCCTAAAAATGCTGTTAGTAAATAACTAGACCATATGAGGAGCTAATTGTGAGTACGTACCGGCGGCCCTCGTCATCACATAACAAGCTTCATCATCTCCGTCGTCACAGCCAGATAGGGAGTACATGGCACCTGGGTCATTGCGCACAACAACAACCTGGCCGCGAGCAGGATACATCTTGGTATCTTCAACTCCACCTAGTTTCAAGGACCCAAGACCCGAACAGTTGACAATGAGATCCGGCTTTTGGCCAGAAGAGTGCACTTTCGCGGCTTCGGAAATATGTTTGAAGGTGGCACGCTTAAATACAACCCCGTTTTTGCAACACTGTGACACCAGCCATGAAAGGTACACAGGCGTATTCATGCAGACGGAGGTGAAGTCCGCTTGATTATCCACCCCTTCCGGAAGTTCGCTGTCAGGGGTCAAAGTGAACTTTATAGACGGCTATTAGCTATACCATAGTCATAATTTCGATTGAAACGTGGGGTGGTTAGGTATGAGGGTTTCATACGTCAGGGACAATGTCCTTGTACCACGGGTCAGGGCGAAGGAGCTCTTTAAACCATAGACCAGTAGAAGATTCTGCATCCTTCTTCCGATTTATCACAACCGACTCTATATTCACGAGTTAGTATGGTTATTTGAACACAATCAGAAGGTTCCTTACTTCGGAAATGTATGCCGGCCTCTGGGTGGTTTTGAGCGAGATCCTCAAGAACAGGCCAGGTGTTCGTTTCCCATCGGGCGTGCGCAGAACCCTCAGTACCAGTACTATTTTACAATTAATGAGTGGATTGAATACCGATTAGCATATCGGGCGTAGGATACAAGTAACCAGGCGGTCTGGGATAGACCATGGCTCGTCCACAATGAAGGCTTGTTTGGATGGGGAGTTCTATTGAACATACGGAAGGAAGTTGGCACCAGCCCACATAGAACAGTATTCAATGTCATAATCGCCAGGCATATGCTTTGCAGCAAGAGTGATCTGGTTCGACTTATCCTTGGAGAGCAGGTATGCGGTGGTCAACCCAATCACTCCACCCCTGCGAAAATGTGCATTAGAACAAAAGAGTGAAGAGTAACAATTAAACCCTGGCACCAACATACCCAATAACAACGATTTTGTTAGTAGATGCCATATTGCTACGTGCAAGCAGTACCCCTCGATGGTCAACGAAGAGGAGGTGAGCAGCGAAGAAGACGAAGAAACAGACGAGCCCGAGGTAAAGCCTATTTATAAATAGTCGTTGGCCGGAGTCTAACTTCAGGGTCCCGCTTCTCCGCGTTTGGAGAAATTGCCGATATCAACTGAGAAATTGCCAGACACCGGCCTTGGTTTGTTCAGTGTAACTTGGGATTATCCTTCGTTAAATATATGGCCAGATAAATAAAGAGGTTTCGAAGCAATGTGGCGTATCATTTCAGCTGTCAAAAATCCTAGAGCCCTGATTTGAATACCAACTGCCCATCAAAAGTTACGAAAATTGAGAACGGACGATGCAAACTACTCTCCTAGCTAAGCAGATTGCTGATCACGACAGGGTTGATATGCATGGTGTGTAGGAGATGCTCATACATTTCTAGTACATGGCTAAGTCAACATTACGGCCACCAGCGTGTTTTGCTAGTGGCTAACTCGTCTGAAAGTGGCATATATACTAACTATTGACGTCCAATTCCTCTTCCATGACTTTTTGAAGTTAGGTAGACAATCATCCAATGGTGTAAATTTCTATCGACTTGGCATTGGATGTACTCACAATAAAATTCCACTTATCATCTTGGAAGTCCTGGCCATAACATATAAGCCACCAGGGCTGCAGGTGTCGAGGATAGGCTGAGCGCCCTCAGCGACGTTGTAGAAACTAGGGAGAACCTTTAGTCACCGTATTCTAATTGTTATTAGTGATACAAAGCCAAAAAGAGCATGATATTATAATCAAAGTCCACTTACGTCGTGGCACCACGAAACAATGGAGTCATAAGAGTAGCTGACTCTACCGCAGTTTCCAGGCACAGGGCGTCCAGGGACATGGCACAGATGAGCAATGCATTCCTCAATGCGTTTACAGGAACACTCGCACCGTCTGCCATAGACCACATTGTCACGCTTGAATGGTGCATGAACAACTCTAACGTGCTCCCTTTTGTGCTCAAGCGCGGCCATTTCGGTATTATAGTTGGGGTTGATTTCGAGGAGCTGGAAATGGAGTTGGGGATGGACTTGCTCGACGGTACCGTTCAGGGCCAAGGTAGGTCCGTTAATGGCAACCTTGACCTCCCAGGAGAAGGTTTCGACTCCGTATGAAGGTAATAGGAGCTGGTTGATTAAGTATACCCCTTCCTGTATTCTATCTTGCTAGGTTCCTTCTTTGGAGAAGCAGAAGTCCAAGTTTGATTTCTGTATAGCAGATAACGCAAGGCTGTCTCCATCTGCATGACATGGACGAGGCTTGATATCAGAGGTGGAATTTCCTGCACTTCGGCACAGGTATAACCAAGCAACAGCTAGTTGGGTTGACCACCAGTCCGTAGTAACATTTCAAGCCCGGCGTATTGTGGATGTTCCTCCGGCCTAAGATATAGTTGAGCCAGAGTATTCCTGAAGTGCTTAATCTTTGAATGATCTGTTTGTTTTCCCTCTGTGTTAGTTGAGCAGTGCGGTTAAGATCCATCAATATAAATTCTCCATAAAGGAATGGAAATTGTGCATTTACACAGAAACGGAATAAAGGTATTTTGAGAAGTCCCTGGGCCTAATAAGCGCCTGGTAGTACTGGATTTTGAGTGATATGGCCTCCCGGGTAGGTGGAAATGCGATATTTTCTCCATGCGTCCGTTGGTACCAGGCAACTAGGGGTCCAGGGTATGGCCAGCAAAAACTGGGGTGACACTACTGTGGTATGGGCGGGCACCTGTACGTTGACCCCAAGTATCAATGTGATCATGCTGCCAGGGGATGTAGTTGTGCTTCACACAATTTTCGCAAAGACGGCATTCGCTCAGATGCCAGAGTATCAATGGCCCTTTTGCTTGTAAATCAACAAAATTCCATTTCCCACTCTTGATATGATAGTTGCTGTAGCCCCCTCCTTATCCCCTGTGTCCGGACCGCCATTCTTCGTTCGCTCTTGGTCAATTCGGAATCGCTTCTGCCCAAAAAGTCCGGAGTCCAGACTGTCTTCATCGGTGGTTTCGTACTATGTTTTCTTTCCCCATACCCCTTCTTCCAGTTGACCGACGTTCAAATGGAGTCCGCTACCGTCAAGCGAATCATCACGTTAGGTGTTGTGTCTTGGAAATGGAGCTGGGTGCCCAGTTCGTTAGGGCCGCGCGCTTAGTTGCTTGCCTCTCGGCCTAGGAAGTTAAATTGCGTTTCGAACAGTCACTACGGTTGAGTAGTTACTCCTTGTTAGTTGACAAACTCAATAAAGCTTTCCTTCTTGAATTTCTGTTTCCTGGTAACTACGGAGTAGCTTCGTAGATTTTTTCCGTCGCTACCAGCAGCCGAGTTGTTAGCTCCGGAAGTAGGTGGATAGGTTAACTATTATTTATGAGCTGACTAGGCATATTTACTCAACGGCTAAGTAATTACTCCGTGCTGTTATAGAGTACCTAATTTACGGAGCATCTTGATGGTTATTCGGAAGCCACGAACGAATAACTAATAATAGCTATTTTGTTACTTGCTGGGTTACTTCTCAGCGGAGCGGTTAGTTAACTACTTACTCCGCAAGGCCTGGTAGAAAACCATGAACATGCATTTCTGGAACCAAATCAGAGAAATCGTCGTCCAAACGAACCAAGCGCCTGATATATCCAACGGCTCACGGGCCGATTGGCGTCCAGCCAATACCTTCCATGGGTTGTGAAAGCATGATGTACTTCGTACAAGCCCAGCCATCCAAAGACAAAGGGTAACCTTGAGCGGGCCCTATCAAATCAATAGTTCGCGGCGCCGCAGGGGATCCTTGTAATAAGGTGAGCAGCCTGCAGTTACAGCAGAAAAATATTTGCTGTTATCGACATATGCTCCGCTGAGGCAGCAAGCCATCCTTCAGCTATCTGTTTTTCGATTTTTATAAGATGCAGAGATGGGGGCAAGTGTCGGGTCGATACGCTTTATCTCCCAGCTACTTAAGCTGACGGCGGTCAAAACTCTTCTGGGAGCAGCATTTCTCTGGCTGGTTGTATTCCAGTACTGTCGATACCAGTTCTGGCGGAATCCTCACTCTGCTTTTTTCAACGACCGGACGGGAGTTTATGATTTGGGGTATAGCCTGATCCGGGAGCGAGAAGCCCATCACTTCATCACCAGGAATAATGCGCCTACAGAGCCGCCTGCTTCAATCAAAGGCGGTACAGATCCGTTGTTCTGCGTTGCATTCGTGACTGTCCGGAGAGAGGCAGATGATTATTTTGATCCGTCCATTGGTTCTCTCCTTGTAGGACTTGATCCACGGGAAAGACGGGCACTCCATCTTAACATCCTCTTCGCCGATACGGACCCGAAGAGACATCCAAGCTGGGGACAGAAATGGGTTGACCGGCTGACGGATGTTGCGGAGACGTACAATGTCTCTGCGAGTCAGTTGGACCACCTTAAGAAGCTGGAGACGGAAAGGAACTTTTATGAAAAGGGAGTGTTGTAAGTGATGCCATGTTTGGCTTTGGTTAGGAAGGAAGGTGCTGACGAGTTAGTGATTATGTATATGCACTGAACTCCTGCAAGAAATCCAACGCCCCGTACACAGTGGTATTTGAGGACGACATCATCATCGCGGAGGGCTGGATGGCGAAGACGCTGAAAGGGCTAGCGGACATCAAGCGGATGCCATCGGGCGAACGGCCCTGGATATACCTTCGCCTCTTCTACACAGAAACAGCTCTGGGGTGGGAGTCGTCCGACTTTGCCTATAGAAACATGCTTCTTATCTTTATAGCTGCCATGCTATCCACCTTCTCCGCCCTGACTGTCATACGCCGCCGCTCCTACCGTTCGCTGATCGACGTCCCTACCACCCTGGCAATAAGCGTGATTTGTGTCCCAGCCTTCATTGCCCTTATATATATGGTCGGAAAATACTCTTTATTCCCGCTACATGGAGTCGTCGAGATAGCTCCGTACGGATGCTGTACGCAGGGCATGGTGTTCCCCCGAGAACAGGTCGACGGTCTTATAGCTTATCTTCAAAAGAGAGGCCATGGGCAGACAGATACTATGATAGAAGAATATGCGGAGGAAAGCAAGCTGATCAGATATGCCCTTGCTCCGCAGCAGCTGCAGCATGTTGGGCTGAAGTCAAGCCGTGATAACACTGAGTTGAATGCGCAGAGTACGTGGGCGTTTTACTTTGAGGAGAATGTACCGAAGCTACTGAGGAAGGAGCATGATGGGATTCTACAGGATAAGGAGATTGGAGCACTTTTGGATAAGCATGGCGCAGGTAAATAATTAGTAAAATCCCCTTAGGATATGCATCATTTTTGTATATAATATGTAAGTTTTTCACCCCTTATTTAATGACATACAAATACGACTTGTGCCAGAATACATACGATAAAAAAATAAAAATAAAAATAAAACAAAGACAGTAGTAGCTTCCTTTAGTTGTTGAACTGTTTTAGTAGGCCTGATAGAAGCTGTATAGTATGATGTTGTGATGTTGTCATAGACGTCATCGGTTCAGTCGCCCCTTGGTGCCAGGAACCGTTCAAAGCAATCTGAGGATATCTCGCAAAAAAGGTCAACGACGTCAGAGACTAGATATGCTTTGCGTAGGTCCTTCTAGAGCCATCCAAACATAATACTGGTAACGGGTATCTATGTCGACTTGGGCTCTGGCTTCCTTTGAAAGGTTGAGAAGTGCGTCATTGACTTGCAGTGGAAGGAGAGACCTCGTCGACCTGGAGGGAAAGGGTATAAATGTACGTCTTGTTAACCCAAGTTCTTCTTCCTGTTCCTCTTCCTCCTCCTCCTTTTCCTTTTCTCTCACAGAAATTTCGATTCATATCATAGTATCATACTATCGACGAGCCCCCAACATATCCTTCCCTTCACTCTCACAGTGGTATATGACTCTCCTTTCACGTCTACCCCATGAACACCCTGCTAACTCTTGAGAAATCAAAACAAAAGACGCACGACCGGCGACACCTTCGCATCACTGTGATATATATCCACGCCGGGTATATCCCTTCTCTCTTGCAGGTCGTCCACCGTCCTGCCTTTGATATCTCGTCTGCGTGAGTTCGTCCCAAAGAAGCCTAGCGTCCTCCCCATGGGCTCTGCAGCATCACATGACCTTCCCTCTACCTAATCACCTTTCATCTCTTGGCGTCCCTTAAGTCCATGTAACTTCCGAGCTTCCTCGCCCCAAAAAGAAAAAGCGGCGAGCAACTCCCAAGGCAAAAGTTGTATCTATACACACGACAGAACATCCAGCCTGTTCCTGCTGCTGGCTGTCACTCTTTGCCTCCTGCCTCTCCCCTTTGCTCTGGCGGAAGCTGAGGGCTTCCCTGGCAGATGCCCCATCCCTATCCCGTTTACAAACTTCTCATCTTGGCCCAAGGCGGCCGTCTTCTTTTCTTTTTCCGTTGCCTCCATTGTCTTTTCTTTTCTGGCCGTTTCTTATATTCACCGTCTACTACACTCCTGCTGCGCGCGCTCCCCTTGCATATACCTCTCTGTACCCAAGACGCCTCTCCCAGCGAGAGTGCATCTGCTGCTGCGTTTCTACTGTTTGGGGGACGCTGATGCCCTCAATTGCCACCTCTTATCTCCCCATGATTGACTCACGAGCGGTACCACTTCGACCATGGCTGATGCTGATTCCATCTCCCACAGTAGGATCGTGCCCATCATGTCTCCGGGAAGATTAACTTCACAGCCGGTAGGCAGGGGGTCCGGGAAGCGGGCTGGGGGAGGAAAGACGATGCTGCAGGAGAACGACCTGCACATCGAGTGCCTGAAGGAGCGGCGGCTCTACGCCGTACCGACCCCGGGAGACGGTGAGTGTCACCACACCGTTTTAAAAGTAGCTAGGATTATCTAGTTAACTAACGGGGTGTCATATAACAACCAAAAAGGCAATTGCCTTTTCTACTCCCTTTCCGACCAGCTCTATGGTCGCCAGGACCGGCAAGGAGAAATCCGAGACCGGGTGGTCGAGCACATCCGCACCAACGCGGCCTACTTTGTCCAGTTTGTGTCGGATGTGGGAGGGGAGAGGAGAGCTCCCAAGCGAGCAGCGGCTGCCCGGTCAAAACCACAGTCTTTCAGTGACCGGACAGCGACCTCGGATGGCCAGTGGGCCAAATTCGAGAAGCTGCTCACGCAGATGAAGGAGACTGGATTCTGGGGCGGGTCGGTGGAGATCCAAGCCTTCTGCCAGGCTTACCAGAGAGATGTCTACGTCTATACGGACCACGGCATCACTCCCTTCACCAGCCATGGCGGCCTGGAGGGCAAGGAGAACGAGCCGGTGCACATTGCTTATCACGTAAGTTATCTACATTGTATTTATATCTAGTACCATTCACTGGTAAAGTCAATCGGTCTAACGGTTGTTGATATAGAACTTTCAGCACTATTCATCTGTGCGGAGTGTTGATGGGCCACATAACGGGGCTCCTGAACTCTCGCGGCCGCTGGGATGCCAGGGCAGTAGCTCACCTAGCGAGGAGAGACAGGACGGGGCATCATCCGGATCCGCATCCACATCGACGGATGATTCAACTGCTGCAACCAAAGAAGGGGAGGCAGGCCCGAAGTCTTCTACTGTCGCAGAGGCGTGCCCTGAAACCGACAAAGACGTTATCAGGCACGCACTGCGGCGGTTTATGACCGACTTTAGAGGAGACAGCAGGCATAGCAGATCTTGATGAGGAGACGTTCCAGACCCTCCTGCCTGCCTTTGAAGCAGTCTTTGTCCGGAACTTACAGCTACTCCGGAATGAGTCCGCGGTTGCCGCAGCATCTACTACGCACGACTGCTGCTTGTCGTCTCGCCCTCCGTCTCTGGTTGCAGGTTGTGGTAGTGCTAGCAGCACCTTGACCACACCAGCCTCTACTCCCGCGTCCCTTTGTGCACCGGTATCCAAACCCGCAGAGCCTACTGCTGCTCCTTCTTCTGCGGCTTCCACTCCCACCACTGCTGCAGCTTCATCGACCAGTCCCACGAAGACTCCTCGCCGACGCCTGATCAGGGGAATCCGTCCAACCGCGCGCACACTACTACGCGGCTCGTCATCCCGCTCATCATCACGCAACAGCACAGCCAGCAAACGATCTGCTGGCCGCAGTGATGATGAAGACGAAGATGGCCATGATGACGAGAACCCCTTGACCCGACGTCGACGAGGCGGGGACCGAAAACGCCGCATCCTCCAGGACGTGACTCTCGGAATCTCTGCTGCAGGTACAACCAGCAGTCAAGATGACGGAGACTGCAGGATCATCTCTGTCAGGCCGAGAGACGTGGCTGAGGATGTCGGCTGCAGTGGCGGAAAGGTCGACGAGTCCGTCTCGTCAGACACCGTGGAAGGAGAAGAAGAGGAAGAAGGGGAGTCATCTTCGAACGCAGGAGTATCAACTACTGGCGAGAGTGATAGCGAGTTCGAAGGTGATTAGCTTCTTTCTTTTCTTCTGGGTTGGTTAAAATCTGGTCTCTCTTCTCTCTTCTCTCTTCTCTTCTTCTCTTCTTTTAATATGTTCCAGCATGGCGTTACCTGGGAGGAACGAATGCATTTTAAGCGGGTCTTTCTTTTTATTTTGTCATCTGGGAGGGAATCTTGCATTTTATCTATGGCGTTTTTTCTGATAGACATGACTTTGGTCAAACGAGGATATGATATGATACCACGAACAAACAAATAGACGAGACAACAACATGTTCTTCTTCTACTACTTTTATACAAGACTAATTAATACCCGTCAGTCGAATAAATGAATGACAAGAGAAAAAGTCGGCTCTTAGTTCTCTCTGTGATGCTGTGATGTCCACTTTAAAATACAATCATCATGATAAACATCCATCCATGCAAGTCCATGTAACCGCGTCAGCCTCTCAACGCAGAGTTATGTATGTATGTACTTGCAAAAGACACAGCATGGACATGGGTTTCTGTCTATCTATTTACTTGAACCTGTCAATGGCAGCAACGAGAGGTGCCTCCGCGGCACCAGCAACGGAATCGAGTTTCTCGCCGTTCTTGAAGAAGAAGAAGGTAGGCATGGCTCTGACGCCTAGCTCGGCAGCAATATCAGAGCACTCGTCAACATCGACCTTGTAGACGTCAACGTCTGCGGTGCGTTCCACGCTGATTTTTTCGACGGCGGGGGCGATGGCCCTGCAGGGGCCGCACCAGGTGGCGAAGCAGTCGATGAGAACGAGCTTCTCGGTGGCAATGGCCTTGTTGAAGTCTTCACGGCTGCAGGGTGGGTGTTAGTATGCTTATCATAATATATCACTTGTATGCTGGCGATGGGTGATGGCGATGGCGGGGGAGGGGCAGGACAGGAATAGTAGGGAGCGAATGGTTGACGGCGAGAAAGAGCAGGAGGACAAGGGAGACGTACTTCTTGATCTCCTTGACGACCATGTTTGCGGCTGTGGGAGTAAAGAGTCTTGAGCTTGAGGAGGAGAAGAGTCTTGTAGATGTGAGTGTCTGTAGTCTTGTCGATGTCTATGTCGATGTGGATGAGAGCGAAGAGGCGGAGGAGAGGAGGGCAGGGCGGCTTAAATAAGAGGACGCAGAAGGGCGAGGGCTAAAGCGGCGGCCGGCGAGGGCGAGGCGGAGGGGAAGCCGGGATGACGTTGATGCGGGCATGACGGAGGCAGCTTAGAGAGCACCTAAAGGAGGGACAAGGTAATTATTAAGACGGCGGGGAGGGGAGCAAAGATGGTGTGAAGCAAACAGACGAGAGCGACGAGCAACGAAAGCCGAAGAGAGCAGAAGCAGCGAGAAAGGAGAAGTTCCGAAGAAAAAGAAAGGAGCGAGGCTAAGAGGTTTTAGTTAAGGCTTAGGGGGCGGTCTAGGGGTGGTGTAGGGATGCTTTAGTTAAAGGCTTTAACTGGAGATGGGGGCGCCTCTAGTTAAGGCTCGAGTGAATTAGTAATAAGACAATAGCCTAGAACCTGCGCATTCAGTAATGCCTGTCATGCATGGCCTGCTGCGTTTGAAGATCGATGTTACATATACATGCATGCATGCGCTAAATATTATTTATAAACTGATCATTATTAAGAGAACTAAAATATTGTGTAACCGCTAGGCCTGCTAGCTTATGCAACATCTAGGGTATCACATCGCGAGTATCTCAAAGTATTTCAATCGTGTTCTGGGGTAGTTTGGGATTTAGCTTCTTCCACCGCTGGCCATCTGGAAAGACGAGACGCCGTAGCCGGTTGACGCAAGGAGCCAAGGACTCGTAGTACGGAGTGAAGTTATCCGCTGCAGTTCGAAGAATGTCCTCCTCATCACTTATTAACCCTTTCTTCACATTCGCTAGCTCCGTAGAACCTAAATAATTCCATTTATCAAACTCGTCGACGGTCTTTTCATTTCTCGGCCGTCATAATGAACACAGTTCCAGAATAAGACCCAGAAGAAGGACTCTAGATTGTGCATATAACAGTGCTTTTCGCCGTATAAGACGCCGATAGACATGAACGCCCTCGTGCCTGTCTTGCCCCGTGCGCCGGACGAGCCGTCCCGTTGCACTTTTATTGCGAGGCCAAGATCGATTAGAAAGGCGGGCCAGGAAGGGTTGTTGTCCTGGTCTTCATTCACCATCAGGTTCCGCAGGGAGATATCGCATTGGATAAGGCCTGCTTTGTCATGGAGCGACATGTATCCTTCAATACAGCCAGCCAGCCCTGAAAGCAGAGTAGCCTTCGAGCTACTTTTGTAGTTCGGTTTGCCATAGTCCTGGAGAACGACCCTTCTTCCCCTTTTTCACGGTTGGAATATCGAGGCCTCTTTGGATAGGCACGACATCATCATCCACGTTGTCGACACGAACGGTCTCGTGGTGATAGTATCTTGCAACATTCCTCACCTCTCGAGCCACCGCTTCTTGCAATAGCTCCCCTTCCTCAGCGCGCTCTGGGTACTGCCATGAGTCCTTGACAACTAAGGGCCTTCTAGACTCGTCCGTCTCACAGTGTGCCTTCCAGCAAGTTGTAGCTCTTCCGGCAGCACAGCGTGATCGTCCAATGATCCCTGGCGTACCTACCAAGGTCAAACCAGGCACCGGGTTTACCATCATATTTCGGGTCGTTCTTCAGCTCTCCCGGCACCAGGATCTGAGACCACTGGCATCTAGAGCGCTTAGTTACCCTTGGATCATCAACAAAGCCAACATCGAGCTTTCTCTCGCAATAGAGCCGCCCTTAAGAGCCGGTCAGGGGTATCGGCGGCGCCATCGTAGGACGTAGAACGCCGCTCATGGTATATCTCTGCCTCTCGAAGCAAGTCGTGTAAATTGTCCAGCGACCTGGTTAAAGAACGCTGTTAGATGGCATTACGCTCTTCGTGAGAGTAAGAGAGGGAGAGGGAGTGGTAGCTTTTGCCTTTTCAGGAACGGGTGAATCTTCGAATTCACGGTGGCACGTGATGAGGCTCGGCCCGGCCCTTTGGCTCTTGCTTACGTAAAACTACTTAGAGAGATGGACTTTAGCTATGCTTGCTTATGGCTATGGATAATCGGGTACCTAATAGTCTCCATCTGGCTAGGGATACTCCTTTGCTTCAAGAGAGTAGAAGTTAGTAGAAGTGATAGAAGTAGTGGTGGTGGTGGTAAGGGATATCTATAAGCTGCATAAGGAGTTGGCCAAGGGTAGAGGAGAAGAGGCCATCAACAGCCGCTGGAAGCCTTGCTTGCATGGACACACATGATGCATGATGCACGGGATAGACAAGGCAAGACAGGGCAGAGAAAGAGACAGAGATGGGGAAATAAGAGTAATAAGAGCAGGACGTAAGACAGACGACGACATAAGCTGAAGGCGTCGACGACTTTCACACACAGAGTGACTATAAGAGAGGAGGAAGCTGGTTTCTTCTTCTTCTCTTTCTCTTTCTCTTTCTCTTTCTACAACATCATCATCTTTATCTCCACTAAGAAATCTGGTTAAGAACTATCAAAGTATCTTATATTGTTGCATCTATCTGTGGCTGGTCCTCCCTTGCATCCTCACCTCTGCTTGTCTGTCTGCCAAAAGTCAGGTCAAGAGACAGGCGGGCAGGCAGGCAGGCAGGCAGAGAGAGATGTCAGGGATGAGAGATGCAAGGGAGGACCAGCTGGATATGAGTGTGGTAAAGGAGCAGGAGCAGGAGTAAGGGTATAAGTATAGAAAAAACGTCCTTTCTTTCCAGTGAGATAAAACAAAAGGGACAAAGGCTAACTAGCTAGCACATGGGGATATCAAAGGGGGTGTTAGAAGAAGAAGAAAGAAAGAAACCGAGCCGAGTACTAGGACAGACAAAAGAAAAGAGAGGAAGAGGAAGAAGGGGTGGAGAGGGAGCTGGGATGGAGAGAAGGGGGAAAGGGGGAAGGGGAAGACGATACCTTGCGCAGTTGACAAAGGAAAAAGGAGATGAAAAGGAGACAACCGACCAGACCAGACCGATTTACGCAGTTGAAGGAAGGAAAAGAAAAGAACTTCAGGGGGTATGATATGCAATTCGTGAAAGACTCGAAAAGGGAAGAAGAAAACGACGATTAAAAAGGGCCATGTTTTGATAAAAAGAAGACGTACGACCACGACCGTTCTTTGGAAACCATTCCGTCCGTCCGTCCAGTCCGCCAGCCAGTCCCGTTCCGTTCCAGAGAAAAGAAGAAGAAGAAGTAAAAAGGAAAGGAAAGGAAAGGAAAAGAAGATTAAGAGATACATGGTGTTATTTGAACAACCGGGGTATGAAGAAACACGCTCGCGAGTCAGATGGGCTGGATAAGAAAGGAACATTGGGAAAAAAACATATGCATGCATGCGTGACATATGAAAAGAGAAAAAAAAAGGAAAGGCAAGGAGATGGGGGGAAATCAAGCTGAAGGTGCGAAGAAAAGAGACGATATCGGTCAGATTTCGTCGTCGGCTCTGGAAGGGAAAATGCCAGAGCTGCTCATGGAAATAGAGCTGTGTCGCTTGCCGCTCGACTCGGCCCGGGATAAGGTGACCAGCTTTGCGCTGCCGACGCTCATGTGGCGGATATGGCGGCCTAGGTCGACGCTCTGGGCTCGACGGATCTCGGTTACGTCCTCTGGTTCGTCGATGGGGCTGATTTCATTCTCGCTGTCGATGAACTCGGTGAATAGGCCTTCGCGGGACTTTGCGCGGGTCTCGGGGTTGACCAGACGCGGCTGTTTGCCGACGCTAGAGTGCCATGTCGGTGGGTCGCCGTCTGCGTTGGCGAGAGCCATGCCGTCGTCGGCTTCTTCGGGCAGTGGACTGATCTCGGCTTCGTCGCTGTGGCCGTTCATGATGGCAGGGTGGTGGACATCGGCGGCGTCATTGGAAGCGGTGGTGATGTTGAGACCGCGGTGGTGTTTGGGGAACGTGCCTTCTTCCTCCTCTTCCTCTTTGGGCACGGGGAGAGCGCCAAAGTATTCGTCGCTGCTGATGGCGTTGTCGTCTTCCAGGTCGGGATCAATGATAGGGCTGGTGTCGTCCAGTCGTTCGCGAGTCGAACCGGGGCTCTTGAGCGGTGCTTGAGAGAGACGTCGGGATGGACGGCCGGACAGCCAGCTGCCCTCCGAGTCGATGGAGGCCAGAGACTGCGCTAAGAAGGTGCTGTTGGGCCGGGTGTCTGGGCCAGACACGTAGGTTCCTGCTCCGATTCCAGCTCCGGCCGACATGCCGCTGATGCTGTACTTTTCTGCGCCGCTCATGCGCTGCGAGGCGGAGACCGAGACGGAGTACGAGTCTTCTCGGTGGAGGTTGTACGGCGGTTCGGGAGAATACATGCGTGGTCCCGGAGCGGACGTCGACAGTCGGACTGCGGAGCCGGAGCCGGAGCAGCCATCGTCGAGGTGTTCGGTGAATTTGGAGGTGATGGACTGGGTATCAGTGCCTGCCCGGTGGGAGGACGCAGCCGTACCAATGGCAATGGGGTGGGAAGCGGCGGAACCAGCGCCGTGATGAGCAGCAGCAGCACCACCGCGGTTGAAGTACTGGTGGGTGCGAGAAGTGACGGAGAACTCGGAAGAGCCGTTCTTTGGCAGGATGTTGCGGTTGGGCTTGCGGCGGAGGGTGCCTCGACGGCGGAAGAGCTGGGTCCAGGTCCGGCCGAGCTTGGTCTCGTTCAGCATGGTGCTTGGTTTGGTGGAGGCAGATGCAGACGCAGATACTGATAGTGATGCGGAGGCAGACGTTTCGGAGACGGAAGGTTGGCGGAATGCAGGGTGTTCACGGATGTCGGGGATCTCGTCTCTGTGTTCGTCGGCTGGGAGAGCGAGTTCGAGGGTCTGTCCGTTGCGAGAGAGGACGGTGGATGGAGCAACCTGGCTTTGGCGGCCATGTTCGGTCTTTAATACATCGGTGGCCGTTTCTATTTCAACGGCGTGCTCTCCCTTGACCAGGCTTTCCTTTGATGCATCCTGGAGCCATGACTGGGTTTGTTGGAGGGACTGCTGCTGGGACTGAGGCTTAGAGACGTCCATGCGGTCCTGTGATGAGGGGATGCTGGTGGTTCCTGCAGTCACGATCTTCTCGAGTGGCTGTGTCTGTGTTTGCAACTGTTGTTGTTCTACCTGGGGCTCTACCCGCGACTCTGGCTCTGGCTGTTGGGTTTGGAGTTGCTGTTGTTGATGTTCAGCTGATGCTTCTTCTGCCTGACGAGCAGCCGCAGCGGCCTGCTGTTGCTGTTGTTCTCTGAGAATCTGACGCTTGACCAGTCTGCGCCGTCTGTCACGGTCCATGAGCTGGCGCAGAGCACCGGCATCCATGGAGTCAGCCAGCTCTTCGATCTTCTTACTACTGCCGGCAGTAGCGGCGGCCTGGTCGGCAGAGAACCATCGTGGTTTGGCCTTGTCTCTGGTGGTAGAAGAACGCGAGATATCGGCAGTTGGCGGCAGAGAGCTGCGGGTTCCATCAGCCGAAGCATATCGAAGGAACGGTCGAGGGGACAGTGCATTGAGAGCACCGAGCTTGAAGGTGTAGGATGGCGACTCTCCCTGGTCGCGAATGGGGGCCGAAGGCGCAGGAGACGAGGTGAAAGGGTCGGAAAGATGCTTGTCCCTGTTGGAGGTGGCAGTGGCAGTGGAAGGGTTATTATTGTTGTTGTTATTGCGCTTTGGATGCTCCCAGACAAGACTGCCCATGCGCTTGATCTCCTGCTCGCGCTCGGGATCGATGCGTCTGCGTCTCTCCGAACGACGGCGGAGGATAGAAGTGGGCTCGGAGGGATATCTCTTCCCATGCAGCGTCGGAACAAGGTAGGGGGCCGTTGAAGCGTCTCGGGAGTCCTGAATCTGAACCTGAGACATCATGGTGTTTTGGTGGTGCTGGTGCTCAGACTGGCGGAGCTTGGACGGGGCGAGTGCATTGACGGAGGCAAAAGTGTCGACTGAAGTGGGCTGTCGCAGAGCTCGACCGGCCGGCAACGTCATGGGGGAGTCAGTAGCTGCTGTAGCTGCTGTAGCCGGAGTAGCCGGAGTCGTGATGGCTACGGGAGATGAAGTAGCAGCAGGAGCAGTGGTGGTGATAGCAGTGGGAGTTGCTGGAACTGGCGGTGCGGCTGCCGGAGAGACACCGCTGTACTTCTGACGCTTGCTGTCCCGACGGACCAGCCTGCCAGCGGAGAAGCCATGTCCGCCAGTCGTGGCCGTCTTCGTGGCCGCCTCGGTCTGAGCTGGAGGAGTGTGAGGCTGCCGTGCCGGAGAGGAGGATGCGGCCGGTGCAGTGGTCGTTGTCGTTGTGGTCGTTGTGGTGACCTCGTCGTCTCCCCGGCGAGCTCGCTTCTTGTGACGACCAAACGGCCAGAGAGCCATGGCGACGCGGAGGAAGACACGCAACGCCGGCTCTTCAATGGCAGAGACAGACAGACAGAAAGAGAGACGGCGAGGGACAGCGAGAGAGCAGGGCCTGAACGAGGCCTTGACGCCCCGGCCAACTCGGCGTCAGGCTCAGGCTGCGTTGGCCAAAGTCAGGCTTCAGGCTTCACTAAACTAAGGCTTCTGGGGCGTTGGCTTTCAGGCGGTTTGTTTAGCCTGTGACGTGGTAGGCTTAGAGGCAGAGACAGAAGCGAGCGACAGAGAGACGGAACGAGAAAGACATGGCAGAGAAGACAGAGATGAGATAGAGGATGAAGAGGAGGAAGACAGAGAGAGGGAGGGAGGGAGAGAGAGAGAGAGAAGAGACTCTGTCTTGTCTAGTGATGAAGAGAAGAAGAAGAAAAGAAGATAGTTTTTTTTTGTGTTCCTGGTTTTCTTTTCTTTTGGTGAAGCAGCAGAAGCCGCGGAACAACTTATCACCGCAGAGATGAGGATGAAGATGATAATAAGAGTAATAAGAGAGAGTAAGAGAGAGGATAAGGAGTAATGGTACTAATTAAAGAGTTAAGAGCTAACTGCTGGATGGCCTGACATGCGGGAGGCTGTTTCATCGCAGCAGCAGCAGGAGGCAGCTAAGTAGTTAAGTAGCTTAGGTGGTTGGCCAGGGGCATGGGGGAGGCTGCCCTCTGTTACATCTATATTGCAGGAGAAGTCGAGGACGGAGGCCCCGGCGGACGTCGACGAGACGAAGAGGAAGAAGAAGAAGTAGAAGCAGGAGAAGCTGACGGCGGCGGCGGAAGAGAAAAAAGGGCCTTCTTCTCTTCTTCTTTCTCTTCTCTTGCTTCTGTCTCTGTTGCTGTCTTTCCTACCGAGATGCTCTCTCCAGGCCCCAGGCTCAGGTCCTTCCCTGCCCCGGTACAAGTAGAAGCAGCAGCAGCAGAAGTAGGAGAGAGAATCTTCCTCGCCTCCTGCAAAGCAACAGAGAAGTCAAAGGCTTCGCTTCTCTCCTCAAAGCCCAGTCCAAGCACCGCCTTCTTGCCTTCACCCTCGACCCTCAGCGCAAAGAAGCGAGACGAGTCCAGCGTCTGCTCAACCACTCCTGCATCCACGTACGGCGCAGCAGCGAACAGCTCATGGGCTCCCTGGCCCTCTTCAAGCAGGATGTCAACCTGTAGCCGTTCCTCTTCTCTTGTTTCTTCTTCTTCTTCTTCCGGCAGTGCCAGGGGCCGGTTGGGCGTACGGTGGGTGCTTGATGTTGATACTGGGACTGACACAGCGCTTTCAAGGACTCGCAGACGGCCGGAGAAGATCTCTGAGCTGGTGCCAGTGCCAGTGCCAGTGCTGCCGCTGCCGGTCCAGCTGGAGGCGAGGTAGCCCTTCATCGAGGTCAGCGGTGGCAGGGCGTAGACGTGGACGTTGCCGCAGCTGAAGAGGACGCGCTGGATGGTCGAGGGTGGGAAGGGCTGGCCTGTCCGCGGGTCGTTCATCTTGCTTCTTCTCTCCTCTCTTCTTCTTTGATCCTATTATTGCTTCTTATTCTTCTTATTCTAGTACTTGTAGTTGCTATTATGTATGCATGGTGTTGTGTATGGGTGATTTGTCTCGCTGAGGTTCTCACTAACTTAGCTACGGCCCCTGTCCCTGCTAGCTCGCGTCGCTTGGGCGTTTTAGCGGGAGATCGATGATAAGCGATGAAGTCATAGCTAAGATAGGCGAGCACTTACTTAGAGAGTAAGAAAGAGAGTAGGGAAGAGAGTGAGGAACTGAAGATACAGGTGCACTCAATATATTCAGTCCTGGCCTGGCCGTGCCTGGGAAAAGAGGGAGAATTATTGATTTACACGGTGTCACGATGAAACATCCGGCTCTGCTTCTTCTTCCTCTTCCTGTTGCTTCTTGCTTCTTGCTTCTTGCTTCTTCCTCTTCTTCCCTTCTTCCGTTCCACGTTCCAGCCAGTGTAACGCGATAGTTCACAGAGTGCAGCCTGTCAGGTTCCCGGTGCTGATCTGTTGATCCCGGAGCCATGGGTTACCATGCTCGTCATAGTTCATGGTCATCATAAGTTGATAGTAGATAGTACAAGTGGTTGAAGAGCTAGAACCATATCTTGATGAGCTCCTCGCTGACGGCACTCGGCGTGAGCACGCCTGCCTCCGTGATGAGCGCGGTTATCAGGTGTGGTGGCGTATAGTCCACAATGTCGGTCGTAGCTCGGCGGTCTTTGTCTTTCGGCTCAGGGGTAGTGCTCTCGGTGGTGAACTCGATAACTCGCTGATCAACGGGAAGATCATACTGGCCAAGCGGGAACAGTCTCACAAACTTGTGGCTTTCCGCCACTACATAGAATGGCTTGCCCATCGCCTTCGCCAGCAGGCCCATCTGGTACGTGCCCATCCGCGATATTATCCCGCCGTTCTCAACCACTCCCTCTGCTCCCACGATGACCGTGTCCACCATGCCCATCGAGTACGCCACCGCCGACTCCGGAACAGTAGCCACAGGCACTCCCTTCGACCGCAGCACTGCCACAGTCTCCATCCCCTCCGGCACAGCTGCTCCTCCCGCGCTTCCACCTTCATGACTCTGTCCGTTCGGCAGCACATATATCACCCGGAACCGCACCGCCTCGCCAGCTGCCTTTTGCAGCATCGCTCCCACCGCCCGAGACCCGCCGTTGGTCATCACCGTGCTACCGTCTCGCACGAAACCTGTCGCAAAGGCCGCGATCTTGTCTCTGCTCTCCTTGGCTCGTTGGATGAACAGCCGGCCGTTCGATAGCAGGTGCGCGCGGATAGCGTCAAAGTCCCCCGCTGGTCCCAGCTGCCCGGGCCGCTGCAGCGTGGATATCAGGTACCGCTGGAACAGGTCTGTGCCTGCCGACAGGCCGATCGGGTTGGGGATCGAGCGTTTGAGGTGTTCGGTGTGTTTGTTCAGCAGGTCGAGCGTCTCGGAAATGGTGGACGAAGGTGAGTGTGTCAGTAGCAGTACCAGCGCTTCAATGGCAGCTATAGGCATCGTCAGGTCTGGATCTGTTCGTAGCAGCTTGTGGTATGTCTCTACAATGCTGTCCTTCCGTTAGCATCTAGATTATCGCAGTGTATGTGTATACATCTATAGACTCACTCAAAGGGCTCCTTGTCCCCGCTTGAAGGGGTTTCCAGCGCCGGCGACATCTTGACTCGTATTTACGCAGCCAGCCAGTCAGCCAATGTGTATCCTCGGTCCTCCCTTTGACGGCTGTCTCCTTCAATTAATATTCAATCCAGAAGCTCTTCTGTCAAGCAAACCGCGGGGTAGCTCTCGCGCAGTCACTGCCGTCCTTTGCGGTCTGTTGTTTGCTGTCGGGTATTCCTCAAGGTATCTCGCTTGGTCGCCAGTATCAAACTGTCCTGTATCCCTTCGCAACTCCCTGTTTGCCTTCTTCTTGTCTTCTTCTTCTTCGTGTCTTTTTCTTCTTCGTCTTCAACTTCGACTTTGTGACTCTTTTTTTGTTTAAAAGTAAATTACCCAAAAGAGCATGTTTGTCTTGTTAACAGCCGCTAGTCCGCTTTGGGAAAGATGCTTATCATGTAAACAAAAATGCGGCTCGAAGAAGTTTTGAGACAGCGACAACTTTTGCGATAAACAAGACAGAAGACGAGAAGACGAGAAGACGAGACGCGGAATAGGATAGGAAGAGAGGGGAGATTATATATACACGCAGAGGAAGCCATGGCGTACAACTCGAGGACGACGCAGTACCGGGGCGGGCAGCAGCAGCACCGCCAGCAAAAGAAGGAGAACGAGACAGACGCCTTCTTGCGCCTGGTGAGTGTCCCAATGCTGATGCAGTTTTGCAAAGATGCGGTAATACTTACGGAAATATGCATATCTATAGCCGGATAAGGTCATTGCGGGATGTATCAATGATATCGGCATTCCCTTCACTATGGCGGACTTGCTCAAACCCAACCCGCAGCAGGTCCAGATGGTGTTTGAGTGGTTCGCAGAGCTGTTCATGAACACGACACGAGAGACCGTGGAGCCGGCCATGCTCGCAGCAGCAGAAGACATTGCAGGAGACCAGGCAGACATCTTTCCGCCAGATACGCGCAATCTAATGGGCTTCCTCGTCTCGTTGCGAAAACTGATGCTCCAGGTCGGTAGCGCCACGACCCTACAATATATACATACATATATACACATACGCATACATATATAAGTAGTTGCTAATTGGGGCCATTGACAGTGCGGAGTTCATGACTTTACGTTTACCGACATCACCAGGCCGACGTACGACCGGATCGCGAAGATATTCTCCTATCTGATAAACTTTGTCCGGTTTCGAGAGTCGCAGACTTCGGCGATCGATTCGCACTTCAACAAATCAGAGGACACCAAGATGCGCATTGAAGCGCTTTACGCCGAAAACCAAGAGTTGGAGCAGCGGCTGGAAGATATGAAGAGACAGCAGAAGGAAATGGACGGGGTGGTGCGGGAAAAGACGAGCCGGAACGACGAGCTGAAGACCCGGCTGCTGGAGTTGAGGCGGAATCAGGAACGGGTGGCAGAGTCGTTTGAGAGAGTAAAAGGCGAAAAGGCAAAGAAGCAGACGCTGCTAGAAGAAAAGACAGAAAAGCTGCTGAAGAGTCGCCAGGAGTGCGAAAAGCTACGGCCCTATGTCTCCCAGAGCCCCGAAAGCCTACAGTCAGCCCTCACGGAACTGTCCGACAATCTCGCTCATGATAAAAACCAAGTAGACGGCATGGAGAGGAGAATGCGTGCCCTGCAGACATCGATGAACACCTTTACCGTTGTCAATAATGAAGTCCAGAGCTCCATCAAGTTGCTAGAAGATATATTGGTAGAGCTACAAAAAGAGGACGACCAGGAATCCAAGGGCATCAAGAACAGGGAGGCCCTCGCCGAGAGAGGGAACACTGTCAGAGAGGTCGCGCACACCGAGAAGCTGCTCCAGTCGCAGCTGGCGCGCTGGCAGGAACGCATAGAGGCCCTGCGGAAGAGCAGCAGGGAGAAGGCTGAGCAGGCGCAGGCTCGCATGGAAGAGCTGCACTCGGTGCAGAAGCAGCTGCGCGAAGAACGGGCAGAGAAGCAGCGTGAGATGGAGCGTAGGCGCATCCGCATTGAACAGACCGAGAAGAAGGTAAGCTCTTTATTTCTATTTCAATTTATATGTGTATCGGCTTGTTCTATAAATACATGCTGCTATCTATCCCCCTTGCATGGGTGGCCATTGACTAACAAAATTTGGTAGATGGCGGATTTGAAAGAGACGATCGAAGATGAGATTCATCGTGCGCATGATGAATACCTGAAGATGGAGTCTCATATCAAGCTCTACACAACCGAGATAGAGAAGTGTCTCTAGTATGTCTACGGTGTCCTGACGTCCACAGCGAAGAAATCTGCCCGGACAAAGGGGGCAGGCAGGAGGTCGACTTGCTTTTTTGTACAGTTATGTTTGATTTAAGATACCCATAGCATCGCTGGAGTTTTTACTTGGAGGTATGGTATGACAATGATGACAATGATTTCTATCTTCTCTTCTACCAATGATTAATCTATTCAAACCGAAACCACTTCTTCATGACCTGCTTCACTTGTATGGTTTTGACGCCAGGCAGCCCTTCTTCCCCCGTTGATCTGGTAATCGAATTCAAAAGCGGAACTTTTACATCCCATATATTAGAGCCGTGCTGTCCTGCGTCTAGGACGGATTTGCATTCGCATAAGACTAGCCTTACTTGCTCTCTCGCGGCAGCCTCCACGGCCAGGGCAGCCGTCCTTGATAGTCCCTGCGCGGAGAACTCGATAGTAGAAGAATGGATGGAGACCAGGTTGACTATTGTAAGCACAGCATTGTCTTGGTACAGATTGTCCCCTTCCTGTCCATCTCGTGTCCTGCGCACCCTGAAAGAGCCACCTAGGTATGCCCTGAGATGCTCGATGGTGGGACAAAAGACAACCCGTATTTTCTCAGAGCGGGACAGTAGCCCGAGCGTATTCGAGAGCATCCAGTGGTTATTCTCATATTCTTCTTCATGGGTGTCTTCTTCTTTATGGGCTTTTCCTCCATGGTAGTCTTCTGCATGGTTGTTTTCTTCCTTAAGGTCTTCTTCCGCTGGTGGACTGCATCGCTCTCGTGGTACAAGAATAGACTGAGCTTGTATATCCGCGTATAACTCGTCGACAAAGGTCTCTCGGGTCAAACAGAGTATCAGAGTAACCGCCGACGCATTGCATTGTAGAAGATGTCGTGTTAATTCCACCACGGAATCGAACGTTGCGATGCTCATGCTGATGCTGCTCTCACGCCGGCCTGCGCACACCGAGGCATTCACGGGGGTATCTGCCCTTCATCTAAGGCGTCTTCTTAACTCTTTCTCATTGTCGACTGCGCGGGTAGCCGTTGTTTTCGTTGAGATATGTTAAAATATCATTGCTTGCTTGTGATGACGATGGAAAAATGTCATGTGGATGTTCAAGGTCGACGTCGTCTCATGCAAACATCGAATTTCATCCCAGCCAAAGAAAACACACACAAACCCACGACCTCCAACGAGGACTTTGAAGGCCGTCAAGTCGATCTATGGACGGCCTGGAGGCAAAGCTGAGATAACTTTTGATTTATTAAAGTTATTTCTTCATATGCCTATTTAACTCCACTGCCATGGAGACCATCTCGCGGATCTCGTCGATGCTGGAAACAGGTAACTAACTAGTCAACGAACTACAATCCCGCAGCTCCCTAGACTGACGAGAGAAACACCTCCATGTAACTAACCGATGGCCTTCCTTATAGCTCGCGAGCTCACGCTTGAAGCCGCTCAGTCCGCCAGTTCAGTCAGAAGCTTGAGACCGTCCTCCTACGCCCCCCGCACTGCTTCGGCGTCGCAGATCAAGAAGCTGCTGGATAGCAGGAATGACAGAGACATATTAGACGGCCTGCGCAAGGTCATTTCGGTACGCTGGATACTGGCCATCTTACTGCTACGATATGTCTGAATATTGAAGGAAGCTCTCTTTTCTCTCTCTAGTTGATGTACAGGGCCGAACCGTGTCTACCTTTCTTCTCCGCTGTCGTCAAGAATGTTGCCAATCCGAATATCGAAGTCAAGAAGCTGGTGTACATATACCTCTTGCACCATGCAGAGGCGGAACCGGACCTCGCTTTGCTATCTATTAACGCTATCCAGAAGTCCCTGACGGACCAGAACCCTCAAGTCCGCTCCCTAGCACTACGGACTATGTCAGGAATAAAAGTACCGGTTATCAGCCAGATTGTCTCCCTGGCTATCAAACGGGGATGCGGTGACATGAGCCCTCATGTCCGGAAGGCTGCTGCCTTAGCTATCCCGAAGTGCTACCGGCTTGATCCAGGGACCCTGCCGCAGCTTATTGACTATCTTTCCATTCTACTCGGGGATAATCAGTACTTCGTTGTTGGGCCGGCCGTTGCTGCATTCTTGGAAATATGCCCGGAGAAGATTGAACTTATTCACGAGCACTACCGGAGTCTTGTGAAGAAGCTTGTTGATATGGACGAGTGGAGCCAACTGGTCACCTTGAGGCTTATGGTCGTTTACGCCAGGAAATGCTTTCCTAGAAGGACGCAGAAGGTAAAAAAGTCTAACCCAAAGGGGTTCTATGACGAAGACAACGAGGAAGATACCCAAGACAATGACCTAGGCGAAGAAGAAGTTGATATCGTTGATCCAGACCTGGACTTGCTCCTGAAGGCTTGTAAGCCATTACTTCAGAGCCGGAATTCAGCCGTAATTGTAGCCGTTGTCCGCTGCTTTCGGTACCTGGGAACGATAGAACATTTGGAGTCGGCCACTGGATCATTGATTGCTTTGCTTCGCAGCCCTCAGGACCTGCAACATGTCGCACTTTATAACATCATCTCCGTTGCCCTCGTGTCACCCAAGCCATTTGTGAAGTATGCGTCGCATTTCCTTGTTAGGTCTACCGATTTACCTCACATTTGGCGTTTGAAACTGGAAATATTAACTATGCTATTCTCTCGCTGTGGAAACCACTTCAAAGGTGTTATTCTCAGTGAGCTGGAACATTTTTCGAACGGATCAGACCACGATCTAGTCCGTGAGAGCGTTCGTGCCATTGGAAGATGTGCCGAAGCCCATAGTGGCTCATCCACGCGTTGCCTCCGACTTCTCCTCCGCCAAATCTCCAGTGCTGATGACGTTCTGGTTTCGGAGGCCGTAACGGTTATCAGGCATCTCATCCAGCAGGATACTGCAGCCCATAAAGGCACTGTTGTTATGCTTGGGAACCACCTTGAGACAACAAGCAGCCCTGGTGCCAGAGCAAGTATCATATGGCTCGTTGGAGAGTTTGCTGGGATCGATCCTCATAACAACATTGCGCCGGATGTACTGCGTCTGTTAGCAAAGGGCTTTGCAGATGAATCAGAAACAGCCAAACAGCAGATATTGTTATTGGGAGCAAAGGTGTATCTGCATCATCTGCTCAATTCGCCTCCAACCTCAAATGATCCCAAGAGCCCATCGGAACATGACAAGGAAGATAGCCATGAGTTTGACGCCGATGACCAAGGTTCGTCACCAAAGGAAGAAGACTCCATCACCACGCTATGGAGGTACATTCTACTACTTGCCCGGTACGATACTTCATATGACCTCCGCGACCGAGCTCGTCTATACAAATCCCTCCTTGCCGTGCCCAGCTCGACCCAGCTCGCCAGTCTTTTACTTCTAGCACCCAAGCCGATCCCTCACACGTCCACGCCATCAGAAACAAGGAAAAATCTCCTCATTGGTTCGTCAACTCTGGTAATAGGGCCAGAAGCGGGCATGTATGGCCTAAGGGGCTACGAAGACCTTCCAGATTGGGTAGAAGCAGGACACGAGCCGGATCCAAAGCTCCGAGATGATGACTCCGGTAAACCCGGTGTATACGGCGAAAAGATCAGTACTACGGCTGGCGAACGACTTGATAAAGCGCTTCAGGAGCATAACGTTGTATCTGGAAAGGCGAATATCAATGGTAAAATAGGCAATGTCCCGAAGAATATGTCCCTTGATGACTGGCTAGCGGAGGAGGAAGAGGACGAAGAGGAATATGAGGAAGATGAAGAGGGCGAGACTGAAGAGGAGACTGAGGAAGAGGAAGACGATGAAGAAGAGGAAGGGGAAACCGAATATGAGACTGATGAGTCTGGAGAGGACGAAGAAGAAGAGCCGGATCAGCAGCATGCTCAGCCGGAAGCTGAATCCGCAAAACTACTAAAGTAAAAAGCATTTTACGGGCATTATAGAGGAATATTACTGTCGATAACGTCATTTTCATGAATATAAAAAAGTTGAAAGGCATTATTGTAATATTATATCATCTAATATGTTAATAAAAAGACTGCATTTGAATGCACTAGGGAAAGATTGATATCCATAGACTGGGACCTAGATCCATATTATGGTAGCCCCTTTTTCCACCAAGGTGTGACAAGCTCAAAAGACAGCCAATTAAAACAACAAGTACGCATTAACGCATGCTTGTTTTTGGATCATGATATGATATCTGGTGCATCTAGGAATCACACAAGCCTTGAATGTACTCTTGTGTATTCACGATATTGGTTCTACTTCCCGGGCTGTATCCGTATGACATCGAGAGAAAAGAACGGCTTCCCCTCGGAAACCTAAACCTTAGGCTGAGCATAGACTGGGTAGAGTAGCAGTAGCAGAACTCTTATAGCCATGACTATTCGAGCAGTATTTACGTGACTTTTGCGCCCCTTACCCGGATATCTACTTCGTATGGTCCCGATTAAAGGTATGGGCATTTTGTTTTGTCCCACCAACACTGGGTAGATAGGTATTCAGGTATTTTGTCCATCTGTGGAAGAGTAAGTGACGATGGTATGTAGGTATGATATGAGCACTGCTGGAATAATCAGATGTAAATTGAGAAAAGACAGGAAGAATAAGGAAATAATTAATTATCGCGTAGAGCGTAATATCCAAGAATGCGTAAACCCATGTCAGAGCTGACCGACGGATTTATCAATCAGCCTGAACAAGTAAAAGGGAGATAGGTAGGAATTAACTCTCCAGTAGCCTTTGATGACAGGCTTTCTGTGCAGGGAGAGGGGGATTACTGGTAATTAAGAGTCCCGTGGGAATAATCAACGAGCCACACGCAGTGAAAGAAGTGAGATTAAATCCGAATAGGCTATAAGAATACCGATTTGGCCTTCCCTGGGTTCAAGAGCTTGATATCATGTGCGTGCCAGAGGCCATAGGCCTTGGAATTTGAAGAGGCCGAATCGGGAAGGACCGTGGGTATGGTTTTATTTCAATAAAGAAATTCGAAGACGGTAATAATAATAATAATAACAAGCAGGGAATTGAACCAGTAAGCGGATAAGCGGCTTACCAGCGCCGACTAAGATATAATCAGTAAGTATTACTTTGAATGACAGTCTTAGGGTATACTAATGTCGTACCTGTAAGCTTCTGCGACACGCGGATGACGACGCTCGAGTCTTGGAGCAACATCATCTACTTGACGCTGGATTTCGTCGTCAGGTAGTTCCAAGGACTCTTCCCTCGCGCGCTTTCTGTGGTATGCCCCGTGGAAACTTTGGGGTTTGGAGTATCTTTGTGGGGTTTGTGGACGTTCATCACTATCGTTGTTTCCAGGTGTAGTGGACAATGGGGTGTTGGTATTGTCCTCGGTGTTCCAGGTCTGGCTAGGCTGGCGCTGATGATAATCACGGTCATCGTCCCGACCTTGTTCGGAGCCGGTGTAACTACCGTTTTCCTCTTCTGGGGTTTCGGCGCCATTGGCCTGGGCTTGTTCTTCGGAACCGGCGTAACTTGCATCTTCTGGTATCTCAGGTTCATCTACCTGCTCGCTATCATAAGTTGTATCTTCAAGGGCAGGTTTGCTTGGAACATATTTGTGAGCCGCCATCATCTCTTTCTGGCGAGTGATAAGATCTTTGATAGGAACTGTCTCTCCATCTGAGGGGAACTCGGAGAAAATTGGGTCTCCCATCATGAAGGGCCAGTCCTCTGTATTTCGGATATTTTCGTTAAATTCATCAGCTCCCTTGTTTAGGAAGTACTTTGAAACAGACATTCCTGGTGGTAAGGAAGTATGTGGAGGCAATTTGCAAATATCATCCAGGTCACTGAATACCGATGGAAGTGGTCGACCAACTGCGTGAGGCGATCTCCAGGCTGCAAATGTTATTAGATCGCTGTAGAGGATATAAAAGAGAAAAATATCAGTGGAAATTAACAAGACATACCATTCTGCGCACTGTCCGTGGTGTCAAGGTCATAAAATCCTTCAACGTGGCTGTCCGGCCGACGTGGGGGCCCATGACCATCTCTGCCTTTGCGGCCTTTCCCTCGCCATGACTGGCTGCCACGCGGTGGGCCATCCCACGAAGACGGAGGTGGTCCTTCCACTGGATATTCAGGATAATCGCTCTCTCGACGTCGAGGAGCGCGGCGGGAGTGGTAACCTGGGGGAGGAGCATCATTATAGTGGTATGGTGGCATAGGGCCATGGGAATCATAATCATATCCAGCCGCTGGTGGAGGGCCATGGTGGTCATATGGCGGGTAACCATATGGGGGTCTGTGGTGCCATTCTTCTTGCTCGGGAGAAGCTGGTCCTGGGTAATCATAGTAGCCGTAGGAATGTGACGGGTGAGAGAACGAGCGATGAGGTGGTCCTCGTTGGCTCGGCGGAAACTCATCCCGATATTGATGTCTAGGCCCTTCAGCTGTTCTCTGTCTTTTGGCCGGACGGGGATGCTTGTGAAAGCCACTGTGGACATCAAAATTAGCGAATTATAGGCAACCATAAGCTTGGAATAAAAGCTGTTGACTCACGGTGATGTTTCATGTTGGTATTCCGGGCAATGCTGCACCATGTGGTCGAAAGACCCACAGGTATAGCATGACGGCGGCGGTTGATCCTGTGGAAATGGAGGGTTCATTTGGTGGAAAGATGCATGACTCTGACCGCCTTTTTTCGATCGATAGCCATAGTTGCCTCTACTCCCACGTTGTGACTTGCTGCCAAAACCAGGTGCTGACCGTCGTCGCTGAAGCCCCTCATCGGGGGAGCCCATCTGCTGAGGCACCATGTTGTATTGTTGCTAGAAGCTGAGCATGAAAAAATAGAAAGGAAATGGAGACAATAAAGAAGAAGAGAGATGGCAAGACAGCAGAAGACTTGTGCTTGATTCGACGTCTGTCAAACTTTGGAATTGGTGACGTTGATATAGCCTTTCACAAAATAAAGCATTGCCACTGAGCTTAAACCGCTGATATCTGAGGTATAAGACGATATTCTGCGAGTGCTAGAGCTAGGGGTATTCCGATGGGCTCAGCCAGCATGAATTCACATTGGCTGCTCGTTCCTGGAGGGAGGACCGCAGTCGCTGGAGGTTTCTGTGACTAAGTGTCAGACAGCGCTCCTGACCGAGTTCGAGATTCAGTGAGGTATTATGCTCTGGCGTTCCAGACGTATCAAGTTCGTCGATCGAGCGGCAATGGCCGGTAGCTGTAATGATAAAAAAAGGGGGGGGGGGAGAGGAAGAGTATCCAAAAAGAAGAAGAAAAGGAAGAAGAAGCCGGCCTTCTCTCGCTTTGTGTCTTTATGCGCGCGCAAGAAAGACGGAAGCTGAGGTTGAAGTTGGAAGTTGCAAAAGTTCGAGAAGGGAAATTTATGGCCCCGGCAGTTCGTTGTTCCGCGCCGGGCCGAAAAGGGGGGTCACGTGTAACGCCTTTATCAGATCTAATATTGAGTCCTAGCGAGTTTGGACACAGAATGAGATAATTATAGAGACACACAGAGGTTTATAGGGCAATGGAGTTTGCTGGATGGGCTGATATCCTCCGCTGGTAATAAGTCACAGTGGCGATCTGCTAGCATTGAGGAGCTGCTTTGGTCTATGTATACAAGGTTGTTTGACAGGGTACGAAGTTACATAAGCAAACATAATTATTAGTCATCTTTTCGATATCAGAAACCTTCGAGGTCAAGAAGCCGCAAGAACTCGCAGCAAAGAAGTCGACACTTTTGCGCTGCTGGAGTCTTCCCTCCCCTGTCTGATAGCCGTCTTGTATAAATAAGCCATGCATGGTCCTCGCGTCTAAGCATTCAAACGCCCTCCGTCAAACCATGCGAGTTCCGTTTTGTCCATACCGTCCCTCGTTACTTCAACCCGTCCAGCAGATACCGTTACATGCGAATCGCTCCCTTCCATCAACATAGTGCGCGCACTTGCCTTCTCTCCCAGAATACAAAGACGAATAGGATAGAGGGATCGTTTCCCTTATCTACTGATCGGCACTCTTACTCCTAGGCGTCATGCCAGGCCTTCCGAGTGAGTACAAACACAACCATATCCCTTTGTTTATATATCTATATATTTGTTACTTATTTATTTTTTTTATCCGTTAACTAACTGGATCTCTTTATTCCGTATAGCTAGCATTGACTTGGACGAGTGTATCGAACGGATCTACAAACGCGAACTGCTGGCAGATTCGGTTATTGAAGCGATATGCTCCAAAGCAAAGGAGCTGTTGATGAAAGAGAGTAATGTCGTACATATTGCTGCTCCGGTTACTGTTGTCGGCGACATACATGGCCAGTTTTACGACTTGATTGAGATTTTCAAGATTGGCGGATTCTGTCCAAACACAAATTACCTCTTCCTTGGTATGTAGCGTACCTATACATACATACTTGCCTGTGTTTGGTGGCCGTTTTCCTGACATTCACAGGTGACTATGTCGATCGAGGACTGTTTAGCGTGGAGACGATCTCCTTGCTTATCTGTTTAAAGCTCAGATACCCCGAAAGAGTCCATCTGATTCGAGGAAACCATGAATCGCGGGGTGTCACGCAGTCATACGGGTTCTACACCGAATGCGCTCGAAAATACGGCAACGCCAATGTCTGGCACTACTTCACCGACATGTTCGACTTCCTTACTCTCAGCGTTGTTATAAACAATCAGATCTTCTGCGTCCACGGCGGCCTGTCTCCTTCCATTCACTCGATAGACCAGATCAAGATCATCGACCGGTTCCGCGAGATACCTCACGAGGGTCCCATGGCCGATCTAGTCTGGTCGGACCCAGACACAGAACGTGACGAGTTTTCTTTATCTCCTCGAGGTGCAGGTTACACTTTTGGAGCACAAGTGGTCAAGAAGTTTTTTGGAAGTGAATAGCATGTCCCATATCTTGCGCGCACATCAGCTGTGCCAGGAAGGTTACCAGGTCCTATACGACGACCGACTGAGTACCGTATGGAGTGCGCCGAACTACTGTTATCGGTGTGGGAATTTAGCGAGTGTGCTAGAGGTCAGCGATACTGGTGAACGGTTCTTCAACATCTTCGACGCCGCGCCGGAGAACAACGATGTCCATCGTGGAGACCAAACGGCCCAGCAGGGGAAAGACGGACAGAATCCTGTGATTGAGTACTTCTTATGATATCCTCGATTATATATGCAGAGCAGAGAAGAGAACAGAGTGATTCCCCATCCATCCATCCAGCCCAACGCATTTTTAAGGAGTTTCGATCTCGATAGTTTTTTTACAAGGATATCACCTCCAACGGAGCGGTTATAGACCAGAGTGACACAAAGGCAGAACACAAAGAAGAAGAAGAAGAAGAAGAAGGGAGAAAAGAGGCAGTCATCTTCATCATTTGAAGGGGGAAATTATCACTATCTGGGTTGAGAACAAAATCTCTTGTCGTTGAAATAAAGATCAGTCATTGATGAGGCAACAGTATTGTGTTAACACCAAGACACGACACGGTTACGGCTGTGAAAAGCGTGCCAACTCCCAATATCACAGCCACGGTCTGGGTGCCGCCGGTAGCTAGGGGATTACGAGACGAAACTCTCTACCAGTCTTTGGCGATGTCAAAGGTCCATTCGAACTTAAGATGGTCAATATTGTCGTCATCGACGAATTTCGAGACGGCGTTATAGCGTCCTCGCGCAAGAATACCAGAGGGAGCCTCCTCCTCGTTGACTGTTATGTTGTCAGTGGGGATTCCGTGGAAAGCAGTTCCAGACGCGGACACTTACACTTCTTCTCATATACTGGCTTATCCGTAGTGTTTGGGGCATAGCTTCCCTGCACAGGCTGTCAGCGGTGGCTCCCCTGTGTTGTGTCTTGATCACAAACTAAATTAGAGAGAAGAAAAAACATACCAACATCTCCTGGTCCTTGCTCACTCTTATGCCCTTCCTTTTAACAACCTGGACATATTTCAGGCCACTGAGAACGTCATGCTGCACCTGGAACGTGGCCTTGATGCGGAACCGCGAGCCTTCCTTGATGGTGAATGGCTTGTCCTTGAGACTGTCGACCGCTCCGGGCTCGGAAAGATCAATGGTTATATCCTCCCGGTCAGCCACCTCGAGGGCAAGAGACTTGATGATACAGGTGCGAGGGTCGCTAGGATTGGTGATGGGTGTGCCGCTTCCCAGGCCTAGTGAGGCCTTCCATCGGTTGAGGGATTCGTCGTTCTGGTCTAGATCAGACTGGTCAGCAACGGGCCTTCGAAGATAGATGATAGATTGATAGATCCGGTAGCTTGAATATAAGTAGTTCCATGACCCCTTCTGAGGCTGGTAGCATTGTATACGAGACGGCAGCAGCAAGAAGGCAGCTGTCTCGAGCTTCCCTGGCGAGATACTGACCTAGAGTCTTGTACTCCTCAACGGTCTTCTTCTCACCGACTTTGAAGCCGTCGGTCTTGGTGGCGGCCAACTCGTCGTCGTGGTCAGCCATGGTTGCTATAGACGGTAGACTTGCTGAATAGAAGAAGGACGAGCAGGTACTTTTATGACGAAGCAGTAGTAATAAAAGAAGAAGCTGTCGAGCTGTTCAAGCTGACGCTGGCGAGAGAAGTTGTCTGTTGGCGTTGTTGTTCTTTCTCGAAGGTTTGCTACAAGGTCTGCTTCTGTTTCCTCTAAGTGGGGTAAACAACAAAGTCATGTTAAAATGCATTACTATTTATTCAGTTATTTGGCTATTTAGTATTATTTATTGACGAAGCTCGCCATTAAGGATGTCAAGAAGGTCACTACTATTTGACTACTCGCTGACAAAAGTGAAGATGCCTACCGCACTGTGACAGCCTTGCCCTTGACGTGAAACGCCTCGACTGGTCGTACAGGCACAGCGGCGGATGGCACACATAGCCTTGTAGTTAGATCTACAGCGTCAACCCCCTGCCAGAGGGACAAGAGGAGCGGGCCAGGTAAGAGCAGAGCCAGGCAGCTGCGGAACGAGTAAGTTCTTGATCTTACGATTGTGTTCTATCGGATCCTTCTCGTAGGCTGCCGTTGACGTATAAATACTGTGCAGCATGTTCTGTATAGATCAACAGATAGACACCTCCAGTCAACAGCTAGCAGTCAACAGTCAACAGCCGGATAATACAACGTATAAGATGCCACTCACTGCAGAAGACTTCAACAGAGCCATGGCCCCGTCGACCGACGAGCGCCGGATATACAAGGGCAATTGTCATTGCGGCAACGTCCGGTTCACGATCAAGATCGCGCCGCTGGAGCAGAGCAAGGTCGTCTGCTGCAACTGCTCGAGCTGTGTCAAGCACGGCTACCTGCTTGTCTACCCAAGGATTGAGGACGTCGTCTTTACCCACGGCAGCATGGACTCGATGTCTGAGTATCGATGTGCCACTATGTCTCGGCCGCATAAATTCTGCGGCAACTGTGGGACGCCGGTCATGATCCAGCTCGAGCATGGAGACACGCACCACCTGCGAGAGAACATCGCCGTTAACGTAGGTCTTCCTCGTCCTTTTTAAGTCTTCTTAGGCTGCTGCTGACAGGCTACAGATCCGAACACTGGAAGATGTCGACGAGGTGTTGGATAAAATCCAGTTCCAGAGATTCGATGGGAAGAACGAGATTGGGGAAAAGTACTCCCTGCCTCCTGTCTAGCTACCTCGACATCTACTGGCTAGTCCATCTGTGTATATAACGTCGATAGCCAACAGTCTCTCTCCTCTCTCCTCTCTCCTCTCTCCTCTCATGCGGTGCATCCTTCCCTCCTCCTGCTGTGTGCTGCATGCACTCCGCAAACTGCCTGCCCAACCGCCTTCTCCCGGCACTGCAGGCTGCCCTGGCAACGTCTCTCTCTCCTCTCTTTCTTCTCTTCCTCATCTTTTGATGCCCAAAGCTAGAAAAAATAATTAAATAAAGTAAAAAAAGCAACGAAAAAAGAATAAAAAGAAATTAAATAGATATTAGCTGACTAAGCCACTCCCCCCGAACTTTTTCCCTTTTCTTCCTCTTTTGGCTTTCGCTGCGAAGAAACAAACGCGCATTTCTTCTTCTTCTTCCTCGACCTCGACTTCGACTTCGACTTCGTCCTTTTTCTTCCTTTCAACTGATTCTCCTGTCGTCTCGCGTCGCTTTGTCCCTTTGACCTAGGTCTTACCGTCGAGTGTCGTGCCGACCAGAGGTAGAGACAGTGTCGAGGGCGCATCTATCGCTGCATCCGTCTCGATAGGCATACTTGTCCACGTCCACTCAATCACGCCCCGTTCAAGATGCGACCACTTCCCGCGCGCCGCAACCCGCACCTCCAAGGCAGTAATTGCCCGGAATGTACGCTAGATGTGCTCTCACGAAGTCGTACAGTCGCTAATCTGTCTCCGTAGATGAGGAACTCGTCGCGCGCCGCCGCCTGGGGAGGACAAACCTCGCGGTCGCCCCAGCTAAAATTGGCTCCTCGAATGCGACTATGCCCTCGAACTTGGGCCCATTCGAGTATGCCCACCTCAGAGCGCCTCTTCCGGCTGACCTGAAGGGCTCTGAGATCTTCTCTCCTAAGCAGCATCACATTGACTCCTACTTTCTCATGGTGAGAGGACCCCATTAATCCCTGCGCGCCCACAAAGGGGTGTATTGAATGAATGGCGTGCTGATTTCTATTCTATAGCGACGGAGTCGTGATGGCCATATAAGCGCGTCGGGAATGTTCAAGATCGCCTTCCCCTGGGCTAAGCATTCAGAGGAGTCAGATGAGCGCGACTATCTCCGGACGCGTCCTGAAACCAGTGAAGACGAGATCGCAGGAAATGTATGGATATCGCCAGAACTAGGTACGTAGCGGTTGTTTCCAAGCGTTTTGAGCGCCCTGTCAATGCCTTCTAATACTGATATTCGGTCCACAGCTCTTGAGCTAGCAAGGGAGTACGGTATCGTGACCTGGGTTCGCGCTCTCCTAGATCCAACTGATATTCTAGACCGCGGAGACAGTTCGTCGCCAGATGCAGAGGCGATCCCAGAACCTCCCAAGTTTGACTTGCCGCCACTTGACACTCCTCTCCTCTCCCCGCCTGAGGGAGAGACGACCACCCGCGGTAGGGGCAGACGATCAGCCTCGCCATCCAAGTCTGCCACTGGCCGGAAGATTGCCATTCCACGAAAATCGCGAAGAGCGCAAAAGGAGTCCAATGCCAATGCTAGCAGTTCTCTTCAAAGTAGTCTAGACGCTGCTGCTGCTTCGCCCGCTCCCAAGAAACACGATGAGGAAGAAGATGAGGCTCCTGAGGCCAATGGCCATGATGAGGAGGTAGAAGAGGAGACTACTCTTGTCAAGAGACCCAAGGAACGTGTTACTGTTGAAATTGAATCGAAAGTCGATGTCGTTGGAGAATCGGAGAGCGCAATAACCAACGTCACCGTCAAGATGCCTGCTGGCCTGGCCGATTTGCCCATGCCAGAGAATACTGAGAAGATGCTAGAAACGGCCAAGGAAATGGTAGAAGAAGCTACCAAGCTCCAGGAGCAAAATGAGGAGGAGGCTGAAGAACAGACTGGATCTCCTTCGCCCAAGAAACTTTCCAGGAAACGAAAGGCTGAGGAGATAGTGGTGGAAGATGACGAAGAGGAGGCCGAGGATCCTCATGCCTTGAAGAGAGCTAAGATACTTGAAGACAAGCTCAGGAACGAAAGAGTACGGAACCGTGCTCTATTCGGTGTCACTGCCACTCTTGCTATGGCGTAAGTTCATATTCTTTGTCCCCAATTAGATCTATACATACTGACGTCTTCCCAGTGCGGCGATACCTTATTTCTTTTAGTTGACTTGGTATTTCTACTTCTAATTATTTATCAGTGCTATCTCGGCCACTGATGGAGATTACTAATTCTCCGTTTTCTTTCTTTCGTCTTCATCCTTGTTATTTTTCTCTTTCCCCCAATCAGATTGGAATTGGCACTGTGTTGCTCTTGATAGTTATTATCTTTCCAGCTGTTGATTTTCATTTCTTCCACTACTGTATTTGCTACTGTTTACCCTCCCCCTTTTTACTCACAATGCCTCCCTTATATCTTCTCCTGAATACTACTCAAAGCATGGTCCCGCACCCATTTGCCCGAATACACGCCGCTATCCCCTGTACAGCCTCACGTTTCTTACCACTCGAGTACGTACCCAATTCACTCGCTATTATGCTGGCAACTATCCCCCAGAAACAGGCCTAAACGAGCTTTTTCAAATGAAGCTCTTATCCCTGTGTCCCCTTCCTAGGCCCTTCGTCCCTAGATAACATCACTACACGCTGCGTCCTTGCTTCCACAAGCCATATAAAATCAATCCTATAATATAACCCGCTAATCCATTCCCCTCCCAAAAACACTGCTTAGCACACTCTGGAGTTTTCGGCGTCTTAAGGTGTGCATTGCATGTACCCCTTTTCTCCATGAGCCCTAGCATTGATATCATCAAAGAACAACCGCCTTCAACCCCCTACTAATAATCTACAAAAAACACGTCTACCACGAATATGCAGACGTCCAGCCCATTGACAGCACCGCAAGATACCAGCAAGGCACAGATATTATGACCCCGCTGCTGAACAACGGAAACATACACAGACGGATATGGACGGAGGTTATATATCCATTGCTTTTGGCCATGGTCCTTCGTTTTCTCTATTTTTGTCGTTTTATATGTCTCTTTTAAAGCCTCGCCATCAGCTCCAGCATGTAGGAATGCGTTTAATACCCTGGAAATCACTGTTTATCTACAATGGTTCAGAGTGGTCCCTATCCGCATGTCTACATCAACCACTGAGAGAGGCTGTGTGTCATGGCTGTTTTCTTTGTCTTCTCTTTTGTGTAAATACATTCAATCATTCATGATGTCGAAGTAGTACTACTTTAAAATAACGGTGAATCACGGTCTTTGCAGGCTACTTCTTCAATCATTAAATGTTTATACATGTCATCAAGTCCTTGTAATCCCCATCTCGTTCCCTTTTTGGGTGTTCGTTTTGTTATCGTATCTTATCGATAACTAAGAGCAAAAGCTTGGCGGATTTTCGTCCTTTAAACATCAACACAAGACGATCTCAAGGTCAGAGAGCAACTTGTGCCGCATTTCAACTCCAGAGCTCTCTCAGTCAAGATACTAGGCTGTATCTACATGTCTGTTAGGTTGATTAAGCCCTAGAGTTCTACTTTTTATGCTGTGAAAAGCTCAGAATCATGTCGCTACCAGGTTTGGAGCTCTCACAGCCCACCGTGGAAGCCCAGAGAGCTCCCGCAGCACCAGTACAGCATACCCTTTCCCAAGGCTCAGAATGGAGATTTGAAGTCGCGTATGGGAACTCAGTCAGAGTGAAGGTATGTCGCCCTAATACTATTCCTTGGTGATACTATTACTAATTTTATTGTGTCTTAATCATTGAACATAGTTATTGTCCGGCACTGCAGAACTGTTTGGAACGGAACTAGCTACGTCGCAAACCTATACCTTCTCAGGAACAAAAGCTGCCATATACACTTGGCATGGATGCACGTTGGAAGTAACAGAGGGGGATTCAGTTGCTTTAGGGGTCATAGGGAGTGTCCCTGCTCCTTCTGGACCAGGCAGCGGAGGATGTCAAGTGGAATATACCGCTGAAGAGACCCCAATGGTTGACTATGCGAACGTACACTTTGCACTCGAAACTATGCGGGATGAGGCGAAGGCTAGCGGTCGAGGCGGGCCCCGTGTGTTGATTCTAGGACCAGAGGATGCGGGGAAGACGAGCCTAGCGAAAATATTGACGGGTTACGCGACAAAGATGGGCCGTCAGCCATTTGTGGTTAACCTTGATCCATCAGAGGGAATGTTGAGTCTGCCCGGTACCTTGACAGCAACAGCTTTCCGGACGCTTATCGATGTTGAACAAGGGTGGGGGAGTAGTCCGTTGTCTGGACCAACGCCCATACCAGTCAAACTGCCACTGGTATACTTTTACGGCTTACGGAGCCCTCTGGGTGGAGGGGAGGAACTATATAAATCTATTGTTTCAAGACTCGCTCTGACCGTTGCGGGCCGACTGGCTGAAGATGAGGAGGCAAAGGAGGCCGGAATCATTGTTGATACCCCAGGAGAAATCAGTCAAGGAAAAGGTAATGGAGAGGATATTATTAACCATATAGTTACAGAATTTTCAAGTAAGTTTCTGTCTCCTTTTATGTATATAATAACTGCTTACCTTCTCTTAGTTTCAACAATTCTTGTTCTTGGTTCGGAACGTCTCTATAGTACGATGGTCAAGAACTATGACGGGAAGCCGATTTCTACAACCTCTACAATGCCAGTATCAGATGAGAAGATATCGGTAGTCAAACTTTCCAAGTCAGGGGGCTGCGTTGATCGTGATGAGTCTTTCATGAAATCTACTCGTGAATCTCAAGTTCGGTCATATTTCTTCGGAACGGCTGCCCCGTCAACTGCATCTTCGGCTCTTTCTACTGCTCCTGGTTCAGTCATATCCCTCTCCCCTCACGGCCAACATGTTGACTTTGAGAACCTATCTATTTACAGTATCACCATCAACAGTGATGAGTACGATGGCATGAAGCATATAACGAATTCTACAAACGAGTTCTCATTTCTACCTGGTGGTAGCAACGATGATGGAGAGGACGACACCCCTACGTCAGCTGCCGGTTTAGCCCCTGGTCCGTCATCAACAGGTCTCCCTTTCCAACAAATACCTTTTAAAAAGCTGGCTGCTACAGCCGATTCTCCTGTCTCACAAGCACTGGAAAACACATTATTGGCAATTACCCATGCTCCTCCGAATGCACCATTGAATGAAATTCGGGATGCTAGCATTATGGGATTCCTCTATGTTGCCGGCGTAGATTCTAAGAAAGGGAAGCTCAGGTTATTGTCCCCAGTGGCTGGGAGAGTGCCCGCGAGAGCAATAATATGGGGTAATAAATGGCCCGGGGAAGTCCTTGGGCTAGTGGGATAGGAGGATGTCTTGCGATGAAGTGTTATACGATTTATATACCAGCGTTTAGACATTTGATCAATTGAACATAGCTGAAACTTTTTTTTTTATTTTCTCTTGCGAGATATATTCTTTTAGTATTCCGTCTCTTTTCTACACTGTATCGTATATCCTCTCATCGTACAAATGAACGCCCAAATCGCAAAAGAAAATACAGAATACGACAATTCCTAGTACAACTGGGTTGTAGTCTATCCAAGACACCGTAAATAAAAAAGCTAGAAAGAAAAACTCCCAAAAATGCAACAGAAAAACACTGAAGGATAGTGGGAAAGGCATAAGGAAAAGAGAAACCGTATGTATAAAAGAAGAAAAGTAAGCAAAATGACAGGAAAGAGTAACGCGCAAGAATATATAAAACATCAAAACATCATAAGTTCATTCCCAACGTCTCCATTCAGCTGCATTTTTCCTCAGTTCGGCATCACGATCATAACCTAATGAAACATCTTCCATAAGCAGTTGCTTGTTCTCACGGAAAGCATTCTCAGCCTGGTATCGAGCCAAGACTGCTGCCCTCAGGTAGCCAAAGTCCGAACGCCTGACAGCTTCACGGAACATCATTCTCATTCGTGGGCTGTATAGCTGGCATGATGCCTGACGGGATACTACAGCGGTATTGTCTGGAGTCATTTGAACGGTTGGAGATACCAGCGACGCTACAGGGCTGTTACCGAACGGCCAGACAACGTCATCGTAACAGTCCTCACAGATAGTAAATTCGGGTAACTCATCAATGCCATGCCAGGGGCCAACGACGAGGTGGTCACGGGGGCAGTCATATAGGCGGTTCTTGCGTTTGGCGTATCGGATAAAGTCTCGTAGGTCCGGCTTATGGCTTGGGTCATGCCGATGGCGGGTAGCTGCTACATCGAGGAGGTCGAGGTATTGGATGAAGCGAGTGCTGCCGCAGCGAAGGTCGCAAGTCCGTTCCTGTGAAGTCGAGCTTGGCTGGAATGAATCACGTAGCGATGGCATGAGGATTCTGACATTGCGGAAGCATGATGCGCATGCATTGAAGTTAGGCATGAGCCTGCCGGTATCTGGATCAATGACTCTGTACCATGTTTGGGTGGAAGGAGTGCGACCAGGGCAACTCTTGTAGATTGACGAAGGCCGAGTGAGCTGGTAGAGCAATTCAAGATGATTCAAGCCGAGCTTCATCGTCTGAACCCATGCTAGTCGTGCCCATGGTTGGCTCATGGAGCATCGCACTGGTAGACCGAGGGGCTGAGGAGGCGCCGGAATGAGAAGTGATTCGAAGCGAGTCTTCTGAATCTGCTGAGTGCAGGATGGGCAGATGTTCATATGAGTCAAGCCCACTATGGTTGACCAGTCATTATAATCAGCTATGGCAATTGACCTTGGGCAAGGGGCCAATGCAGAAGTGTCCTCGCAACGACGTCTTGGTGACACTTGTCTATGAGGTTTGACGGCACCACGGCTCGTAGTCTCTTGTCCAGCAAGGGCTGAGCTTAGTGCCGGTGCAGTTGTCATTGCATTTTCCTGGTACCCTATATACGGAGACTGGATTGGCATGTCAACCGCGGGTAGGTAAGAAGGCACAGACCAGGACGTATCATGTCCGTTGCACTCATAGCAAGGAGCAGGGGAAATGTACTCCCATCCTTCGGGGTTGTAGTCTTGACCAGTGGGGCTAAAAGTGACAGGAGGGAAGGTTTGATGTTGAGTGAGAGCTCCTTCATATGGTGGCGCACTTGTCGTAACTGGTAGCTTTGTCATTGAGTCAGAGAAGTGTCCATCTGTTGGCTCTTGGTATTGATGGGAGCATATATCGAGATTTGCCCGCTCTAAGCGAGGTAGCGAGCTGCTGCTACGGCGTCTCTCGGAGCGAGAGGAGCTTTTCCCTTTGCCAGAGCTGGTCTCAGGGATGTAGCTATACATTTCTTCCGTAGCTATGGGCTTTCGACGACGGCTCGAACCTCGTTGGCGTGGTGCCTTTTCTGTGGTATCATCTTTCCTTGATCTTCGGCTCGATTTGGCGTCTTGGGTTGCTTTTCTAACAGGTTCGTCGACGACTGGAGGCGAATATCTCGACTTGTGGGAGGCAAACACCTCGTCATCACTATACCATTCCCCGACATGCTGACGGCGGTGTCGCCTTCTCTCACCACCATCAATCGAGACATCAAATCGCTGAACAGATTTCCATGCATCTGAAAGTCGCTTCGGTATCAAGCTCATCGCAGCGTATTTGTGAGATGCTGCTGGATGCTGAAATGTTGCTGCTGTATACCCTAGTGAGTAGTTAGCCCCTTGTGATTGAGGCCCCTCTGGGCCCTGAATCACCGATTTACGATGAGATCTTGAGCTGGAGTTAGATTTTTGGCTTGGCATGGCATCCTTTCCAGTGGCAGTGACATTGGCAGTAGTAGTGGCCTCGGGATCCGTGGAATACTTCATATTAGCTTTAGATGGGACAGGGCCCATTCTAACTCTAGGATGTTCATCTCTTCCAGGCTCTGAAAATCGGACCCTACTAGTAGGTCTCCTTTCTGATTGGCTTCGTTTGAGTGACGATGTATGTGGTGTATTGTCCGTGGCTTTCCTGTAAACTGGCATATCCTTTGTTGCGGCATTCTTTCTTGACATTATATGTTCATCATGATGGGCTGACTGGTTGCAAGGCCCCGGAAACTCCACTGGTAATATAATGGGCCACTGGTCGATTGTTCCTCTCGATACGACAGAGTCATCGTCTTCAATGTATGAGGACAGAGAAGAATCCGACACTTCGTACGAGCGGGCAACATGCTCGTCCTCCACACGAGGGGCCGGTGGCCACTTGTGCTTTGGAGTAGCGACAGCACACATCTCTCATGCAGATGGAGAGAAGAACGAACAAAGATGGCAAATGTGCTAAAAACCAAACAAAACAAAGAGGGAGCAGCTCCAAGGTGGACAGGTATCGCTGAGATCAAGGCACTTCCGGAACGGGATTTATCTGTTACAATAGTGATGAATTAGACATAACCCTGGAGAAGATCCGGTGGCTCACGCGACTCAAACTCACACCAGGGTCGCGGTAGCAGAGAATTGACATGGAGTGTAATTCTTGTTACGAAAGCAAAAAAGAAGTGCAGAAGGGGGCTCAAGAGAGTATCGATGATGTTCACAATAGGGCTGGAAAACAGGTGCCAGAGGGGTCCTACACAACAGAAACAGTCGTGTAAAAAGGATCGAAGGCCCGGAGGAGGCGTTTGGTATATAAAGAGAGTGTCAAGGAGGGTCGGTTATGCGCTGGGTATGCGGAATGCAGCGGGAAACTTGGTTGGGCATCAGGGGTAACTCCAGAAGGACCCGTTATTGGGCCGAAACGAATTTTGATATATGCAGCCCTGCCGGGTACGTAACTCGACGCAGCAGGGCGCTATCCAACATGCGTCGAGGGTCGATGGCTATGCAACACACGTCAGAAGTATATGTAGACATGAAACAGGGAGATTTCAGACTGCATAGAGAGAGGACTATCTCCTGCACCAGATTTTGTCCTTGACGCCCTGGGCGTCGAAAGGACCAAAACAGGAGTCGAACAACGAAGTTCGGGTATGAGCTTGAGCGGCGAGTCGATGCCTTACCGGGCAGTCTCGCTAGCTGCTGTTACGAGAATGCCCTGATATTATTTGCTGCGCCGCCACTCATGGTGGTTTGTTTTTGTGAGATTTTAGGAATGTTCGGAGAGTCGTCGCTTTTTTTTTTTTTTCGCGATGTGCTTTGAACAGCAGCATCTTGAGGCTCACCAATCATCCTTGTAAAGCAGAGTTTTCTAACGGACTCCTCTTTGCGATGGCTTCATGCTCTGTTATGTGCTGCAGGACATAGCTTTAAGGCGAGTCCCTTCATTCGCGCCATCAGTCAGGAAAACGTCACCCCATACCTAGGTTTGTGGAAGAAAATTTGGAGATGCATTTTGGTGGAGCGTACAGGGGGCGCCCGACGGCAGGATTCCTGCCCGAAGCCCTCCCTCTTCTCGTGAAGAAAAAGGAAGCACAGAGCGTTGGCGCTAAGTATGTATGGCCCTGACCCCATGACGGGCCGGTCTTAAATTCTCGCCCTCCACAGGGCGAATTCTTTTCGTATGTATGCAGCTGGTGGTGTTCTTTCTATGTGGGCGTAAGTCGCCGAGTGTGACTCCGAGTAGCCAACAAAATGCAGCCGAATCTACCAGAATGAAGGACAAATTACTGGATTGCCACCAAAGCTGATCATTTTACTCTGCATCCGGGTATTCACCGGGAATGCCAGGCTCTGTGTGGGCATTGGTGGTCCAAGTTATGAACCGAGAACCAGGCATCAACTCGGAGATAGAGGAATGTCGTGCAGATGTGATTTGGAAATGGCTGTGCATACAGTAAGATCTGTACTGATTTGATATACAGAAGTATGGAGTGAATACCCTTGTCAAGATATTATTTTCAAGTTTCATGCACCTTATCCAGAGATGACTTGTTGGTAGTTGACATAGTTGACATGGCAAAAGGTTGAGAGAATGACGTTATACTCAGGGCTTCAACAACAACTTGCCAGTTGTTTTCCTTCCTTCAATATCCTTTGCCAGTTGGAGATGATGTCAACTTTCTCGTTTTGTGAAAGGGTTTAAAGTGAGGGGAGACTGACCATGTGTGCCTGCTGAATGTCTTCAAGCAGGTATGTCTTATAGATACTTGTTTTTAACTTCCCAGTCTCGAGCAACTGGAAGAGTTCATTCATGTATAAGTCAAACTCTTCACGGGTATAAATATAATTGAAGAGAACAGGGCGGCATATCTTGAGATTTTTCCCGGCCAGCATCCTATAGGAACAATATTAGACTGCCTGCACCGGGGCATACGAAAATGATGGATGGGACACTCACGAAATTGGGAATGGAGGCACAACACCACTAGAGTTTCCGAAGAAAACTACAGATCCTTTCCGCCTGGCAGCCTTGAGACTGTCTTCCCAGGTATCCTTGCCCACTGAATCGTACACTGCGTTCACACCCTCGCCGCCTGTGACCTCCATCACCTTATCCAGCCACTTAGCTCCCTCCGTGCTCTTATAATCGATAACCACATCTGCTCCAAGATCCTTGACGATCTGAACTTTTTCAGGCCCCCCTGCAGTACCGATGACTTTGGCACCGGCTAACTTCAGTAACTGGGTCATGATGATACCTGCTCCGCCGGCCGCAGCATGAAGAAGAATCCAGTCACCCTTCTTGACTTCATATGCCTCTCTGATGAAGGAAAGGCATGTGGTACCGGTTAGTAGCACGGCGAGTACCTGTTCGTCAGAGACAGCCTTGGGAATCTTTGCTACTCTATATGCTGGCGGGGTGCTGTACTCTGCGTATCCTGCAGTTCCGATCCATGCAACGCGATCACCAACAGCTAAGTTGTATGGATTCGGGCCGGGGCCCAAAGCAACAATGGTACCCGCGCCTTCTTTGCCCAGGATTTCAGGTTTGGCAGAGTCATATACACCTTTTCTGAAGTACGTGTCGATGAGATTAATGGCAGTGAGGTTGTTTTTCACTAGTACCTCCCCATCCTTGGGAGAAGGGACAGGCAAGTCTGTTTTGTATTCCAGGACCTCAGGCCCTCCTATCTTGGAGACTAGGACCCCTTTCTGAGTAGCTGGAAGAGAAGACATAGTGCGGTAGATGGACGGTGATCCTCTGGGAGCTGAAATGGTATAGCCGAAGCCGTGGAGTCCTCTCTGTACCTGGGAATTGGCCGCGGGGTTGACTAGCGGGTGTCTATAAAGCCTAGGGATGAATGGCCTCCTGGCAACAGCTAACGTAACAATACCTTGTAAACCTGCCTTCATTGAATGCAGGTAGAGCTTGTAGGCATTGGATATATCTCTGGACCTTACGGTTGAGAGACGTTCAAGAGACTTCTCGTGTTCATGATGATGGATGTTGACTGATCACTAAGCATGCGGAGTTAGCCGGTGTTTATCTCCATTTCGGTCCCAAGGACTACGATTTAATCTCATAACCGAAGCTTGGAGTTTACATGGCGAGAACTAGGATGATTCAACTTATGCTTTGCAGGTATGTCTCTGCTGATTGAACGGCGTGGCTAGAGGGTCTACTTGAGACTTGCTTGCAAATGTAGTTAAAGCCACCAGCGACACGCCAGGTAGAAAATGACCAGAGAAAAGAAAATAAACCTCCATCTCACTGTATCAAGCCTCGATATCAGTATCTTCATCTTCATCTTCGTCCTTTCCAGTCCTCTTCGATCCCCAGACAATATGGTCTCCCCTTAAATCCCGAGGCTCTTTCCAGCTCAAGATCCCTTCGTTCGGCAAAGTGGTATAGAACGAGCAATAGGTGGCCATGAATTTGTCGAAATAATGAATGCCACAGCTGAGCTCCCACACGTTTGCATCGACCTTCATTCCAACAAAGAAGTGTGAGAGAAGGCTCTTCTCCACAAAGAATTCAAACTTCATATGGCTGTAAGGGGCTCGCTCTTCACCCGGTGCAAGGTCTTCATCTGGCAAGCTGGGGTCACGCCATGCGACAGCCTGTATTTTTCCAACCGCTTTGAGATCAGGAGCATCCAGTTCGTAAAATTTAGTGACCTCAGTAGATGGAGGGATAACTTCTGTAACTTCAAATCCGTATTCATGCACGAGAGTCGCTCGAAGCTGGTTGGACACGGCCAAGTCTCGGAACTTAACCACCTGCTCGAGGCTCCCTGCAGCAGCAATCCCAAACTTGACTACCTTTCTGGCAGCGGTCATCGTCATGAATGGAATTGTGTTTGAGTTTTCTACCCATTCTCGTTCCTCAGTGTATGTATCGAAGAATGAACCACCAAAGAGTGTACTACAAGCCATGTTGAAGTCACCTGGGGCGTTGGAATCGGCTTGGTAAGTCTTCCACAGCTCATCGGCAGCCTGATTGGTTACTTTGCGAGCGGCCATGATGTCGTCTCGATACTCCGGGCAGACATCATGGTGTAAGATGTAGTTGAGGAAGTTTTTAATAGTGTTAGTTCCGAGCCGGACAAGCTCCTCAGTGTCGATAGCAAAAACTTGAGGGAAAACGGATGATCTATATAGAGGGTCAGCCTTCAACATCCGCCAGTCTAAAGTCACTGGTAAGGAAATAAACTTACAAAAACCCCTTCGCAACAGTTTCAAAGTCAACATTCCATTTCTCACGGTCCTGAGGAATATTAGAGGAAGCAGTCGCCGTTGCAATGGCCTCTGCATCCATGGACTGAAGGTCTCGCTGGTCATTTCCTTCGAACATCTTTGGTCCAACATCGACACCGCCAAAGGCCATGTACTTCGTGAAGATGTGTCTCCTATCAGAATCAAGACGTCGTTTAGCTTGGTATCTCTGTATTGCTGTCTCGAGGCGCCTATAAAGAAGTCAGTATAGCTGCTTGTGTAATTGCGAACGCGTCCCTTTGAGACGTACTGGATAGCTGGCTTAGACCTGATTATTTGAGTTAGTTACTCCTCAATATGGAATCCTCTAGATATGTAAGGCTTACTGGCTGTAGATGGATTTCTCCTCTTCATGCTCAGCAGGAGTCATAGGCGGGTCAACGTAGTACTCCTCAAAACCTGTGATCTTCTTTTATCCGGGAGTTAGTCTCTTCCATATGTAAATACTTATTAGCTGGATAGAACCCTACCTTGCCTTTCTTTCCTCTAGATTTCTTCTTGGGCTTCTTCTTCACGGGGACTGATATGGTCTTATCTGTAGATTCCGCTGTGGCCTTCGTAGCCTCGACTTCCTGGTTCCTATCGGTTTCTTCAGCTTTTCCTTTATCACCTTTACTCATATCCTCCTGGGCTTCGACCTGTATCTGGTCAGAGTCTTCATTAACCATCTTTTTGGGACGATGGGGTAGGTCAATCGGCATATTGTTCAGGGTTGAAGTGCTGCTAGCAGCGGCGTCTGGTTCAGGGGTTGCTTCCATTTTTACTGGGCTCCAAGTCAGATCTTCCAGTAAACGGTTTTATGAAAAATGGCTTGAGGGTGAAACGTCCTTGGATGCTCCTTTGTAGGTGGCCAAGGAGATGTTAGGATACGTCTGAATGTTCCTCAGTCAAGTCATAAATAAAGAAACCGAAGCAACTGTTTCAAAGAGCGACTAAATTATTCACTCTATTTGGCAGAGTCGCTTCACTTTTCCTTCGCCTGGCCTATCTTCTGGAAAATAAAAATCGAGAGTGAAGAAGAAATATCGAATATGTAAAGGAAGAGTGAGAGAAAGAGAGAAGAAGTAGTCTTAACTGCTTCAGTATTTTTTTGCTAGCCTCTATACCTTCTTTGTCTGCCTATCGCATAGCTGCATCTTGTTAATGCAGCAAAGCAAACAACCTGGCCACTCAACAGTACCACTTCTGAGATGGATATTGAATATTGTACAAAAAGAAAGGAAAGAAAGTAAACGGCCATTTGCTACCTAGGTTAATCCCCTGCTACGACAGATTGGAGTATTGCTGGTGCAATGCTGCTGCTACAGGCCCTGCCAACGCTCCGGCTCAAAGGCAAGGAACGGGTTTCTTCCTTAATGCCAGATCCAGAGATACCTGTAACGTTGAGCCGAGTTGACCTTTTATAGATGGGTTAGACCAGCCAGCCTCTAGAATAACAGGCGGTTGTGGCAGAAGTGACGGTCGAAGCGAGAGCTGGAGGCACGACTGGTCTGGCAGGGATGGAGCTCTGAGCAAGGGTATCGAACCCCTGGTTAACAGCAGAGACAACGGACTCAAAGCCGCTAGCAAGGGAGTCTTGGATGTCTTGCACATGCTTTTTAAGGTCAGAGCGAAGCCCCCGCAGCTTATCGATAACACGGGAAACCTCGACATCAGTGCTCTCCACATTGCGTGCGGTGAGGGCCTACAGCAGGACCTGGAGCTTGAGGAGGGGGTCTCCAACACTCAGCAGGGAATCATTGGAGTTGAGATCTTTGCCCTCGAGCCTGGAGAAGGCCAGCATCCGCTTTATGTCAGGGTAGTTGTCCACGGTAATTTGACCCAAGGAGTCGTCAGAGCCCTGGTGACCGGCAAACTTGCCAATAAGGGCCTCCAGTTGAGCCGCAATGGCAGCAAGGTTAGGACCTGTGGGCTCCGAGGGGTTGGCCGCGCCAACAGGGGTAGCCGGGGTAGGAGCAGGGACAGAGGTGGCAGTAGTGGCGGTGGCAGGGCCAGGGCGCGCACCCTTGCCTTTCCAAGCGGGGGGAAGACGCTCAAAGGCAAGGTCGGATAAGTTATCAACCGCAGGGGGAATCAGAGCAGACCGGGCCGTTTGAACAAGAGCAGGCTCAGCAACCACGGTGGCAGGCTTAAGGGGGGTGGCACTGGAGGCTCGACGAGTTAATCCGCTTCGCTTATTCCGGAAGGATTGCTGAGCAGTCTTGAGCGTCGCGTAGGCCCCCTGGATGATCTCGTCCTCGTCCTCGTCGTTGACAGCCATGGTATAAGTCTGGTGGGCTCGAATCTTTGCTTGTGCTATAATCGCCACGTAAAAGTTATTAACAAATAATAACTGGGGTTTGCCAGCCTCTTCCTTGACCTGTCCGAGGCAGATTCCGTGATAATCTTGAACCCCATGTCCAAATATTAAAACAATAAGTTGGTCGTCATTCTGGTCAGCTATTCGACTTTGGCGGTAATAACAACCAGGGTACGAGACCCTTCGGCTTCTAGCCACCAGTGAGCATCGAAAGCAAGCTTGGTTATATGTTCTGACAAACTCGTTCCAACTATGAGGCTAGGGCAACTCTCTTTGGTAGTGTGAAGCTGCCATCGGGCTCTTTGCAGAAGTTGGAGTTGAAGTTATGGCCGTAACGCAGGTTGAGCCAAAATCTCGTATAATGGATTCAACTTCTATGGCTAGAACGAAGAACGAAATCGATCCCGTTTTTCGAAGTGGCTTTCCAGTCAAACAAATCTTAGATTTCTTTGCTCAGGCTCATATAGCGGGTATTCATGAGATGCCCGTTGAGAGAGCTCGGCTTATAAGTCCACGAGGCCGAGAAGCTATAACTTGAAGAACGGTAAGTCGCTCGTGGGTATTCAAAGTAAGTAGGGGATATTTATCAGGATAATATTGGTCAAAGTCTTAGAGTACTAGCCAACTCTTTCATATTGGTACATTCAACCTGCGGTGTTCCTTCCGGAAGCCCAATCAATAGATTTGAAGAACCAACACAAGATGAAGCCTGGCCTCCTTAATCAATCTAAGACCGACATGTTGTGTTGATAGGACTCTATAACATATGCATCTCCCGGATTGTATTTTGGGTATAAGGCTGTTTGTGCACAGTATAAAGGAGAATAAATAATTTCAGGGGCTAAACCGAGTTTTCCCTTATATCTCGGCCTATGACGTCATAGCTGGATATCTGTCGTAATAAGCTTTTGGTCACTGTCAGGCCAATCAGCGTTCACTCCATCACAAGCAACCCTCAGCTGCTGCTTATTTTGATATTTGTGATCCAAGCTTTGACAGCTATAGAAAGAGCCTGGTAGAGCTTGCGGAAAGCTCTGAGTCCATACCAATGACCTGGCCCTTGGCTTTTGTACCTTGGCTGTGCTCCACAAATTGGCCCAGTGTATACTGACAAAAGAGGAGCCAGATCTTTTGTTTATTGCTTTGACCCGATCGGTTCACTCGCTTAATGGCCTATATTGCCGTACTGAAGCTATTTGCCGGCTTTAGATAATTATATCCGTACATTCATGGTGAAGATGAAGACCAGCTGCGCGTGTCGCATATGTTACCACGAAGGGCTGGATCGATTATTTAGGGCCTGTTAATCTAGCTTCCATTCCTGCTCGATTATATGGTAATTCGTTGTCAAAATATATAGCTTGGCCACCTAACCACTAGTGTGGACTCTTTTTTTCAGGTAACAAAATCATTTTCATTGCTAAAAGATTGCTGAAAGGGTCTTTGGCTACAAAGTGCAAATCTCTCTTATAGATATTGAAGTTCAATGTGACGTCAGCCAAGCCCACAGTTAGTTACTCAGCATTGCTGCTGTACAATCCAAGAGCGTCAACAGAGCAAGTCGTTTTCTGTACGGAGTAGAAATTCAGCAGTTATCCATTTAGTTATTCTCTTCTATACGCGCAATTGTTGAACGAAAGAGTGTTACTACTGTGGTTGATTGATCCATTTAGTGTCTTTACCTACCTAGGTACTCACTTGGCTCCCATCGGGTTGCTGAGGTCCGACGGTACGGGGTATCTTGCCATACAACAACTTTTGACCAGCTGTCAGCTCCTATTCAAGGATCTCAACAATGCCTCCCTCGAAGAGCCAGAAGCTCGATGAGGATGACTTTGTGGCGTTTGATCATGCCGCTGCCGGACAGTAAGTTACTGACGTTGAACGACGGATATGGGGCAAGCGAGGTTGTGAGCTCATCGTTGACTGTTTATTGCCTGTATTAGTGAAGGTGTCCGCTGCGATGAATCGGGTTCTCTCATAGCGAAACCCTGCACCGAGAAGGAGATCCAGTTCTATGAATCGAGCGCCAATCACCCGGCGTTTCAGAAATACATGCCTACGTTTATTGGTTCGCTGAGTGCTGGTGCCTCCAAGGAGGCCCTTGATTTATCCAATGCCCATGCAGATGCACCGCTGGTTATTACTTCAGCCGAGGCACCTGTGGAAAAGAGTTCGCTGCCTATGGAATTGGCGACTGAGACAGATAGCATCGCCATCACTAGGCCAGCAAAGAAACCGGATGAGCCATGGGTTCCGTCTGGTGGTAAGAAGCTCGAGACCGGCCTGTCAATCGTCTTGGAGAATATTACCGATGGCTTTGTACGGCCAAATGTCCTGGATGTTAAACTTGGTGCGAGACTCTGGGACGATGAGGCTGTTCCCGACAAGAGAAAGAAGCTCGACCAGGTGGCTGCTGAGACGACAAGTGGGAGCTTGGGATTCCGCATTGCGGGAATGAAGACATGGGTTGGAGAAGGCAAACCACTTGGAACTGACGCCGATGTTACTGCAGAATATCTTCCTTCTACTGCTAGCGAGACAATCAAGTCTAAGGCGAAAATCACCGAGTCAGAGGGCTATCTTCGTTTTGATAAATGGTATGGTCGAGGTTTCGACGAGAATAACATCCATCAGGGCTTCCAAACCTTCCTCGCCTCCGCTAAGGCCGGTAAGGTGGATCGTTCAGCTTTTGTCGCGGAGAGGGTTGCTACCGAGTTACGAGCGATACAAGCCGTCCTGGAGTCGGAGGAGAGCCGCATGTACTCCGCTAGTGTTTTGATTGTCTATGAGGGTGACCCCGAAACGTTTGAAAAAGCTCTCGAGGTAGAGCGCGAGCAAGCCAACAAGCCAGAAGATATATCCACTCGGACTACGGGCCATGGAGGAGACAACGATGAGGAAGTAGAAGAGGAAGATGAAGATGAAGAAGAGCTCCCCAAAGTCCATGATATTCGCCTAATCGACTTTGCACATGCCAGTTGGACGCCTGGCCAGGGACCGGATGAAAACCTTCTGAACGGCCTGAGAAACGTTGCGAAGATCATGGAGGACCTAGCCAAGGCCTCCAACTAGAGCCTATGATGATACGAAAGAGAATAGACTAGATGTCGCTTTATGACTGCTGAATAGATGAAATGATACGACTTTTCCTCCTCTCTTACTCATTTGTTTACACCGTTCACGTGATGAGAATTTTGATTAGTCAGGATTATGAGCTTAGTCATTTCTTTATTGTTAGGTAATCAACGCCGATTTCATTCTTTTCAACTTTCTATCAAGAGGTCAACTGCGCAGTTTGAAATTGGGATTGAGGATTCAACCATTCAAGAGGCAGCAATCATGTTTCCCACTCGTGCCCTATTGAAGCGGTCCGCATGGAAGGGTAAGTATACTACGCTATTCTTCACAGGCTAGAACGGACTGAGCTAATCTACGTGTGTTCAGGACCAAATATTGTACCGTACGTTGGAAGAGCCTACAATCAGCATTGCGATATTAGATAGCGTCGTTTCTCATACCAATTCTAACGATTCTCTCCAGTCTTCCGCTGCCAAAGACTATTCCTCCTCCACCAGGAACACCAGCTATCCGCACGCAGGCCAGAGCAGCTACCATTCTGCCCAACTTTGTCGGATTAAGATTCGCAGTTCACACTGGAAAACTATACCAGGAAGTTCTGATTACCGAGGAGATGGTTGGGAGAAAACTTGGAGAATTTGCGCCGTATGTACTACTCCTGTGTGGGGGATTCTGTTTCGGATATCAAATGCAGCGGTGCCTTCATGCTGGAACATAGCACTAACGGAATACATCCTTAGGACTCGAAAACGATTCACCTACCAACACTCAAAGAACAAGTAAATGTTGTGCTCTGACGGTTCACGCAAAAGGATGAGGACGAAGAGTGGAATAAATGCGTAATAAGACATTTCTGTATTACAGGGAATGGAGTTGCAGATGAGCCGCTACATGGTTGCTAGCTTGCTACCAGCTAGCTATCTGGTCTATTTTTTTCTTTTTTTTTATATATCTTATATTTTATTGGTTATTGGGCGTTGATGTCACTTGGTTGTTTAACATGAAGAGCGATAGCTTATGCAGCATGGAAGGAACTGCTGAGCACCTGGCTGATCATTGTATTACTATCGAATATAGAAGCTGTATATTATAACATTACAGAAATTGGCTATCCAGTCTACTGGAGATAGTATCCATTATGCTGAGATGGTACTCTAGTTTATAATTCTGCTTGGAAAACCCCTGTATTGCTCATGGGTGATAGATGGCCCAAGGAGTCAATAGTAGTAACAAATGCCTAACTCCCTTTTTGAACCTGATTTGCCCACCTGAAAAATGCGCCTTTTCAACCCATGAATCAGCAATGCGCCAGCCCGGTCACCATGAGAAGCTCTGATTAGTTAAGCCCGGGTCGAGCTAGGAAAATAGAACGGGGGTATCCAGATGATCTGTGGAAAGATCGGGAAAAGATATCAAATGGAGAAGAGGCTTTGGAGAATCCTACCGATAGAATATAATTTTTACCGGTAGAACTCACCCCTCTTCACACTAACTCCATACTCACCAACAGCCATGCCTAAGTCTTCCATAGTCAGGACGGTCTTTCCTTGAGAGCCTCCTTGGCCTCCGCCTCCAAAGCCAGCACGTTGAACACCAAGGTGCAGACCACCAGCACCGGATTTTCCCTTGGTAGATACTTCGCCAGTACCGGTAGCACCAGCAGCCCCCGCACCACCTGGCTGACCACCCTGAGCTGCGCTGCTTAGACCTGCGGTGACATTTATGCTGCCCATGGGGTTATTAGACGATGCACTGTTAGAGCTACGGATTCGGGAGTATTGGTAAGAATCCGCAGCAATGTCTGCAATGAACTTCTGTGTTGCCAGGGCTAACAGGCGGGCAAGATGAGGGGGAGTGTTGTTTGGTCCAGGTCCTGGTGGCGGGAGGCCTGCAACGGTCAGATAGTGAGCAGTAACGGCGTCTGGAATCTATGGTCACTGGCGTTAGCATGGCGTCGTCAAATTTACCAGAGTGAGAATTTAATACAAACATACAATAGGCGCATAGTCATCCATCTGGCTGAGAAACTCTCTCAGGCTAGTGTCTTTCTTCGAGGGAGGTACTATCGACTCGAGCCCGGTTAGACCAGGCGCAGGCTCAGGAATGCCTGGAGCAACGGTTGCCGTTGAGGTAGCAGCAGCACCGCCAGCAGTACCGCCAGCCGCCTCTGGCACCGTAGTCTCTTCAGCTTCCGGCTCTGTTCCCCCCATGGTGATGTCTTCCGTAGCGTTGGTGTCTTTGATATCAGTCCCCTGAGGCCTTATATCACCATCCTTTGCCGGCGATGATGTACTCCCTCCTTCTCCGGTTGCAGCCACAGCAGGTTCAGACGGATTAGAGCTGGGCGACTGCTGCTTGATCACCGGCTCAGAGCTGTCTTGATCTGCTGAAGCAGTTGTATCCTGTGGTAGAGCTTGAGATATCTGTGCCTGTGACGGTGGCGAAGCCGAACTGCTGGCCTTTGGCGCTGGACTCGCGGACTCCTGCGCGACGGCCTGCGATGGCTGTGTGACGCCCACCTGATTCGGCTGTGGTTGTGGAGGTGGTGGCTGCGATGAATCTGATTCGGCCATGGTGATGTGTCTGCTCTGCTGTGTATGGACGTATGGTGAAGGTGATAAGAGCTTAACGGCAAGGATGCGGTGAGCTGCCGGCTGCGATGCGTGTGACCGGCGGTTCTCTGCGCAGCGGACGGTAGGATAGCTAGGCGCCTTTCTTTATCATTTGAGGGATGCAAGACGCAGCAAGACGTAGCAGGACGGAGATAGATGGGATGGGATGATGCTGGTGGTTTGACAAGATGGCGAGATGGATGGCGGACGGTGAGGTGAAATAAATATCTCCACCGACGATGCTGGAGCTTGCTAGTCGCCTCACACAAAATTACCAGCCTGCCAGCACCGTATATCAACCTCGTGAGTTACTGTCACCAAGAGTTAACCTTTACGGAGAGATATAGGCGCTGCTTATGGGCGCTATGTTGACGTTTTTCGATGTTTCCCTGCGATAATATGGCTGAGAAGTCGAACCTGGCTGCTGCTCGAGGCGAACAACTGGCTACCCCTAAGAAGTTACGTACGATGAGGCAAACAATCTCAAGACGGTTTGAAGAGAAGTCAATGATATGCATAGGGGATTGGTATATGATATGATACTGAAGAGTTGACGAGACGCTGTAAGAACATTCGTGATTTATGAAGACGACATGCAACGCTTTCCTGCCAAATAACAACCACATCCAACTACTCCGAAGAATGACTATGTCGACGCATGTGTTAAGTGTGAGGAAGAAAAAGGAAATGCAGGTATGATAAGGGGTTACAACGAAGGGTCCACGTAATTACGCTGGGACTCCATCTGTAGCCCTTCTGCTTTCTCTTGGGTGAGACTTTGATATAGAACCTGTTCAGCCGATCGTTCAGCTGCATGCTGGTCCTGGTCGTCTTGGTGATGGGGATGGTGGTGGTGGTTGGGAGGTTCCTGTTGCTGCGTGGGGATTGCTGGCGTGCCGGGCTGCGTGTTAGGATGCGATTCCACGCCCCCGATAGAAGGCTCTACTGACGCCGAAGCATGAGCTCCGGCGAGGGCCATCATCCCCTCTATCCCTTCAACATGAGCTTTGTCCTCTTCTCCTTGCTGCCGTTCTCGTTCTCGGGCCTCTTGCTTCGCTGCCTGGGCGGGTGCCCTTGTCTTAAGTTCCCCTGTGACAAACTTGAGATAATAAGGGACCTCAATTCCGCTCTTTAGAAAGAAGAGCTTGAGGTTCCGTGCCTTGTCCTTGAGTTGGACTTGGTTACGGTCCTTGAGAGCTTCGCTAATGGTGCCTCCAGGGCCAAACATAGACAGTATTTGGCTCCAGTGGGGCCCCTTGACACGATCTAAGCCAGCCATCAACGCATTCTCCTCTTCCGTGGTCCATGGTCGTCGCTGGCTGGGAAGTCCTGCACGGCGGCTGCTCGGTGACGACCGTGTTGTGGTTGCAAGTCTAGCACGCTCATACAGTATCTGAGTAGGCTCAGACTGTGAATAATGAGGGACTCCTGGCATGTACCCATATGTTGCAGTTGTAGCATGATTTCTCCCCGTTGAAGGTTCGGTTGGCGTCTGCGGGCTATACTGTTGGAACTGGAATTGGCCTTGGAGGAAAGGAAGATGAGATGGTTGTGGTGAGCCAGTAGTGGGCGTAGGGGCATAATGAGTATATGAGGGCTGGATACTAGGCTGGCTCTGCGGCGGAGGTGGTGGTGGTGATGTAGAGGTCGCCTGGGGGGCTGGCTGCTGGACTGGGGGTGGAGGTGGTGAGGATTGAGGGGCAGTTGGTTGGGTGTATGGTTGTGCTGGCTGATAAGTCTGTTGTTGTGATTGCTGCTGCTGCGGCTGCGGCTGTTGGAGTGGAGGGCTGGTTACAGCACTCGCTCTCCTTACACCCTGACCTTGGAGCGCAATCTGTGCGGCACGGGCAGCCCGAGCAGCGAGATCAACCCTCCCGATTCTGCGTTCAATAGGGGCAGGCTCAGGGGGTGCCGGTGGGGCTACAGGGAACTGTGTTTCCAGCGCAGTAGCAGGAGACTCTACCTCCTCTTCCTGCGGCGAAGTTGGTGACCGTGTCTTATTTGGCCGTTTGGTCTATGAAAAGGTAAGTATATTCATCGGCACTAGAGTTAAAAGGGGGCTGGGGAACAAACCTGTGTGGTGAGGGAGTCGATGTTTTTGCTAACATAAACGCTGATGTCCCTCAAAAAGTCCTGCCAAAGGTATTTTTCTGGCAGAGTATGAATTGAGTCTGGGTTATTGATCTCTCCTAGGAGGATATCTCGTCGCGAGTGTGCTCGTTTGACGAAATCAGTCTCACTTGGCGCCGGGTGTCGAGTGCCCGGTCTTCGTGCCAGTAAATTGACTCCAAGATGGTCAGGGAATAACTCATAGAGAATTTCAACTTTTGGCCGAGCTGGATTGTTCATTGAGGCGATAAACGTCTGCGTTTTTAGTTCGAGAAATAAAGCAGCTTGGCTCTTGAGTAGCCGCCCTCCCTCGGGAACAAATATATCAAGGAAATTGTCGTGAAGCTCGGAAAAGCCAATCTCTTGAGATCCGAACAGACTGAAGACAAAGGACGCTAGGTTTGCTTTTCGAACCACTTCTACCTGGCTTGCGTCTGTGAAACCTAGCTCCGACGCGGAAAGGAAGGGTTTACTTGTGGTATAAACTTTCTTCGTGTGATCAAATAGAGAGCGTAGGGTAGAGTAGGATTGAGAATTCTCCGACTGCGGCTCAGAGACAAGTGAAGTCAGATCTTGGAAGCTCGTGCGCGCAATGAAGCAAAGAATTTGCGTAGACTAATGGTCAGACCAGATATTAGCATTTGCCAGCTGCAACATAGATCCAAGGCTGTACCTACCAAGTTATCCAGTATCGGTAGACTCTGCGCCTTTAGATTCGAGTTTGCTTTAAGCAAAGCAGCATTGGAATCAACTGGAATAGCTTGCTTGCTTGTATCTTTTCTCCTCGACTGGTCAAGGAGATGAGATATAGCATGAGCTACGCTTTCAGGTGAAGCCGCATGGGTTGTTGGTATACGTAAGTCCCCAAGCTCTTCCTTGACCGGACCGGGCTCGACGCTTTGGCTTGTCCCGCTCGCTACATCGCCCTTCACAGGGAAGTATGATTCGCTGAGAGCGAGACGGTGACTCTCAAATGGTATCGTTCCCTCTTCGGCAGCATCATCGGCAATGTCAGCGCCGGTAGGGGTGTCCGTCCGCCGTCGCTTTGGATCTGGGGCCAAGGATGCATCGTCATCTTGCAATGGATGCGCTTGTTTCGGTTGTTCTGTGACAGACTCATCTAGTCAGTTCCCATTTATACAACAGTCAAACGCGGGACAAAAGCCAGGCAAGGAACAAGCCCAAAACGTACCATTGGAGTCAGGGACAGGTGTCGCAACCGAAGCCGGTCTCACGGCGGCCGACTTATCGTCTATGGGGGGATCTCCAGCTTGCGGATGATCGGTCATGCTGACTGGCTGCCCTTCCGGCATCGATATAACTTCAGGGCTGCTGCTATTCCCAGATCAAGCAGAAATGAGGGTTTAGGGATAGGGCGCGGAAGTAGGGCTCTGTTAGGGCTTGGAGCCAAGCCCCTTCTTTGGGCGTGTTCTTAGGGCTTTTCCTTCGCTCGCCCTAACTAAACCTCTTTAAGAAAAGTCGATCAGCAGCCCCACTTTAAAGTTTGTGCTTACTTCAACGTCTTGCTTATGTAAGTACTCAGACGGTCCGGGTTAATGTTCATCCAGCGGCTAGAGCTGACGTCCAACCAAGGGTTCCAATAGTCAAGGGCGTCATTCTCTCAAGCATCGTGAGACCGACATGGGACAAGTTTTTGAAAGGACCCCCAATGGATACCATGTAATATCTATGCTGTTAGATATAAATTATTATCTTCAGGGCAGATATATGCTCATAGATGCATATATCTGCCCGATTCCACCCAGTACCCCCTCGACTGTCGAAGGCCATATAATACCTTATTTATATGCCTTGGGTTACTCGCCATCAACCTTTTTGTGAGCTAAGCTATGTATACGCCTTGAACCTTGGTTTCGATAGAGTCTATGACATAGAAGACTCCGGCTTCGATGACGCCTATGAGCCCCTAAACTCTGACTGCCGTCATCGACTTGAGCTGAAAACTACTTGGGATAAGCATTAATGCCCGTCCTCGCTGCCATCCCTCTTCATCCCAAAAATATATTTTTCAGCACCTTCTACTTTGGTCCTACACTATCAGCTCAAGACGGTTATATCATATTATCAAGGCGGTAATATTATTTCGATATATTACAATCCGCGCTTCTTCCCATCTGAACTACCCGAAGTTCGAACAGCAACCATGCTTTTCATCAGCATTCTCCTCATCTTCTTTGCTATGCAAGCATATGCCCAAGACAACAATCAGCAGTTAACCTGGGGATCAGTCGTCTTTACAATAAATGGAGAGACTGTTCCTCTCGGTGCTGTCGGGGCCAACTCTCTCACTCCTGTGGGAGCGCAGCAGCTCGCAGGAGCAGGCCGTACCTTTCGTGAACGCTATATTACATCCAATAGAAACCATGGTGTAGCCTTTGCCGACATTAGTTGGCTCTCTACTATCCTGAAAAACGATGAAATCGAAGTATCATCTACACCAGAACCCAATGTGGTGACTTCTGCCCAAGCTTTCATGCAAGGACTTTACCCTCCCCACCGGGAGCTTTCTCTCTCGCGTGGCCTTATGAGTTATGCAACAGACGACAACGGCGTTTTCATTGACTACCCTCTCAACGGTTACCAGTATCCAATAATTTTGACTTATGGCGCAGAAGATCCCATGTCTGCACATATGTCTGGACACAAGAACTGTCCAAATCATACCAATGCGATCCGATCATTTTCCGCTTCTAACGAGTTCCATGATGTCTTCGATAGTAGCCAAAAATTCTACTCAGAGATGTACCCTCGTATGCTTTTCGGCATCTACCCTCGTGAAATGGTCAGCATCTATCACGCCACTACTATCTATGAGTACCTCAACTACCAATACACCTACAACTCAAGTGCTAGAGGTATTATTTCTCGTGCCGATGTTGATACAGCTCGCCAATATGCAAGCCAGTGGGCACACGCAATCTCTAGTGGTGCCGACGTCTATTGGTCTCCGGACAAGGTACTTGCCATTGCAGGTAGATCTCTTGCCTACACTGTTATGCGCGCACTTGAAAAGAATGTGAAAAGCAAAGGTTCACTCAACAAGCTATCTCTCATGTTTGGAGGGTATGAGCCCATGATGGCTTTCTTAGATGTCGTGGTCTCAGACCCATATCGCGAGAGTTTGAACGGTCTTCCCAACAACGGCGCATCCATTATGATTGATCTTTTCAGTATGGCGAAAGATGGCATTACTAAATTTCCCGCCGACGAGTCACAGCTGATGGTTCGGCTCTCGGTCCGCAATGATACTAATACCTCCAACCCTGAAAAGCAATTTAAATCATACCCGATGTTTGGAACCAACAACAAAGACACTGCAATGCCCTACAGAGATTTTGCCGATAAGATGGTGTCCAACATGATATCTACTTCAGAATGGTGTCGCTCCTGTGACGGTAAAGAATACTTCTGCGAAAAATTTACCGAACAAAAGTCCGAAAAGAAGTGCAACTTCAAAACTCTCCCCCCACTCGACACTGCCGCACTCATTGTCCCTGGCGCAGCGTTAGGTATAGTCTTTACTTTCGTTACTTTCTCATTTTTAATGACCAATTTTGGTCGGAGACTCCGACGGAAACTGCGACGAAGCATCACCAATCCAGGAAGCCTCCGTGATGCCTGGGTGTCGTCTCCACGAAGCATTGCTTCAAGCAACAAAACTAACGCAACAAGTTTCAACGAGGACATCGAGATGCTATTGAATCCCGCTACCAAGCCAGTCAAGCCTCGTGACACTGTTTAGCAGGTTTCCTTGAACGCTTGAAGACGATATTAAAAGCCACTAGCTATGCAAGAGGCAGCGGATACCACAATACACTGTGTTCCTTCCTTTTTATCCTTTGCTGTGGGTGCTTATTATATATTGGATTATAATTTCCTTTTATCATTCCTTTATTCATTTCTATAGTTATCATAGTATATGGGCTGTTTTGATTTCACATTGTGTTTTAATACCTAAATTGGAGATATGTTGGCTATTATATAATAGTATTAATGAAAGTTGTGTTCGTTATTAATAATTTCTGAATATATGAATAGAAGAATGGGAGAATAAGCATGGTGTTGTTCCTTGGTGAATACAGTGAATAGAGGGAGAGCTGGCAGAAAACATCCTAAGGGTGGACAACAATAGTAAAATGGGCGCGTCTAGGGAAGAGAAAGACAAGCAACCTCCATCACTTATCTTCATCACTTATTTTATTTCTCTCTTCTTCCTTCTCTTTGCTTCCGTCTCACTTCTTCTTTCTTTTCTATATCACAGTGACTCTTCCTTCCAGTTTCTTTTTGCTCCTCTCCCCTGCCTTCCAACAGAAGCCATCGTCTACTTCATAGCAAGAAAACCACCTCTTCCAATCCACCAGAAAGCTTCGTTTACCTTTACTCCATTGCCGAAAACGACGTTTTTTATCGTCTCGTCAGCTCTAGAGCTCTTTGAAATCGACTCTGTTGCAAAAAGGGTGCGCAAGCCTGGCTTTCGTACCAGGTTGGCACCTTCAAAACGGCCTACCAAAGCTGCACAATAGCGAATACACTCGTCCCTCAAGGCCACGGCCTCACTTCAGTCAGCAAGCTGCCTGGAGATATTCAGATAGCTATCGATACCGGGGGAAAAGGAAAACAGGTAGTTGGCTTAGGATCCAAATATCTGCCGATTATCTTGATAACCGAGAAAGTGAAAGCAACTGGAGATTGGATACTACTTTATTATCGTATTCCTGAAATTATTCCGTTGCTAGGATATAAGAAACCAAAGTCATGGCTACGGTGCTAGCTCAGAGTAAAGGTAAGTAAATAGATGTACCACCTGGGGATACACAAACCAGCCTAACTTGGTTCTGTTTCTTATATAGGTTCATCTTCGATCTTCCGAGAAGCAGTTAATGCTGGTAATGAAGGGAAGGAAAAGCCTCGACTGCGGGTATATGAGGATTCGGACATAGGAAAAGGCGGCCCCTCGCCTTCCAGCACGATCAAGCTGCAGCCTAGAAAGTATGACATTGAAACGTTGTTGAGCATCGGGAAAACCGTGGGGAAAACAGGTTGTCCCAAGCGTCTAAACTTGAGTAGTTTTTATGGTAGTGGTAAGTGAGGTGTCATTTCTTCGCCCCAAGAGGTTGGTGGATATCCTAACTCTGGTGCTGTATAGGTCGGAGATCACTAGGCTCTGGGTCCTATGTATTGCGGGAAAAGTCGATCAACCATACCAGGACATCAACTGATATGTCTATGGACTCAGAAGCAAGCTACCACACCACGCAGTCTTCGCATTTCCAATTCCCATCTCGTCAGCCAAAAAATGCACCTGAGGGAAACACTGCTCAAACCAACGAAGGATTCGCTCGATTTTTGAAAGAGCATGCTTCACCAAAACATCATAGGGTCACTGCTGGTGGCCGCATAGTTCCAATGACTTTGCGTGCTAGTCCCACACCAGAGTTCAAACCTGCCGATAAGGGGGTGGATCCAGCAAGCAGCCAGAGGCCGGGAGATTCCCATTCTCCTATGTCCGCTAAGGGCGACGAATCAAAGGAAGATACCGGAACTATGAGGCGACACCGTACTCGAGCCACGATGGACCACAGTGGCCGATCGGAAGAGGGTCGAAGACGAGATTCAGCAATCAGTCAAACATATAAGAGAAATACAAGTAAAACCACACCCCAGTATCAGACACCTGTGATAAGTGCGACCGTTACTGCTAACCCAACGACGCCAGGCCAGATGGGAGGGCTAAACTTCGTTCCAACCCTAGGAAATGGTGGGATGGATGGAATATCTATGACACAAAGCCAGACGGACCAAAGTGCATTCCCATTCACTGGCTTTCAGCCGTACTACTCTCCAGCGGGTATCTCTCAGACAGCTTCAGACCAAGCCCAGGGAGCAGCTCAAGCTCAATTTATGGGTCCCGCTTGCAATATTGCACCATATCCAACACCGCCTGGACTAGGAATGATAAATCTGGCGCAGATGTATCAGTTACCGGGAGCCTTCAGTCCTCTTATCGGACCTATGGCATCAGGTCTAAATATAGGGCAGACAATTACCCAGCCCACTGATTCACGCGGTCTAGGCAATATGCTGGAGAATGCTATCCAGGAATTTGAAATGATCTCCGCACAGCTATCAAACTTGGATCGCTATATGGCTGTGCATACATGGGACATTGACCCCGCTAGCAAAAAAATTCTTGTAATTCAGCGAATGGAGCTGGTTACCAAGCTTGATGCAGCTAGGGTTCTCAAAGAAAATATTGAGGTGGTGTTGCGATCTAGTGGTGGTAATGATCCAGCGATTCCGGCAAAATTTCAGCAAAAGTGCTCAAATGCAGGTGCCCACGATTTTATCACGGCTCCACCATGTACGCCAATTATGACTCCTCAAGGAGGATACTACCATCCCGGATTAACGAACACTGGAGGCAGTTCATTTAGCATGAGTGACGTACATGGCTTCACCTCTCCGGTTCAGACAACCGAGTCTCTGTACATGTCACCAGAGCCGTACTGTGATAATGGGTTCTTGGCCAACATGCCAGTATCTGGTGCCACCACCTCAAACAACTGGTCAGTATCTGGAGGAAATACCATGGGTATCCTGGAGAGACTTGCAGACGATGACGAGGAGGATGATATGAGAATAATCACCTCAGCGACTGGACAGGCGATTGCCGAACCAACGCGGACTGCATGCTTCCACCCTGACCTGAGTGCCATCTACCAAAAAATCGAGGCAGCTGCAAAGCGCAACGAACCCCTGGGGCCTCTCTTCCAGGAACTAGCCAAGGTTACAGCACATATAACCCGGTTAGGCACCAATAGAGGCCGCAACCCTGATATAGCCGGTTCAGGTAGGATCGAAGTGCCACGCGGACGGCCCAGCGCGCGACTGGAGATCGTGGACCCCAAGGCACGACAAGCCACCGCTGTTCAAACTCCCAAACCTGTCAAAGCGCCCGCTGCTAACGCTGGGTCCTCAAAGGAGCCAGCTCGATTTAAGAAGCTGAGCAAGCTTCAGCAGAGCCCGCTCTCGTTCACTCCATGCAAGCAGCACTGCCGAAAGCACGACTCGAAGAAAGTGGAGACTCTGGCAATCGAGCAAAAGGTCAACGCTCATGGGTATTTGCCGCCATTCGATGGGGGCGGGGATGTGGATGGGAGCCAGGCCCCCGGACGAGCCAGTCAGACGGAGCTCAACAAGATCGAGGCTGCAAAGCCAGCGGCACCCTGCACCGAGAGTACATGGATGGACTTGCTTCGTACCAGACCAAATGCCAATCCGATGGACGTGCGCCGGTTCTTTAAACTTCTCCGCGATGAGGACTCTGCTGCCCTTGACAAGTATCGAAAGGAGGGCGACAGACGAGCATTTGGCTAGCGGGTTTTGTTCATACATATCTGCTCTCCACAGGCCTTCCATGTCTTATTTACCGCATGTTTCTTGTCTTCGCTTCCTTTATCCTTTTGCTCTTGCGTTACAAACTTGATAGTAGTTCCTAGTTGATGACATTGACGACGTGATGAACCGTCCTTCCCCCCTGCCGAATTCGATCGTTCCAGCCTCGAAGTTGCATATATCTCTTATCCAGTTTTTTCCACTTACCTTGCTTTCTTCCTTCCCTTGCTCCTACTTATCCCTTTCTCTGTTTGTTTACGTATGCATGCATTGATAGTTCGCGGAAGTCGAAGCGGATGTGCAGAAGCAGGTTGATTATGGAGGCCAAACCGCAAGCAACATGGTAACTAACTAGTTAATTATAGACTTGGTAGTCAAGTTGAACAATGGAAGCCACTATGATTTTACCATAGCCATGGGAGTAAAGGCCGATGCGAGTTCCATCCAGAGTCCCCGTAAATAAATATAAGTGTCCATCTTACCCCTGGTTATTCCATCCCTGTCCTGTCCTGCCTCATCCCTGGCGTTTTTTTCGGTCTTTCTGCGCTTGCTCCAGGTTTTGATGTCAAGATTATGTAAGCAGCTACGGAAGAAAAAGAAGAGCCTCTGCCAAGACTTTCCACGTGAGTTCCAAATCGAGAAAGGCGAACCGCATGTCAACTTTTCGCCTCCTTTTGTTCGTTTTGATAGAAGAAGACGAAGACGAAGACGAAGAAGAAAAGCGACTCAAGGGGGCGCATCAAAGAGAGCAAATAGAGCACGGAGAGAGAGAAAACGAAGACAGAGTGCATGGACAGGGAGACATGCACCAGCAGCAGAGGTGATGCAGCTCCAGGACTGCGTCACCCTGGGTACTACGCTGTTCTCAGGCCTCCTGCAATCTGTGTTATTTTTATTCTTTTCGATCTCACCAGCTCCGGATGTACCTTTTTTAGCCTTCTTTCCCGCCTCTCTCCACCGCGAAGGCCACCGCAAGGCGGAGAATGACATTCGATGTCGGCTCTCTTACCGACCACGTTTCGTATTTTACGCTCAAGCGTGTCCCTGGAAAGGCTCTTTTCTTTTGAAAAAGAGCCGGCCTATTCGCCGCGAGGGCCCTGGGGGTGTTCCGCATTTCTTAGCCTTTTCCGCGTCTCTTAAGCAATGATTAAGAGGGGGTTTCTTCTTCTTTTACACGCTACTTTTTTGTCCGAGACGAAAAAACCCGGGCAAGAAGGCTATTTATATTATATATATTTATATGTTGGCATGCTATAAGTATCTCTTTCTAGCCCAGGCGTTTTCCTGTCAGGGTATTGTATATCCCGTGTATACTTACCCCTTTGGGTTATAGCTGCAACAGCGATGCAGCAGTTGTTACCCCGATAAAAGAGTACTCTGTGCCTGGACATGTTGTAACTCCCTCCTCATAATCGTCTCGTTACTCTGGCCTGGACATGCTTTGAGAGAGAAGGGAGGCTTTTTCCAGATGGGCTTATAATACGAGCTATTTTACTTTGGTGCGCTGTGTACTGCTCGTCTATAGCTATACCTCTACCGGTCAAATAGTACAGGTTACTGTGGGCGGGCGAGAAAGCCACCATGGGCCTGGTGTCGGGTAGCAGACGCTGGCGGTTCTGGCGGAAGACGGACCTGGATGTACCGTCTAACGAGGCGCAGGCGCACACGAGCCAGGAACAACAGCCACATCTACATACAAACAATGGAGAAGAGACGGAGCATGGACATCGAGCCCTTTCAGTTCCTGCGTCGTCTCTGCGCCGGACATCGTCAGCATGCACACAGCAAGCTCCAGCATCTTCTATGGAGTATGATGCCGAAGGCGCAGTTGACCCGGATGCCGATATAGAGCGGCTAGGGAGGCAACGGCCGCCAGTATTTAGGAACTTTGCTTCTGAGGCTGCCTTTTGTTTCTCTATCGTAATGTCCCAAGTTTTGACGGTACGACCATACCTTATCTTCCCTAACCGATAAACATGAACTATACTGACAACACACCAAAAAAAGGAGTATTTCATTTCTGGATTCAACGTCATAATACCCAGGCTGGTGGATGAATTTGATATCCCAGATGCCTCTGCCGTCTGGCCGGCCAGTGCCTTTCCGCTCGTCGTGTCCTCTACCCTTCTCATCTCTGGCCGCTTGGCAGACATGATCGGTGGCTACTACATGTACGTCGGTGGCATGGGATGGCTGTGCATATGGTCAGTCATCGCCAGCTTCTCCAACAACCGTATCATGCTCATTCTATGCCGAGCTCTGCAAGGCCTTGGTCCTGCAGCATATCTACCATCGGGAATGATGCTGTTATCAATCGTGTATCGTCCAGGGCCACGAAAGAACCTAGTCTTCAGTCTGTACGGAACCTGTGCTGTATTTGGATTCTTCATTGGTATCTTCTGTTCGGGACTGGCTGCGCAGTATCTTGCATGGCAGTGGTATTTCCGCATCGGCGCCATCCTCGCTGCTATTACTACCGCCAGCTCATTTTTCTTCATACCCTCGGATGCAGCTGAAAGACGCAATCAGGGAGTCAAGATGGACTATTTGGGTTCGGTTCTTATCGTAGTCGGCCTCACCCTATTTGTCTTTGCGGTTACAGATAGCGCACATGCCTCTCATGGATGGAAGACACCCTATGTCTACGTCTCTTTCGTCCTCGGATGTCTCTTCTTGGCTGGTGCTTTTTATGTTGAAGGGTGGGTTGCAGAGTCGCCCTTGCTGCCATTCGATTTGTTCGATGCACCGTATATGAAGGCGATGGTGCTGGCACTGCTCTTCTTTTATGGGTGTCTTGGAGTATTCCTACTCTATGGTACTCTATAGTAAGTGTTCATCATCTCTACCTAACACCATTCAATACCCCGCTAACGTTATTCCTAGTATGGTTCACATCATGGGTGCCACATCTTTACAAGTTGTCGCCTGGTGTACTCCGATGGTAGTGGGAGGTTTTGCTTTCCCCATCATGGTCGGAATCTGTCTACACCTGGTCTCTGGAACCGTTCTCCTTATTATCTCCGGAATAGGCTGGATAATGGCGGGCCTCCTTTTCGCAATAATGCCCGATGGTGCAAGCTACTGGGCGTATGCTTTCCCAGCGATGATTGGCGCCACCCTTGGTATTGACGTCACATTCAACATCACAAACATCTTCATCACCACAAGTCAGCCAAAGCACCGCCAAGGTCTAGCTGGTGCTCTGATAAACTCTGTCCTGTTCTTGAGTATTGCGGTACTGCTTGGGTTCGCGGACGTTGCTCAGGTAGCCACCCTGGACCAAGGGAGGAAGCAGAGTTACCGTGTCGTCTTCTGGTTCAATACTGCATGTGCGAGCGTCGCACTACTGATTATTGTGCTCTTTGTCAGAGTAAATCCAGCAGCGAGCGACTTGACAGTCGACGAAAAGAAGAGGCAGCATGAGTTAAGTCAGAGACAATCACAATATCTGGAGGCACCTCCTCAAGGCATAGGAGAGAATCCTCCTACCGCGCCTCGACATGACAATTTGGCCTCGTCATAACATCAAAGCAGGGTTTTGGTTATCCTCTCCCTTGTATGATTGATATCTACCCTAATCCTAGGCTCTACTTGTTCAAGTGGCCTTGGAATATCCACATTTCGCTCCTAGAGCCGCTTCCAAGGAGCCACCATATTGTCGCGACCGGAGCAGCAGATATATGCTTTCCTACCATTTACGATCCGTCGAAACGACCTCAACATTTAGTATATAGCCACAGCGTTAGTGAAATCTTGTTTAGGAGAATAGCGACAAAAAAAGTTATGATACCTACACCTAGCATTTGTATAGTCGCACAAGAATCTAGCGTTATTTATCAGCACACAATTCACTGCGGTAGCTACTTATTGCTACATCTCTTCGTTTCTGTGAAACATTGCGTTCGAAGCATTAGTTATGGGGAAGGCTGAATAGTACTCCGTACGGAGTACATGAAGAGCTATTCAAAATTTGTCCAAGAGTTGGAAACCCGACCAACCGTGACAGCATTCGGTCTCCAGCCATAGATCTGTCCAAACTTGTACATACTCCACCTACGTTCTTCGTTGCGAGGGTAATAATTTTCTTCATCTTTAACCGTCTACACTTATCGATCTCTATGATAGTACTCCGTACCCGGTAGTTGCAGTATTCCAGTGCTCGCATGGCAGCGACAGTGTAACGATACTGCTGCAATCGTAGCCAGCAGGACATTCACAATATCAACAATATCCGCGGATATTAAATAGCATGGAATCCCTCGTATTGCTGCAAGGGGGAAGAGGATTTGTCGTTGCTTTCTTCGGTATTTATGTAGCTGGAATTCTCCTTGTTTCACTAACCAACTACCTGATGCCAGTTAAGGAGTAGGTTATTATGAGATGTATTTTGGTGATATGGATGGATGGAACCCCTGGTCCAGACTTTCCGCCGCTAATTACTTCCAGGGATCTTCCTGCTAGTTTGCCAGTTTAGTGAGCTCTGAAGGAAGATATGCATGCACGAAGGATTCGGTGCATAGTTCGAGTGCTGTTGCTGCCTAGTTGCTGTTCACCTTATAAGAGGCAGCTCTCTCTTTGTTGAAAGGATACTCAAACTATTTAAACCATTTTCTCATTTCTCTTCAACTTTCCTTCGAGCGTTTATAACGAGTCTAGTTAACAACTACCTGTCGTGCATTTCATCAATAGCTGATTCACTGCCAGGTAACTAGTTAACCATGTCGAGTCAAACGCCAGCCAGTATAAGACCGTTTAACTAACCAGCAACATCACTAACCAACAAGATATTGATACCATGGCCATCTCCAACTCATTACCGGTCTTTATCGTCGCCAATCTCTTCGGGGCAATGTGCATTGGGTTTGGTATCAATGCGATACTGCGTCCCGAACACGGCGTGTCATTCTTCGAGCTCGCTCCTCCCACCGTCGACGGCCCAGAGAAGACGCTGTTTAACAGCATGATGGCCGTCTACGGAGTGAGGGATGTGTTTATGGGTGTGGCCATTTACGCAGCTGCGTACACCGGCGCGCGAAAGGCATTGGGGTGGATCTTGCTTGGAGTGAGCGCCGTAGCCTTTGCGGACGGTGCTATTTGTGCACTTAATGGTGCTGGAGAGTGGAATCATTGGGGATATGCTCCTGTTGTTATGGTTGTGGGAATGTTGACTTTGGGTGTTTTGGATGGTGATAAAGCAAAGACGGCTTAAGAGAGCTGTTAATATTTGTCTAGGTTGACATCAGGGACTACAGTTGTTGATCATCTAGACGGACGGGTGGTTATATTTCAATAACAATTGACGATTTACATCCGCCCTGCCACCCTGCATATAGGGTATGCTTATGCTATATATATAGAACACAACACGGTAACTCGACCAGGAGAAGGTAATCCGAGAGTAGTGATGAGAGAAAAGAAAAGACACCAGGTGAAGAAAGATAGAAATAGATGATACACTCAATGCAATATAAAGACGCCACCGCGCCTGCGCCCGTCGATACCAGAGATGTCGCGTACAACGCACATGGGCTAAAGCAATTAAGCAAGGAAAAAGGGATAAGTATGAAAGGGCCAAACTGACAATTTTTTGGTTTTTGGTTTAGACATGCATCTCATCAATGACGGAATCAGTAGGAAGTAGTTGTGGTTAGGGCTCGGTCAAACGCTCGGGGGCTATCAGACAGAGAGTATATTTGCAGAAACACGAAAGGAAAGAAAGAATATACCCGCATAGGTGTATGCGACAGAGCGAAACAAAAAGGTCCAAACACCTTTGTATAAAACGCAATTCAAATGTTCATTGGAGGATTCATAGCCCATGGGGAGCTGGTGGCCTCGACTAGCCGGGTGATGGTAGCCGTTGAATAAAGGATATGATGATATGGCAGGATAAGAAAAAGAGGCGGATAAGTGATGTTGCCGTATCAGCTCTTATGGATGTTACTATCATCAACCAGGTGATTATCATGATAGTCGCCGTCATGGTGGAGGGTAACGCTGTTGAAGTCTTCGAAGGGATCGGCAACTTCTCCCGACGGCGTGGCCAACCCAGAGTCCATTGGCACACCGGTCAAGTTACTTGAACCACCAATATCGACACTAGCACTTTCCTTGACATTTCTAAAGTTGACAGTGTCGATTGCTCTACCCTGGTGGGGTATCATAGGGGGTTTCATGTGTCTGATCAAGGCCCATTGGGTTGGCCTGAAGAAAGGATGAGTTTTGACGTCGGAAGCACCAGCGCGGGCGCCGAGCCGACGGCATTCATCCTTGATAAGAAGCTTGCGTATAAGCCCTTTACAGAGACTGTAAAGCGGAGTTAGAACGCGTGAGACTGAAGTAAAAGCAATGAGATCTAAAATTTACTCACTTGGAAAGTTGCTGTGCGTTAGCATGTTCAGGGAACGGAACTTCATCCCTTAGGATGTTTGCAAATGTTGCATTTCTGTTCTTGCCCTTGAACGGAGTGGTGCCGTAAAGCATCTCGTAGATAAGAATGCCTAATGTCCACCAGTCCACAGCACTGGTGTGGCCATTTCCTTTGATGACTTCTGGTGCAATGTACTCTTCGGTGCCTACAAAAGAGTTTGTTCTGAAATCGGCAATACATGACTTGGTGTCAATTGTTGGCAGTGAGCTGGCGGAAGTTCCGTTGCGGCCAATGATCATGGTTGGCGCACCCCCGGGGCCGGATTGTTTAGAGAGATCGAAATCTGATAACATTATATGTCCAGATTGATGAAGGAGGATGTCTGGGTACATGTTAGCGACGACTCCAGAAGAAGAAAAAGCAGACATGGCTTCCATACTTTCTGGCTTAAGGTCACGGTAGATAAAACCCATAAGATGAAGATACTCGAGAGCAGCAGTCACTTCAGCGGCATAAAACCGAGCATCATCTTCGGAGATGCATTTGCCAGGCCGCGTTTGAAGGGCTGTTGATTCCGTTAGCTGGGTTCCAGCTCAAGAACAGGAGGCCACGCCATACCTCTGAAAAATTCACCACCACTGCAGTATTCCATGCAAAGATAGAGGTGTTCCTCCGACTGGAAGGAATGATAAAGAGTGACTATGAACGGGTGATTACTTGTAGCAAGAATCTCCTGTTCTGCAAGCGCACGTTTTATCTTATTCCTCTTGATCATCTCCTTTTTACTCAACACTACAAGTTGAAATTAGTAAGGTGGGGAAAGGTGTAAGGGGAAACTTGAACATACCTTTCATGGCGTATAATCTTTGGGACTTCTTCTCCCTGACCAAATATACCTTACCCACATCTCCCTTGCCGATCAATTTGATCTTATCAAAACTTCCAGGACCAACTTCAACATTACGCACTTTTATTGAATTCGAACTATATGTTCGTCGATACCCAGCGTTACTCCGTGTTTGGCCAGGTACTGGAATAGGACCGAGGGTATCAGCATCAGGGACGGCGAGGTTTTGCGGTGCTGGTTGCTCGACGAAGCCTAGCTTCGCGGTATCTCCCGGCTGCTCGACCAAAGGCTCTTTACCCAGCTCAGCCGTCCGAGGGCGTTCGTCTGATTTCCCGGTTACAAACAGGCCCTGCGCATTGGGTGCAGAGGCAACCCTCCTTAGCTTTCTCGCCAGCTCCTCTTTATTGGCTGCGGTCGGCTGCTCTACACCAGGAGCTCCGTCTATATGTATGCCAATGCCAGGGGTATCGGGAGGGGTCGAAGGAACGCTATCATCATTTCGATGTCTCAAGGCGGGATATCCCTGATGCGCGAAGTATGGATTTGCGTGAGCCGTCGGGGACACACCATCGTCGTCCAGCGGGTTTCCCTCACTGGCAACAGTAGTTGACCGATTCCGGCCAATGTGTGGGAGAAACCTGGACTGAAACTTGGACTCTTGCTTGGGTACAGCGAGGTTGGAGCTCTTGTTCTGGTGGGAGTTATGGCCTGAGCCCCCTTGGCTGTTCGAGTTGGTATTCGACGAGCTGTTTATTCGAAAGAAATTCCGTAGTTTTGTAGGGAAATGTGAGGACTCATTCGCGGGTTTCTCATGTTTCTCATGCTTCTCATTCTTTTCATGCTTCTCCTGCTTCTTTCCCGTCAGCGATATGCCGGGGAAATTCCGCTTCTCTGAATTCGGATTTGTAGGAGTGGAGGAGTTGAATAACTGCGTCATAGCGACGGCTCTGCTTGCTTCCGACGTAGCGGTGAATCTTGCGGAAGAGGACAGCTACCGATTGAGACCAGCAGGAGCGCTTATAAATGCTTGTCCGTCTTCCCAACCGCAATCACAGGCCAGTCGAAAGAAGAAGAGCGTTGAATGATGCAAAGCCGGAACAGCCAGAAATCGGGAATGTCGACAATTGGCCAGGAATCAAAGTGTCCTCTACTTTTCTTTTTCCGTCCGGTCAAGGGAGGGCGAGGGGACTCCGGGCTGGGAGTGAGCTAGGATGGACGAAGGGAGGCCGGCTAGAGAGTGGTACTGGGGCAGCGGCTCGGCACCATTGGCATTGACGCTGGTGAAACAAGCGGGCCACGGACTTGGAGGCGCAAGGATGGACGACTGGTCATCTGTCAGCAGCAAACGAGGGTGCCAGCCGGGGGTAGCGAGAGCGCGAAACAGGAGAGACTGGCGCAGGAGAAGTTGGAAGTCAGCAAGCAAGTCGCAGCAGTACTTTTTTTGGCGCTGAGGTTGGTTGCCCAGGTGGCTTCTGGGTCCAGTGACGCGGCTGCTTACTCATAACACTATCTGGACGTCGTAGAAGACAGCAGCGGCAGCGAAGAGAAAAGTCGATACAAGATGGCACTTGGTAGCAGTGGACGGAGGCAGCGGTAGGGGAGATGCGTGTATGTGAGAGAAAGAGAGAGGACGGTGCGGTTACGGGTGCTGCCTGAGCGGCTTCCTTCGTATGGTCAATGATCGACTATGGCAGACCGTGGGCAGCTGTTTGATAGTGCTGGGCAACCCTGGACGCGACGAATATCACATTGATATTTATATTTATAGTCACGATGAAACGCTGCAGACAGTAGAAGAAACCATAGCAGTTGACTAACTATAATAGAGCGATATTGTTACTCACTACGTGTTATTGTGGTGACCGAACGTAAGTAACGTTAACTAGTTAAATAGCTAGCGGTCACAAAGTAGAAACTCCTAGTTCAGGTAACTAGTGAACAGCGACACGACTCCATATCAAGCCATCTCAACCACCGAACAGCTGCAAGATGGACTACGAAACGCCCGAGTCCGGGTTCTCTAACCCTCTCGTACGCGATAATCCGCTTCTCTCTCCGTTAGAGCAAGAGGTTCTGGACGAGTACACGAAACTGCTTGAGAATATGAACAAGGTACGCTTGCTTCGGGTGAAGACTTTGGGGAGGCGCTGCTTTGGACTGACACCAGCGTATAGCTCTCTACTTCACTGAACGATCTCGCGGTCCAGCCTTCATCCGATACACTTGATGCTTTGCGGTCACTGGAGAGGAAGACAGCTACCGTCTATACCTTGCTGAAGGCGAGTGTGTACAGCATTGTGCTCCAGCAGCAGATCTACAATGGCGGGGATGAGGGTCAGCTTGGAGATAGCTAAGGGTTTTCACGGTCTACTCGATGGCAAATTCTGGGATAGCATCAGAAGGGTCTCTGCTGCCGCTTTTTAGGGGCATAAGAGGGAAAATATCGGTATACCGGCAAGGGAAAGGATGGTAATGTCGCTCGTCCTGGTGGGAAAATGGAGTTTGGAGTTTGGCAGGAAAGGCGCGCTTGATTACTGGCAATGCTTGAAAATACATGTATCGACAGGAAATAGAACATGATACTCTTAAGATTATATAAATACACTTCATCCTATCCTATAGTAATACATCAGATATACCAAGGCCAAAAGGTAGACTCCTTAGACCTTTCCAGCGTAGTAAACCTTTCTTACGTCGACAAGCTTCTTTCCTAGGGCTTGAGCAACCTCTTCCGGATCCTTTTGGCTCATAAGAGCCTTATAGGCAGCCTTTGCCGTGTTCATCGGGTTTCTAGAACGAGAAACACGGGCAGCCAGATCCTTGATTCCGGCAAGACGGGCCATCTCCCAAATACGCTGGGAGCAGCGAAGACCAAAGCCTGATGTTCAATAAATCGTAAGTACAGGACTAAAATGATAAAAAGGAGGGGGGGAGAAAGGCGAATGTTTACAAAGTACGTACCTGGTGGTCGATTCATCAATACCAATTCGGTTCCAGCAACTTTTCCCTTGACATCTCCGAATATCGTCCGCCTCTCGTATCTTGGGACTGGCCTCATACTGCGAATTGCTCGGTATTCTGCTTGCTCTTTGGCAGCACCTATTTCTTCAGATTTGCCTTCACCAATTCCAAGAAGTCCGTTCTTGTTACCTGCAACAACAAGAACATAGGCCTTTTGAATCTTCCCGAGACGAGTTTGGTTGACGACTCGATGGCTGACAAGAACTTTAGTGTCTATTTGCTTCAATGCGGATGAGTTCAATCCGGTGATCACTCTCAGCTTCTTCATTAAGTCCGACTCTTCAGTCTTGGCCTCTTTTTCCTGCTGGAACAGGGGAGGGGGTTCATGGCGGCCGATGTTGGAAAAGGTTTCGCCCGGTTCAAATACATCCGGCACAACAGCGCTGTGAGGGTCGAGTTCAGCCTCTGCTTTGCCGGTGGTCAACCGCACGTTTTCGAAGAATTTTTGTAAACTTAACGCCGATGGTTCGTCTGGCATATCCTTGATGAAATTGGCGACGTCATCTACCAGTTCATCATGGGTTTTTAAGCGGGAGTTGGGGTCGTGGTTGGTGACGGGAGAGCGGATGTGGTGGTCAACAACAGGCTCAATGGTGGAAAAATCATCCACATATTTAAGTGCCCATGGATCATCCCTCAAGTTGAACTGCTCATCCACATCTTTATCGGGAATAGCTTTCTCTCCAGCTTCAATTGCCTTGATCTGTTCTGGCGAGTAGACTTTCTGCATGTGAGCCTTTTCGGCTTCGGTATAAGCCTTTGATTTTTCAGGTGTATGTTTTTTTAGCCATCCCTCAACGTCTGAGGCTTTGATATTCTCATGCTTCGGTTTTTGGGGAGCACACGGTATAGGAGTTGAGTGGAATTGTCGGCGAGGGTAGCGAACGAGATTTGGCTTTGAAAATGTGCAAAAAAGGCACCTTGCCGGTCGTGCGACGCTCATTGTGGCGGAGTGAGCTCGTATAACCAGTCAATGCATCGAGGCCGGTTGTCGATTCGATGCACAATGCGCCCTGGCCGTAGAATTGGAGGCCGTTCGTCCCTTCAATCGCGTGGTCAATTGAATTCAAAGATTGAAAGAATTTCTTCTGAAGCTCAAATAAGATTTATTACATAATATAGGAATATAGTTATCCCGGCTTAGTAAACATATGCTTATCTAATTTGCGGCCTCTTGCACTCTAGGCACCACCGTTTGGCCAAGATGGCTGTATTAACGCAGTTGCCTTGCGGTACGGAGTATAGATTGTATATATATTCTAGTCTTCCATTAACTACCGTAGACAGTAAATAATATTTACTACTAACGGTCAAAGTTCAGTTATTTACTTCTAGATTCCACCTAAATGATCACACAAACGAGATATAAACTATCTAGTCAACATGGAGGTACCTAAAACACACGGAATTTCTGCAAACATCTATGGGCGGGGAGACCGTTCCCTCGGCGATAGGCCTTGCCACGTTGGTCTTGCCGTGTATGAATTGGGCTCTGATATCTGTGAAATGCATCATATCCGTTGTCCCCAGGACGACATGTACATCTATGACCCTCGAACTCAGCCTCTGGAGGACTCCGTTTTGCGCGGTCGATGTGAATTAGTCCAAGTATCCACCTCAAAGAAGCAGACTGTCATTGAAATCCTTGACAAATTTGGCCTTGACTCTACCAATATCCCGGAAGTGGGCGTGGGCAATTGTCAGGATTGGCTCGCGGATGCAGTGCAGGAACTGGAGAAGCACGGTATTCTTCCAGACGGAGAGGGAGATTATTGGAGAAACATGATAAACTTGACCTCAGATCAAATGAAGAAGCGTTGTGAAGATGATGGAAAACAGTGGATTGATGGACCGGGGCTAATCCCATTCGATGGCATCCCGGATGCTAGGTATTCAGATGTGGAGAGGAGAAATATCGGGAAACTGGCTCAGAGTCCTATCATACAAGAGAAATTGGAGTCACTAATCGGTAACAAAGTTGGCTCTGGTCCGTTAGTTCCTGATGACGATCCCCATCGGCTCTATGTGTCCAGTCCCTTCTTTAGCCAGACAAGAGGCTAAGAATAAGACTGATTGATCGCCAAATATCTTAGCCACCTTCAACTTGGCGATACTCTTATGTTCTGTGACTGGTATATTTTGTTGTAGATATTTTGGCCAGGAATTCCCAATGCTCAGTGGAAGTGTGACTTAGCGGACTATCTCAAGATATGCCTTGAAGGACTCAGTATGGCCAGAGAATATTTGATCAAGCTGATCAACCTATAATTCAAATATTAATTCCACATAATTCCGGAAATTCGTCTCATGATTGCAGCCTCAATATAATAAGGTGGTATATATTTTTCCGTGACCAAGTCCCAAGATTCCTTGATGGGGATTGTAACTATAGCGCGGAAGTATTCCCAGTATTCAGGTCGATAGCCAGAAAGGCCCCAATCGATGGTAACTACACTGCAATCTGGCTTGACAATGATGTTATCCGGGCGTAAGTCACCATGGGTAAAAACTATCTCATGGCCCCTCAGGCTCCGCACTGTCTGGTGATTGATATATTCCGAAACGTAACGGGGTGATTCTCGATCAACTGGCCGAGAGTTGGGTGGAAATCTGTTTCGCATAGCTTGAATAATCCCTTCGTTGAAGGACGCTTCAGACTCAAACGGGCCATATTCAATTCGCTTATCACCCCACCAGGCATCGAAAATTGGGTCTCTGCATGTGGTGTGGCCCATCCCTCCGATATAACTGCCTTTTATCTCGCGTAACGGGCTTACTGCATCTCTCAAATTAGAGATGACCTTCTCACGATTCTCCTCACTCGCATGTATCCAAAAAAGAACTCAATAGCTTCCCTTCTTCAAAAGACATAATGACGTAACATATATCATCAAAAATGTATGCACTGATAAGGCGCGGTACAGCCACCGTTGTAGAAGCAGAGACTAAATGCATTGCCTCTGCTTCCGCTAGCCGAACTCCATAGCCATATTTGACTAGCATCCCGGAATCAATGTGAACTACTCTTGCGCCTCCCTTTCCAGGACAAAGTTCGGGCCAGTCATCCAAATCCTTTGGATCCAGCATTGTAGTAGGAAATCCAATGATCTTTGAGTAACTGAAATGTGTTTGTATACCTTCAGGTTCTGGAGGATTGAGTTTCGGTTCTTCCCTGGAGTGAGCGGAGATATTGGGCTGGGGAGTTATACCTCGATCGGTATGCTCTAAAGAATTGTCGTCCACATGTTTTTGGTTTGAGAGACAGTCGATTTCATGCAATGAATTACCGCTGCCCCCGTATTGAATAGGGATTTCGTCTCCCAGGTATTTGGCCAATTCATGTCTCTCCTGAAGTATGGTAATTTTCCGTAAGACATCTTCAGGCAATTTCAGTGCATAAAAGTTTGCTATGAACGGGTTGATAATGTAAATCCGGGATAGTATTTTTGGGTAGTACTGTGCCTGATCTTGAAATGATCTTAAAGCAGCTCGCACGTTGAAGATAAAGCTATCGAGCTTGGCTCGCTCGAGAGGTCGCGTGTGGGACGGACGACAATCAACAACAAACGCAGCCGTCAAGTCAGGGGATAGAGAATGATTCTGAAGCAAAACGACCATCAGACTTTCCAGAAGCCCTATGATAATATTTGCTATGCTTCCTGAATATCTCAAACATTCGAATAAGAGCCCGTATCCCTTAAGTGCTTTTTCGTCAAGTTTGATCCACAAGATGTGATGGCCGTTAAGCTGGGTTATATGCACGAAACTTGATAACTCTGGCATTGTCCGGAAAGGGAAAGGGTATGGTTTGCACATTTTCCTCCAGCGCAGAGTGTCCTTGATGGAAATACATGTCCTCTCCGCGAGGAACGCTCGGAGAGCAGATGCTTTGGTAAGGAACTATGCGTAATCAGTCAAAGCTACCGAATGATTAATCATATACATTTGCTTTACTCACTTTCAAAATTATGGCTTCGACGAGGTTCTTGTCTCCCTTAGCCAAGTCAACACCCCACATTTCCGTATAATTGGTTCTGAATACACATCTTGGAGGGCTTGTTGTACCTCGGGGAGATAGCTTGCCAGAGATTTATTCATGGAATGGATATGGTTGACGGTTGAAATCTGATAGCTGGGTAACGAATGATTTTGATAACGGGGATCTGGGCTTCGTAGCTGGTGGTTATCCAGCTATCAACCGAAGACATGTTTATTTCGATGTCAGCAGCTATTTCATCTTGATATTTTTCCCTCTCAGAGCTATAACAAGAAAGATATAACGTATATATACAGGGTATTACGAGGAAAAAGGCCAGGTAGGCTAACGCGTGGATGGCAAAGGGGTAACGTCCCTAGGTAAACCCTGCGTGACAAGTACGACAATCGCAGTACGAAGTAGACAGTGAGCTAAGGGCGGAACTTGGGGCTAAGATTGTGCAGTTACACAAATTGATCTGCTGCTTATCAAGAATAGAAAAAATTAGGTCACGTGATAAAACTTTACTAATCTCAACTTGTTGGTTGGTGGTTGCGATGCTCCATAAAGAGAGTTGAAAAGTGAAATTGATCAAAGTCAAAAGTAAAATCCATGATGCCTTTTGCGCAAACCAATTCTTTCACAAGCATTCTTTGAATATCCATTCTCCGGGGATGTTTTTGAGGCCACGAGTTGTGCGCATTGCCTCATTCTCGAGATTTCTAGCACTACGGGTTCCTGCGACTCAATTGATCGCACCTTCGGTTCATCGTTACTCGACAGTTCAGCGTGCCATAAAGATAGTTGGAGGGTTCGATATGCCGAGAGAGGGCAAGGCGCAACAACATAAAGGAGGTGGGGGAAGACAACCGCAAAGAAAGAAACAAAAGGGCAAGGAGAAATCAAAAGCGGAAGGCGGCGCGGATGAAGTAGTGGAATTGGACGTGAAGAATTTACTAGAGAAAAACAGGCGGAGTTCAGAAGAGAATGGCGAAAAGCAAGCAGCCACTGAAACCAGTGTATCCGTTGTCCATGAAGGCAAAAAGGATTCTCCATTCCCAGAGACGGATGTAACTGTGTCTGAGATGTCATCAACCGGAGAAGGCCTTGCATTATCGCCAAACGGTGATCACGTCTATGTCGTACCATTTGCACTTCCTGGAGAGACAGCACGGGTCAGAATATACAAGACAATCAGATCCAAGTCCTACAGCTTGACAGATCTCGTGGAGATTTTGAAGCCCTCTGAACAACGCGATGACACCCTTATAAAATGCCAGTATTTCGGCAAATGCTCCGGATGTCAGCTACAGATGATACCGTATAAAGACCAATTGCAGCATAAGAAGCGGATAATAGAAAAAGCATATGCCAACTTCTCTGGGATATTACCAGAGCTTATACCTGCTATTGGAGATACGATGGGCTCCCCCATGCAATATGGATACCGGACCAAGTTAACTCCTCATTTCACTCAGCCTGCTCGCAACCGGAAACAAGAGCATGGCAGTGACGCTCCAGATATCCCTCCTATTGGATTTATGATGAAAGGCCGCCGCAAGGTCATGGATATTGAAGACTGCCCACTTGGAACAGACATTGTCAGGAACGGTTTGAAGAATGAGAGAAAGAGGGTTGCGGAAAACCTACAGCAATACCCTTACGGTGGTACGCTGTTGGTTCGGGAGAGTACGAAGCGGATAGAGAGGAATGCGGAAAACGAGGCTCTGACTTCGGATGATAAAGTGATACGGACGACATTCCCCGACTATGTTGAGGAGAAGACGTATATCACCGATCAAAATGGCATTTCAGTTGAATACGTGGAGGATTATCAATTCCACAATGTTGCTGGGACATTTTTCCAGAACAACAATTCCATTTTACCGGCGTTTACAGGATATGTTCGAGATAATGCTTTACATCCCGAACTGAAACCGGATGCCACTCCTGCCGAGCCCACTGCAGCGGCAGCCAAATCTAGCCCGAAATTGAAGTACCTCCTAGACGCATACTGTGGCTCAGGACTGTTCACCATCGTTCTCTCAGGCACTTTCCGCTCATCTCTAGGCATCGATGTTGCTGCATCTAGCATCAAATGTGCTCGCGAAAACGCCAAACTGAGCAAAGTTCCTAACACTGGTTTTGCAGCTGCTGATGCTGCAGCTTTATTTAAAGATGTTCCATACCCGGCTGACCAGACCTTACTTGTCATCGATCCTCCACGCAAGGGATGTGATACGAATTTCTTGAACCAGCTACTTGCATATGGCCCGACGAGGGTATTGTATGTTAGCTGCAACGTTCATACCCAAGCCCGGGATGTTGGCGTCCTGGTCGAAGGAAAGAATGGAGTCCGGTATGACATTGAGAGTATTCGCGGGTTTGATTTCTTCCCGCAGACAAGCCATGTTGAGAGTGTGGCTGTTTTAACAAAGGTCATCGAGGGTAAACAGGAGTAATGTGACCTCTATATGATCACTTGCATACATGATGTAAAGTTTGAACGAGCGCATTATCCGTCTAAGTTTGAATAGGCACGGTATTGTACTATAGAAAAAGTTCAGTGATACCCAACCCTTGTTCTGGGTTTTGTATATCATAAGCATTTGACCGAGCATTTGAATGAGCATTTCTTTTATAGCCCTGCCATGTTTTGGAGTTCCCCTGTGTTTAAAATATTTATTTACAAGAGGAAAAGAACGTGTCTCGTAAATGGATACATTGGAAAATCTAGAGAAGTATACTCGCCATCGCATGCATAAATTCGTTGCGACATAGCAAGAGCATTATAGTTGGGGCATGGTATTGTTTTTTTTTGAAGGCGAAGTACTAGGTAGTTCCTTAAGCACCTCCAGGGCCTCCAAGCAGTGCGAATCGCCTTACTATGGACGGACCAATTTCGTCATATTCGGCCTAATTGAAATGGATTAGTAACTGGAGGTTGATTAATTGGATGAGAGAATACTTGCCTTAGTGTGACAGTAGCTGCGGAATTCAGGAGTTTGTCCAAGCAAACTTCCACCGAACCATGGACCGTGACGTTGTCTCTTATGAGTAATAACTTGGACTTCCAAACCACCACTCCTTGCTCCTCCGCTGCGGGCTTCAGAAGCACGGATTCTGGCATCTACCAAATGCCTAATGTCACGTTGCAACCGACGGCCAAAATCCTTGTAAAGAGTAGAACCGCCAGACAGCACGATATTCTTGTAGAGTCCACGTCGAACATCAATAGGAGAAGACTGAATAACACCATCGACAACAGTGGGTAGTGGTGTGAGGAAATCGGAGGAGTAAATCTCGGGGTTGAAGAAAATCTCTGGAGCCAAAAATCGTTCGTAACCAACGTCTATGGAAACAGTCCTTCCGTTGGGAGATGTGACAGTGTGCTTGAGGAATCGGTCTGGCTCCCTATCGTACCGAGCAAATTCCTTGACAATATCTGGGCAAACATAGCAGTATTCCTCCTTGATCTTCTCTGCAGTTTTCAGCGAGCTGTCTGGTTCGTGTCGATCTCGCAAGAGGTTCTGAACGAAGTAGGTGATATCGCGACCGGCGATTGGGATGCTCTTTATAGAAGAACCAATAACGTATCCCTCGGCAACAGGAATAACGTGTGTGACACCGTCACCAGAGTCAATAACAGTACCTGTGAGTGATCTGTCTGTAACCTTCGAAGACGTCCAGGAAGCTGCCAGGGCAAGGACAGCTTGAACTGCAATATATAGACCCGCACAGTTAAACGATTCGAAGAAGATTTCGGCGGTGTTTTCTCGGTTCTCCGGCGGGTTCAATGGCTAGTTTACGACAATTAGCAGGTATAGATATATGAATTGAAGGCGGGGAAGTATTACGGGCTCTGTTAATAGGAAGTAGTGTTCCTCCGGCTCGACCCTGAGGTACTTGAAGATGGAGTTGGACCAGAATCTCTCCATATGGTCCCAATTTTCAATCTGCCCATGTCTGATGGGATAATGGATGCCGTAGCCTGGGCCAGAACTTGCGGTAAGGGCTTCATCTCCAATGAAGTAGTCCAAGTCCTCCGTTCCACGCTTTGAGGCGAGCGAAGAAGATGGCCCCGCGCCGCCGGTCAAGAAGGAGGGCTTGTTTGCGACTGGCGGCCGACCGGCGCCAGCCCCAGGGGCAGCTCCTGCACCAGATTTTGTAGCTATGGCGGTAGGAAAGACGAAGGACGGAGAGTCGTTGCCGGCGAATCCTAATTGGTAGGGAGAGCTACGAGTTAGCTGCTGGGAGGGGTATACACCGATGGAGATCTACTGCTCACCGAGCTTGGAGTAGCCTGTGCCACTACACGTAGAAAAGAGTTAGCCAATTTACATTAGAGTCAAACTATCGTAGTTTCAATACGATCTCCTCTGTACTTACTTGTCCATGACAACGGCTGGTGTTTGTGCTGCCATGTTTATTACCGTGGTGACGTGACAGTCGAGGCAACAGCAAAGTAAAGAGATTCAATCAAATGTCGAGAAGAAACAAGTATAGACTATGTAAACTGAGCTTGTCTGCAGGCGAACCTGGGAACACTGGCCGCTATGCCGTGCAGTACTATGTTGCAGCCTGTCCGTGTTGGAGTGTTGGAGCGTTGCAGTTAACTTAGTGAGTTCATCGTCAAGGTGGAGGGTGAGAGGCGCCAAGACTTGATATCATGTGCCTTTTTGCTACTTCGACTCTTTTTCAACGTCAAACATCAAAAGCCGAGATTTATCTTCTTCGTCCCTAGATATATGGCTGTTGGAACGAGGATAAAGGGGTCGAGAGGCCCAGGGAGAAGCCGGTCATTGGATGCTGAGAGTCCCTAAGGAGTTCTCCCTTGATACCACCGGAGGAGCCAGAAATCCTGGAAGCAACAACTGGATTGTTGTCACCACCTCCTTCTCGACCAAAGTGCAGAGCAAAGAAGAAGAAGAAGAAGAAGAAGAATGAAAAGAAAAACACAGACTCAACCGCAGCTGCTTTATCTCTGGCTGCTTTTTGTGTACGCTGAAAAATAATGAACCAGGCTGTCTATTATCTGCTTCTCTCTTTCTACTTCTCTTACCAACACTTCTCCTGATACCTCCCTCCCCTTTACTAAGCTACTTTTATCCATCCGCATCTTCTACTCTTCTCAGCTCAGGCTTCATCTTTCCAGTGATAAAATAAGGGATTCTCTCTTAATTTCTGGACTTAAGGTGAACAGCCTGTGCTAGAGAGACACATCACTCTTTCTATGCATACTAGCAATCCACTCGCTACTATATTGCTCTCCCACCGTCTTTCACTGCTAGAGTCTAGGATATCATATCTACTCCCTTTCTTCTTACTTTATTTCATCACTCTCCTATAACTGACCTAGAGGCAGAGAACCTGGTGAGGTCAGTCTTATTGTGTTGCCTGGGCGCATCTCTGCTTGTGCTGGGGCTGTGGAAATAGGCTTCTGCCAGCTAGGTCACCTAGCAACACACTATATTCAGACCCATAACAACAGATTCTTTTCGTCTGTACTTCTCTCACCAAGGCTTCTATATACCCCAGGCTGTGTCTATACTCCCTGTGTTATACTTCAAACACATATTCAGCTCGCAGTTAATCATCACAGCCTCGAAACTCGTGGCGGAATAATCGGGATGAGCATCCAGAGCCAGGACTCTCAAGGGAGTCTGGGTGTATCTGCTATATTTGTCCATGCAGGAGCTGGTTTTCACAGCCGCCAGAGCGAGGAGCTTCACCTCTGGGTGTGTAGCAAGTAAGTCAACTTTTCTTTTACCTGCTACAGATCATTTTGTTGACTGGTTTGGCAACAGGGCGTCCTCACTTGGTATGGCCATATTGAAGACTGGTGGGAGTGCAGTTGACGCAGTTGAAGTAGCCATCAAATTCTTCGAGGACCACGAGGTTACGAACGCTGGATATGGTAGCAACTTGACCATTACAGGTGCTGTGGAGTGTGATGCCACGATCGTTGACCATCTTGGCCGCAGTGGTGCTGTTGGGGCAGTCCAAAGTTTGTCCCCTTCGGTACCCAAGAGAAACCTGGATCATAGCTGATGAACCTCGTTTTATAGACATAAAGAATCCGATATCACTGGCAAGAGTAGTACTGGATGCCTCCACAAAACCACTCTCACTCAACCGTGTACCCCCGAACTTCCTTGTATGTGGTGGTGCCACTGACTTTGCATACGAACATGGCATACCTGTACTTCCTTCGGATATCCTCGTAGCCCCAGCAGCAAGAGACCGGTGGTTACGGTGGAAGCGGGATCTTGAGCAGGTTTCGCAAAGACTCCAGAAGCGAGAAAAATATGTTGAGCTGGACAACTTTGTCCCCCAACATCCATCACAACGAGTTAGTCAGGCCTCTACTGCAGTTGCAAGTATCGGCTCGCCTCATCACAATACTTGTTATGGTGCACATTCCCTGTTCCATGTCCCTCGCAGCCCTGTTCACGTTACCAACATCTGCCCTTCGAGGGATGCAGTAAACATGATCGGGTCCAATAGATGTGGATCTCCCTTGCTATGTGTTTCACGTAGTGATATCTCAATGGAAGGCGACGGTGAGGCCGATGCAGAATTTGTCGACGATACTTTCCATCAGGATCCTCTCGTCGCCGACACTTCATCATGGCGGGATTCCACAGACAGCCAAAAGGACAAACACGTGCATTATGCGGAGGATGCTGAGGGTGAAACCGATTCGGCTACTAGAGATGCTCATGACCTGGCTGTAACCAGAGACGAAGATGAAATCACCGATACGGTTGGAGCTATTGCCATCGACTGCTATGGCAACATTGCCGCTGGTTCGTCGTCTGGGGGGATTGGGATGAAGCATAATGGTCGCACGGGCCCTGCTGCGCTAGTTGGGATAGGAACTGCTGTTATCCCCGTGGATCCAGAGGACGAAATGTATACGTCTACTGCCGCCGTTGCGAGCGGAACAGGAGAACACATGACTACAACTATGGCAGCTCAAACATGCGCCGAAAGGATTTATGCTAGCACGAAGAAAGTTCCTGGGAAACCTGGAGTGTATGAGCCCACGACGGAAGATGAAGTCATTAAGTCTATGATACAGACCGATTTTATGGGTAGGGTATCACCGGTGTTTGCTTTAAACCTTGCGATAAGCTTGACTGACGGTCATGTTATAAAAAATAATAGGTCATCCCGCAGTCAAATCAAGCCATTGCCACGCAGCAATTGGCGTGATGACAGTCAAGAAAACGCATGACGGAATTATCTTCGTCTTCGGTCATAATACAGACTCCTTTGTAAGTACGATGCTATGTTAACAATATGGAGTAATAATTCTAATGCTCGGTTCAAAGGCCGTTGCAAGCATGAGCTCCGATGATGTGGCGGCATGCTGTACTATGTCTCGATCCCCGGGAGACCGAAAGGTAGCCCAGGGTGGTCGCTTTATCAGGTCAAGAAGGTTAGATCTTGGTACTATTCATCCGTTTCTCGATATTCGAATGCTAAATAAGAATGTTTTAGATTTAAACCTAGCCCAGCTACTTCACAATAAGCCCAATGCTTGCGAGGTTCACTGCGACATCATCGCGGTTTTGGTAAGGCCTTAATTTGATGCCTTTTGCATGCACAGCCACCTAGCTATTAACCAGGTATGCCATTTCTATATTCAATCATAGTTTGATCCGGATAGAGAGCTTCACTAACTAATACTTCCTTAGTAACTCTACTTGTCATTGGTGTCCGTATCTGGGTTGAAAGTTGAGTATACTGGGTAAAAAGGAGAGAGGGTGGGGGGACTCTTTTCAACCATCGGCTGGAAAAAGTGCAGGCAGGTCCTTTTTTGTTTTTTCCTTCTGCTTTTACCTAAGCCTGGACACAAGTCTTTATCTTCGACCTGCACTTACCTATAAACAAGCTGTATGCACCGACCTAGGAATACATACATACATATTCTATTCTTGACCACCAGGGCCGTAATCATGCTCATCGTAAAGTATCCTGGCGGATGGAAAAAGGAAGAAAATAAGAGGTGTAAAAAAAGGGGGTGGGAAAAGTGAGGCTAGCCTTATTATCAAGGAGCTGGGGTAGTTGCCATCGAACTCGGGGTGGCTGGGCCAGAAGAGACTCCGTTGCCTGCTCCATTGAGTGCCTTTGCCGAAGCCTTCTTACGCTTCTTTTTCCGTGCAACAACGACTGGCTTGGCCCCGTAGTCACCGAGAGCCAGATGGGTGCCACAAGTCAGACAATTGGCACCCTCAGGCGGTTCACAGAAGATACTGAGGCAGATACTACACACAAACCCGACATCGACGACTTTCCGATGGCAGAAGCAAGCAGCGCGGAAGTCGACATCAACACGGGTAGGCAGTATCAGGTTCCGCCTTGCCCGCTGATCAGGCAAGAAGGCCAGCATAAGGTACTGTAGAAACCCTCGCGGGGAGTCTAGGGACATGTATATCCCACGAGTAGCGTCACAGGCCTGTTGTAGAAAAACAGCATCTCCGGCTAGCTTGCATATGTCGATGGGTATGTGTAGACGCTGGCAAGCAAAGATGCTGTTCATTATGGGTATGTACTGCTGAGCGGAGTCTGCAGCACTGCTGACGGAGATGATCAGGATACGAGACTGGAGAGCACCGGCGTCCGTAGCTGTAGTGGCATTAGCCTTATCAGATGTGGGAGGGGCACCACCAGGGGGTGGAGGGAGGCCTCCCGCTCCGCCTGCGGCCTGATCGGAGCCTGCCGCGGTGCCATGTGCCTCGAGGTAGGCAATTGTTTCGCGGTTGATATAGCTGAGCGCAAGGGTGAGAGCACCGGCCATCATGGTAGAAGATGATGATGAAGTGGTAGAAGGGGATATTTCTTCTGCTCGGGTGCGCGTGAGAAGCCGGTTGAGGTTTCGGGTCAACTGCTGCTCGACCAGGAGAAAAGGACGGTACTTGTTCGGCTGCTGCTCACGCTGCTGCACCTGCGCGGGGACGACAGGTTCCCCGTAGTCGGTCATGGGTGTATCTCCGTCCTGGTCGTTATTGGACGGGCGGAGGTGTTTCTTTTGCGAGTCGGCAGCGGCATCATCGGGAACCGTGGCCGGGGGAGTTGGGTACAGCCAGACGGCCTGATGGCTGTGACTGGCCACGACGGCCACCTTGTTTGCGTAGTTGCATGCCAGATGAGCGTTGATGAAGACCAGCAGGTTCGCCACGGCAGAGGAGAGCGGGAGTGTCTCTTGAAGCTGTGCCCAAGCATGCGGGTTTGTGTCCAGGATCACCGTCAGCAGCGAAGGATCTGAGAGCAGGCAAGCGGTTAGTAGAGCAGGTACGCTGGGAAGGGAGGACGCGGTGCCGGCGCAACTGACCATTCACTGCAGCGCCTGAAGCCGCCATCCTGACTCTCCCTCCTCTCGTCTTCTATCCAGCGCGTCTACTCTGCTCTTCGACCTCGCTGTCGCCGTCTTTCGTCTTCGTCTTTTGTCTTCGTCTTCGTCGTCTTCTTCTATCAATGTCAGAAGTCACTGCTTAGTCATCATATCAACTCTGTGCCTGCAAAAAAAGCGACACAAGCAAAAGAGGCGAAGAAGACGAAGAAGACGAAGAAGACGAAGAAGAAGAAGATAAGAAAGGTTGGAGACTAGAAGAAGCAAAGAAGCCGACGAGCAGAGGCTGAAGAAAAAGGCAGGCAAAGTCTTCCGGTTGGCCCTGAGTCTTCCTCCTGCATGCACCTCGACGTAATAACAGCGCAGGAGACAAAAAGAAAGCAGAAAAATAAAACACCTCTTATCTCGCTGCGTCTTTGACAAGTGACATATCTTGTCGCGAGAGGCAGAGATAGAGACGAGACGGAGTAATATTAAGCAGCCCGGTCTATAAAAGGACGCCTCTTATCTTCTTATTCTTCTTCTGCTTCTTCTGCTTCTTCTGCTTCTGCTTCGTCTTACTCCAAGTCCAACTTGACGAGCCCCAACCCAACCCATTGCAAGCCACACTCAACCTCAACAGCCAGCCAACAGAAAGAGACCCTTGCGAGGCAGGCAGTAACTAGTTAACTATTATATACGAGAGACGGCGAAGGATACAACTGGCCAAAGACCGTCTCGTCGACATCGCCGTCCTTTTCGGGGCATTTTACCTGCTACCCGCTGTCCTCTCGCTGCCGGAAGCTCTCCCCCTGCCATAGCTTCAGGCGCCGAAAAAAAGCCCCGCGAACACCGGTTTGCCATCTCAACTTCGGCCTGACAGCCACCAGCGCAGACAAGACGAACCATACAAGGACGATAACCAAGTCGATAGTAACAAAGAGAAGCACAGCATAACCCCCATGGTTTCAGTACATGATCTGGAGCGCGCCAGCACACTAGCCAGGGAAGCCGTCGAGCTCGTCGATGCGGGCCACAAAGAGGTGCGTCACTTTCGATATCTGCCAGACAACTAGCTAGATAGACGGCCAGACAGACAGCATAGTTACCGATGGGCTGACAATGGTGAATAGGCGGCATCTCGCAACCTGCGCGAGGCTATTGCTATCGCCCCGGACAGCGAGGATGTCAAGAGCGTCTTCCGCAAGATAAGGGAGGACGAGGAGAACAGTCATCCGCTGCTCAACCTCTGCCGGCGCATCGTCACCCAGCAAGATGAGGGCGCAGCCAGTGAAGCTACCCGGTACCTTCGCACGGAAGGGCTGCAGCCGCCGCCAGAGGTAGCTCTGGAGTGTGTCAAGTTGATTCTGGCTAAGCCTGCTGCCGCTCTGCCAGCCGGCCAGGACGAGCTGATCACTGCCCTTGTACGGCAGAGCGCGCGAGTTCGTAGTTACTTTGCCGGTGAGCTACAGAACTCCGTCACCGGTCTGTTTGATAAGATCTATGACCGTGGAGATGGAGCTGTTGTCTGTCTGGACATGGTTGTCCTCGAAAGGGGACTCTGGCAGTCAGAGCACACCAGGAAACATTGTGAAGAGGAACTCTTCCAGCTCTTCATTGCCAAGCTGATGGAGTCTGGTCATGATCATGACGGCCGCTCCCTCAAGGGGATCGCTCGTCTTCTCGTGGTCGATGCAGACAGCTTGAAGCACCTCGTCGACGAGGAAAGCTTCGACGTTATCATCTCTTCCCTGGACCGGAGACTCCCCGCTGATGTCAAGAGCCAGGCCACCCTCGCTACAGCGAAGTACCTCGAAGTCGCTGGTGATGCTGGCCAGACATTCTGCTCCAACTTCATCAAGGCTAGGTTTGCAAAGCACCGCAAGGAAGACTACATCATCGCCTTCTCAGTTGCTAGTGTTGTCTTCCCCATTATGCCTGAGTTTGCAGTCAGCCTGTTCCTGACAGAAGCCTTTCTCAAATCCCTCACCCCATTGCTTGCCCGGAAAATTAAGTGCAAGAATCTGGAACTAGCCATTCTAGAGTTATTTAACGCTGCCTCTGTTAACGGCTCTTGTCGAGAGACTATATCCAAGAACTTTCTCGACTGGCTTTCTGAACATCTGAATGGGGACACTGAGGAAACAACTGCTCTGGCTGCGGTCATTTTGGCAAAGCTTAGTGTTTCCCCCAAGGATGCGAGTGCTGCCAACAAGGACCAGACCGGAGTTGTCCAAGAGGAACATGCCGACCCCTTGGAACTTGTGAATAAGTTCAAGGCCATGCTTGGAAAGCCTGGTCAAGATGGCAATCTGCGACATGTCGTCGAAGGCCTGGCATATGCCTCTGTCAAGGCTGAGGTCAAGGAGCAGCTCACCAACGATGCCAAATTCCTCCAAGACTTGATAAGTCTACTACTTGAACGAGTTGCCGACTCTACTGTCCTATATGGTGGACTGATGATAATACACAATATCACAGCATATCGACCAAACATGTCCGAGGAACAGAAAAAGATGTCCGAACTGAAGGCATACGCTAATGCATCCAAGCCATGCCCAGCTGCTAATCCGCTTGAAAATGACGAACATACCAAAGCAAGATGCAGTGCAATCGTGAATGCCGGGGTAATGCCGTTACTGGTGGAATGTGGAAAATCCCAGCTGGCCTCTCCCAAGGATCTTGTCAACAAGATACTCCTCTCCCTGTCCAAGGATTCCAAGGCGAGAGGCAAACTCGCTCAACAAGGCGCCGTGAAACTCCTCATATCCTCTTTCTCCTCCCAAGACGCCACAGCAGCTAAGACTCCAACTGTTGAGAGCACCATAGCCAACGGTGCTCATGCTCTCGCCCGCATCCTCATCTCCGTAAACCCATCCCATGTCTTCCCTGCCTCTGGATTCCCCCAAATCACCTCCGCAATCCGGCCACTCAACATCCTCCTTACTCCTCCCGGGACAACAAGCATCTCCTCCGACCAGCCACGCGATCTTCTTCCAGTCTTTGAAAGTCTTCTTGCCCTCACCAACCTTGCTTCTTATCCTGACCAAAGCGTCAGCACCTCCATAATCCGCTCCGCATGGTCAACTATCGAAGATCTTCTTCTCTCACACCATACGTACATTCAACGTGCAGCTTGTGAGCTAGTATGCAACCTCATGTCATGTGAAGCCGGTGTTGGCAAATTCGCCGACGGCACCCACCGCGCCAGCCAACGCATGCATATTATGCTCGCTCTAGCGGATGTGGATGATCTGCCTACCCGTAGTGCTTCTGGTGGTGCCCTAGCAATGCTCACTGACTTTGAAGGGGCTGTCTCCGCCATCGTCGAGCGTCCAAGGGGCGTCGATATCATTCTCAATCTATGCCAGGAAGATGATGACGGGCTGGTTCATCGTGGCATCGTCTGTGTTCACAACATGGTCGGTGGCACAGGCGATATCGGACGCAAGGCTAGAAAAGCAATACGCGAGAAACACGGCATGGAAGTCCTCAGGGACTGTCTCACAAAGACCAAAAACCCAGCTGTCATGCGGAGTGGAGTTGAGGCCTTGAAGAAGTTGGTTGACTGTCAGGCGTCGGATTAAGGTGGTATACGCAACCCCCTTATGTGTACTTTTTATATTTCATTTTTCCTACTTCCATATCATGGGCCTGGAGGTGTGTGTTTGATTATTTCTTATTCCTTTCCCCCCTTTTGCTTTGTTTCTTGTTTTACATTTCATTCATACTCCATGGCATTCATTCGGTTCTTTTCGTTTACCCGGTGTTTTCATTCGATGGATGGTGGAGGGTGGCTGATGGGTTATTAACTATGTGCACGGATGGTTTTCTGCGTTTCTCTTGCTTGCTGCTCGCTTCATTGACTGCTTTATTGTTATGGTTCGAATTTGCTCTGATATTCATGACCCTTTACTACTTGCATTAATAATATATACGACTCGCATTGAAATCAATTCCGTTTGCAACACCTGTCCTATCTTAACCTATTTACAGACACTCTATTGACTAGGCCTCCTAATAAGAGAAGATGGAGTCCTGTTTCTCTGGCAGTCCCAACTTGGATCTAAGCTCGTCTTCCTGCTGCCCGGCCTTGACCTTGGGCACATACTTCAGCAGACCAAGCGACCCACGCTTGAGATTTGGCACCATCCCATCGATAACATCGACAGTGAAGTTATCGATGTTCATCGTGTCCTCGGATCGAATGATCTGTCTGGCTTGAATGGTGTTGAGCGTCCGGCGTTCATCAGCAGATAGACTCTCTTCCAGCTTCTTAACGACGTCCGTTTCACCATTCTTTGTCTCGCTAACAGTCTTGATCTTGTTCATCAGCGCATCTTGCTCATCTCTTCCAGCGTTCTGGAATGCATTAACGCAGAAACTGATCGTTTGAGCAATCTCGGCTTGCGTCAGTGACTTGTCCACATCCACCGTTCCTTGGATGACTATCAAAATCGTTAGCATTGATACCCTAGTTATAGCCACCAGACACCACGGGATAGGACAAACATACTTGGTCTGAATAAGTCAAATGCCCGATTGAAACTCTCTTCGTCCCAGTCCGTAAGAACAGGCTCGTCTCGATCAGAAATCTGTTTCAAGGCACTCATCACAACTAGCAAGAAACGGGTATATCCCTCCGCAACTTTCTTGGAGTGCCATTCTGCAGCGGCTTTTTCATCACAATCACCTCTCTGTGCGGCACGAATACTGAGGGCCGCGGAAAGACCGCTTGCAAAAGCTAGATGAACCCCCGAAGAGAAAAAGGGGTCAATGAAACAGCCTGCGTCTCCGGCGATGCGCAGGTAGGGGCTGGCATAGCTTGAGGCGCTGTAGGACCAGTCTGATGCTGACTTTAAGTCGGATACCAGCTCCGCTTTGTCAAGGAGCTGCCAGATACCGGGGATTTGCTTCACATTGTCAATATAGAACTGCTGTGAGCTCGATCCGGACTCTCGCTTCTTTGTTGTGGCCATAGCCTGGTTCATAACGACGCCGATCGAGGTTGTACCATCGTGCAGGGGGATTAGCCAAACCCAACCACTTCCATCTATTGGGAATAGTTAATTCATTGTTACAGTAGTGTATTTAGGATGGTGATAAAGCGGCGTCTTACCTGCAATAGCCTCAAAGTATGGGTCACCCTCCCGAGGAGTTCCAATACCATATGAACTCGCCCCTTTCCAATACCCCCAGGTAGCCACATTCTTCAGTCCCTGGTTATATGTTCTGTTCTTCATATATTTGGTGCTGACCAGTCCGGCTCGCCCGGTGGCATCCACGAGATATTCAAATTTAATCACGCCAGTGGACTTGTCAGCCTTGCGTGTCCAGGTGGCTGAGACAGGTCGTCCCAAATCTCTTGACGCATTGTCCCAATCACCCTCGGGGAGCGGTTCGAAGTTGATACCATTCACCTTCACTCCGTCGAAGGTTTTGGCTCCGTTTTCTCCGGCATGCTTGAAGATGAGGTGGTCGGCCTCCGAACGGATTACGTTCCAGGCGTAGCTTCCGGGGCCGCCAGCCGCCACGAAATCGGTATCTGATCCCAGGGTCAGCCATATCTTTGATATGTATGCTTTCATCCATGGTACTCACATGCTTCTGGCTTCGAGTTCAGTTTAAAGGCCTCACCATTCTGCGAAATTGTCAGTTAAGCACTATATCAACGGAACGCTAGAGGTAGCTATGTGTAACACTTACCTTCTGGACAAATCCATAGCTATCAAACTTGGAGTCTAGATCAATAAATCGTAGAAAATGGCGAATAGACGGCAACATGCTCTCGCCTATGTGGTATCTAGATTAAATGGTGAAGTTAGCCTCTAATTTCTTAACTAAGGGTAGAACTTGCCAAAAAACCTTACCTGGGGAAGACATCTGCCTCGAGGAGGACTACATCGACTCCCTCTCGAACCAACGCTGAAGCAGCGTAGGACCCAGCTGGGCCACCTCCGACCACCAAAGCAGTGCAAGTTTCTGGGATAGACATGTTTGCTTTAATTGAGTGGAATTGAGATTTCTGTTTGTGCTGTTGACTTGGAAGTGAACGCTTGATCTATATATGTTCAACCCCCTTTCCCGTCTCTTCCTTCGGATACCGAGTATACCGGCAACAAGGCTGTTAATGGCTCCGTGGCACCGGTCTCCGGCCTTCATCAATCATTGCTCCCGGGAACATTCACAGGGACAGATTTACTTGCTCTGACTGACAGTATGAGCCCTATTATCTGTGATCTGTTGAATAAAACTTGCTACGAAAGTATTATGGAGTATAGTATTAACGAATTATTTTCATACAACTAACATTCTCGATCTATGTTTGAACTGTTCGGCTATTAAACAAACTCCTCATTTACAAACTTCAAGGTAGAAGACCAGCCCTAAATATCCACATCTCTAGACCGTATCATTATATTGGCCCCTGGGTTTGGCATGATACGAACACCATCAAAAATATTTGGCGGCCGTTTGGGTGTTTCGTTATCCGATATGCCCTCCTCGAAACGGAAGTCATATTTCATAAGTAGTTCTGCGATAATGACTTTCACTTGATTGCTTGCAAAATGGCGTCCAGGGCATGAGTGCGTTCCATATCCCCAGTTCAACTCCGAGGAACTATAAATAATGTTAGCAGGATATTACTGCATGGCTCATATCAATCACATAGTTACCTTATAGAAGAGAATTGGTATTTATATTCGTTACCCTTGCTTTGGCGCAATTTTTCAAATCGATAACCATCAAACTGCGTTGGGCACTCCCACAAGGACGAGTCTGTGTTGACAGTCATAGCCGGAGCAGAGACTGAAATACCTGCTGGCACTGTGGTGCCATCAGGCAAGTCGATCTTTGACAAAGCAAAACGGCTTACACTGACTGTTCTGATATTAGCGACTTCCTTTGCTTCACATAAAAAGGGTACACACCAATGCCAATAGGATTCAATCTCTGGGACTCTTTGAGAAAACTGTCACATTTACGAAGGTCTGCTAGGGCTGCTGGTGTCCAGGCACCGCCACAGGAATCGAACACAGTTTGGATCTCAGCTCTTAATGGCTCTATGTATTCTGGATGAGCTAGTAGATCGAAAAAGAAATGGATGAGCTGTCGTGTTTATCTCTCGTTAGCTTCATCCATATTCAGGTGAAATTGAAAACCTGTAAACTCACCTGAAATGCTAGATTGTATGTTGCCGCCTGTACAGCCTCAAGCTGCAATCTTGTATGGAGAGTCAAATCATTCTTCTGCTTTGGATAGTTCTTAATTATCCATTGCATCAAATCTTTAGACTCTCGGGCTTCTCCCCCAAGCCGAGCCTCCAACACAGGAAATAGTAACTTGCTTGCTTGCTTAAATTGTTGACTCATCTTCCCAATCTCAGGAAGGAAAAAGGCTTTGAATGGACGCAGGCTCCAGTGAGTACTTGACATTTTGGCTGCAATTGTGACAGTTGATATAGCATACTCAAGGGTCAGGTCAATCTAGTGAAATTAGCTCAAATATATTTCCTTCAAAAGTAGAAGGCGTTCTTACCCATTCCTGCTCCCTAGAAAGGGGTGAATTAATAAAAGTGCGCCCAATGTGTAGCGGGACCAGTTTGACCATCGTAGGGAAAAGCTGAAGTGATTTCCATTCTTAAACTAAATCAGCCATCGATTGATGATACCGGAGACACCTGAATATGGTCATGAAATGGCGATATCGTACCTGGACAATCACCAATCTGGGAAGAAATGGTCCACCTAGCATCTTCTTGGAGTAGAGAAACATTCCCTGCAAGCTGCTTTGATAGTCCTCCACGTACAAACTCTGCCAAATGGTCACTCTTCACCATTTTGGTGTACCGGCCCATCAATCGCTCATATACCTCCCTTCCGAGGCTCAGCCTATGTTCAGGGGCATAAGCAATGGTCGATAGGCATTTGCGTGGGACAATGACAGTTGGGATATCACGAGTTGGGATTTGAAAACACGACTCCGGGTACTGTTTGAAGTTAGACGAAGCATATCAATTAGTGTAAGGAGTACTTTGAGTAAATAATTACCTTTCGACATCCCTCCTCCAATGCAGCCATAAAATTCGGGTGTTTAGCATCGCCAACTATGGGTATTTTCGTAGGCTTTGGACGGATAAACAACCAAACAGATATTATTGCAACCAGCCCAACCGCATATGGCCAGGCTGGGATAAAACTGTGTGCGCGGAAGTAGTCCATAACTAGCATAATGATGGGTTATGGAAAAGTAGAAGGAGCTGGAAGGGATAATGGAGCTGATAATATGGGATCTGGGCCTGTTTCTCTCGGAGACCGAGCTGTGAACCATCCCGATCCTAGTCGCCGAGGGAGCAAGAAATATAGCCTGGAAAACTTCCTCCATCTGAAAGATATTTTCTAACAATAAGGAATTGAGTATTCTCAGTCTTACCGTAATCATGTTCTTTTCATTTGGGTTCCTGCCCATAGTCTATGGTGTATGTTCAATACCCCATTTCATGCTTAAGTACCAACCGAGTGTTGACAGAATACTAACGATTATACAGCTACTTCTATTCACCTTTGTCAAAACAGTCTATAACCTGTACTTTCATCCCCTCAGGTCATACCCAGGGCCATGGTTAGCACGCGCTTCCCGGTGGTACTATTCGTACTACCTCAAAATCGGACGGCTCCCACACAAGACGAAGGAATGGCATGATAAATATGGCCGATGTGTGAGAATTGCACCAGACGAGCTGTCGTATAACACCGCAGAAGCATGGGAGGATATTTGTGGTAGGATGACAAGACATGATCTCTTTCTCGTTTATACTTGGACTCCTGCTAATGGCTTAACTTGTACTTAGGACACCGAACGGAAAGTAGGATGGATAGCTTTGAAAAAGATCTAACGTTTTTCCCGCCTTCTCCGAACGGGGTGGATTCAATTGTGAGTAACTGATGTGTTCTTGTGTGAAAACCATGACCAAAAGCTGATTGTTTTTGTTGCGTAGATTGTTGCAAAGGATGACGGTATAATCACCACAATGATTTGGCAACGAAGTAAGGAAAGGGCTGACTGAATCGCATAGTACACCGACGATTTCGAAGACTACTGTCGCATCCGATGTCCGACAAAGCTCTCAGTGCCCAGCAAGAAATCATTACTGGTTACGTCGACCAGTTGATCGATGAACTCCGAGAGCGAAGTGTCGGCCATAAAGGGGACAAGAAAGGCGTGGTCGACATGGTCCGCTGGTTCAACTTCACTTCCTTTGATATCCTTGGAGACCTAGCGTTTGGTGAGCCATTCGGCTGTCTGCGCAGCGGTGTCATGCACCCCTGGATAGAGCTCATCTTTACTGCCATCAAGTCTGTAATGGATATGCAGATTATCCGTCGTGTTCCTGGCGCCTTCCCCTTGATGATGGCAATCGCTGGGATGTTCCAACAAAGCCAACATTTGCAGGACCAGTTCATGTTCTGCCAGAAGAAAGCACGCGAGCGACTTAGTAGAGAAACTACCAGGCCAGACTTCAGTAAGTCCGCGATTGGGAATATTCTGAGAGCCTTGATGCTGACAGCTTTGATAGTGACGTATATTCTCCGCGCAACTGAGGAGAAAGGGATGACCCAGGATGAGATCGAGGCAAATGCACAGATCTTGATTATGGCTGGTAGCGAGACCACTGCATCAGCGCTGTCTGGTATGTAGAATCCAGAAAGAAAGAGCAAAGTAAAGTGGGCTAACATGGTATGCGGCGAACCAGGTACACTTTTCTATCTGCTCAAAAGCCCGGAAGTTATGCAGAAGCTTAGAAAGGAGATGGAGTGCAATTTCCAACAGGAATCTGATATAACCATGCGATCAACCCAGGGACTGGAGTACCTGAATGCTGTCATACAGGAAGCGATGAGGGTGTACCCTCCTGTTCCTTGCACGTTTCCTCGCACAACACCCCCGGCCGGTGCCATGGTCTGCGGCCAGTTCGTTCCAGGGGGTTACATTGTTGGTATCAATCAAATGGCAGCCATGACTTCTGCGAAGAATTTCACAGATCCGACAAAGTTTGTGCCAGAAAGGTGGTTGGGCGATGAGCGTTATATAAGTGATTGCAAGAAAGCGTATCAACCATTCTCATATGGACCACGCAACTGTCTCGGAAAGAAGTAAGTATTCCCCGAATGCAACTGGTATCTGGGTAACTTAAGAAAACGATGCTAAGAGATTTGCTATAGTTTGGCGTATGCGGAAATGAGACTTGTTCTAACGCGTCTGCTGTGGAACTTTGATTTGGAGTTGTTGGAGGAGTCGAAGGACTGGCATGACCGGCAGAAGGTATGGATGATGTGGGATAAAGGCGATTTAAACGTTAAGATCCGGCCACTGCGGCCTTAGTAAGAAATATCTGTAGTGTGAAATCTCCGTGAGGCTGTTTTTCTATGTACACAAGATGAAGGGAATTCAATATACAACTTTTTTTTTAGATGATTATGTCGTTAGATGGTGGAAGATAACTTGCCCACGCGCTCCTCTAGCTTTATGCATGGGTTGGGCTCTAGAGTGATGGAATCCCGGAGAGTGTTGAGAACCTGAAGACACCGCTGCAGCTCACGCTGGAGCAAATAAGACCGAAGTTCTAGCTGTTCATCCTGGCTGATTTGAAATGACCCGAACCGAAGATTGGGCAGGACATTGCCACTGGTGTTGCCCCGCGATAGGGATTTACATGCACCGATGTTAGTGAGGCCTCCCATGCTGCTAATAATACTGGCACGATCGCTCTCTGAAGGGTCCTGCCCTACACTGCGTTCGAAAAGGGTGACAATCTGCTCAATGGCAATGAGAAGTAACATGGCGCAATTGGATCGCTCCTTATGTGCGCCTTGGCTCAGGAGCCGTGAGATTTCTGCAAGTGTGACTTTGTTGGTGTGCATGACCACGTCCAGCGCGATGACACCTCTTTGGATGTGGTGTTCTAGAAACTCCACTATTCGGTTACAGCTTAGGATAGTCCAGCTTCGATAGTTGTATTGTTGTTGATGGCGCCGCCCATTGGTAGAGAAGTCACCATCACATTCCATCACAGATACATTTTCAGTATACTGGGATGCGGAACGGCTCGGGTAAGACCGTGAAGGATCGAGGTGGACAGAGCGTCTCTTCTTAGTGGATGGTGTAGCTGGGGTGGCAGCAGGAGTCTCCAATGAACACATGGGGAGATCCATCGGGTGAAAGTCATGGATGTGGAGATCCAAATCCGGTAGATCCATGTCTGGAAGATCTGGAAGGTCGAGAGGAAGCATTCCAGCATCCAAGAAAGGGGTAGCATGGGCTGGGCTTTGGATATGAGAGACTCCCGCAGCCTGACTGTGGCACCGGGATGACCGACTAGGGTCGTGCTCTGAAGACATCAACTGACTGGGTAGAATGAAAAGATCTGCAGAATCAAACGGATTGGGAGACTGATCTGCTGAAGGATTGGTCCAGTCCGCATATATGCCGACAGGGGATTTGGGGGTGTTCGCGTCAAAGCATTGACCAGCATCAGCCCCGTTTGGTTTGTCACCGAATTCGAGAGTAGGATGAGGCTCGTCAGGCTCGGTGGCCGTCGTGGTGGTGATGGTGGTGGTCTGAGTGTCTGCGTCGGCGTCGGCGTCCTGTTGCTGCAAGACGGCGGATTCAGACCGTGGAGTTGGTGCAGTCTTCTCCGCTGGGTTCGTCCGGGATTGCTTATTTGCCCGAGCCCGGATTCCTGGTACCTTCCCGACTCTAGACACTGCATAGACACACTCATACTGCAGATTGCTACACCTAGAGCAGCCAGTTCTCTCGCCGCTGCACCGTACCTGGTTAATCTTATTAGCATATCGAACGAATATATGGAGACTATCTATCAATACACTACTCCGTACGGGTCTAGGTGTTGTTTACCTTTGCTGCATGGCATTGGTTGCAGGCCGACCGCCATCTCACGGGCTTCCCTGAGGAGTCGAGCCTGCAAGGGTAAGGTCAGCAAAGGGCAGATGAAAGACTGGATGGATAAAATGGGCTTACAGACCGCTCGATGGTGGTGGCGGCGGCGGCGGTGGTAGAAGACATGTTCTTTATGGCAGGGAGGATATGGGAGCGTGGCGTATAGATTAGTTTTCTTTCTCCCAGATAAGTGTTTGATAGCTTCTGATAGCCAGCTTCTCGTACGGAGGAAGAGGACCGTTGGTAATTCTTATATGGCTGCCAGTGACGGTGAGCTAACCGCTTTTTCTTGCCTGCTCAGAGGCCGACAGGAACGAAGCGAGAAAACCTCAGCTTGCGGCTGGAGATATCTCCCCTCTCAGCCAGAATAAAGCACCGTCATTTGCTTCAGCCCTGCCAAAGATGGAGACACGATCCTCCGGGGGTCAGTCATGCTGCGTCTCGGGATGCATGCATGGTAGCCAAGCAGCGCCCATCTGGAACATTACTAGACCTGTCTAAGGGGCCCATCACACGGCCAGAGCCTAAGCCAGGTGATAATATAGCCAGAATATCGAGCAGCACCCTTTTCTGGTAGGCCGGACAGGCGCTATAACTCTAGATGTAGATAGCAGTGAAGAGTCGCAGCCAGGAACAAGCCGTCCAAGCATCAAGCCATGCCGCAAGCCCTGCCCGCCGTCTCGTCCCCTTCGTCCGCGCATCCTCCCGCCGTTTCTGCCTCCCTGGTCGTCCCTGGTTTTCCCTGGCCGTCTCTTACCTCGCCTCCCCTGGTCGTCTTTCTCTGTTTCTTTCTGCGGCTTAAGCGAGAAAAAATGCAGAAGCTGAAGTTGGTCGTCAAGATTTCCCAAATAGGAAATTGGTGACTAAGCTGGCTAAGGTGTCGATCTTTTTCTTTTTTCTTTCTTTTTTCAACCTCAAAGCTTCAACTTCAACTTCATCTTCGTCGTTTCTTCCACTAAGCATGACAAATTAATATGATACGATACGCAGGATACGCTGAGAAAACTAAGTTAAAACAGAAATATGCTTAAGTGTGGTAACTAGAGGAGCAGGGCTGGCAGGCCAGTTTGAAATGTTTACCGCCAGATGATCGCCGGTTGAGTGATCGACCTGGCATCAAGCAAGCACCTTTTCCACCGGAATACGCTGGGAATACGCTCAGAATACGCTGGGAGTACAGTAGAAAGGAACACGCCTGACTCTCTTGATCTCTTCACTGATCTAAGCCGTCTCCCCGCCCCCAGATGCCTGCCCATATCGTATCATGGAGCCACCACATAGCAAACATGGCAAAGCGGACCAGGGCCCGCACTGCTGGAGGAACGTGGCCGTCTTTGCCCGGCCCGGTGCGCGCAGTGGAGTGGGTGAGACTGCTGAGCAGAGCCATTATCGGAGTCCAGAAGGCCAGGAAAATAGCTGCCCCCATGCGCTCCCACGTTGTCGAGGGCGGCTCATAGCAGGGATACTTTTGGCGAATACGCTCAATGTAGGAAGGTGGAAAATTCGCGGCCTGGGCCCCGTCAAGAATAAGACCCTTGAAGGATCGAGAGCGGGGAGGGGAAGGAATGTTAGATTGTTTTGTCTTGATCGTCATGGACTTCGAGACGGAGAATAAGGGGGAGAAAAAAAAGAAGAAAGGAAAGAAAGAGAAGAAATAATGGATGAAAGAAAGAAATATGGGAGCTCACAAGATATCGTTCTGTGGGTCGAGCTTCCGGCCAGCGTTCCAAGGTACTGACCAGCGTCAAGACACGTATTTCATTGCCCCAGCGCTCCCGGTTGGCTGGATGGACTGGCTGCGCGGCCACCAGAGCCTCGTCGTAGGCAATTCCGCCCCCTTCTGAACCGATGATCTCAATCCATTGAGCCCACGATATCAGATATGCTGTCCCACAGAGGACGTCGTCGTCGTCGACGCCAGTCTTTTCCGTTGCCGGCTTGTATTCGGTGATCGAGGCGTAGCACGGCTCCCGGTATGGGAATCCTGCGCTGGACATGGCCAGCCGCCAACCAGCTACCTTAACGGCAACAGCCGCCTGCGGTGTCATACCGCGATCTTCACGGAAGGTTTTGGCCGAAAGGTTCGATCCATAAGCCAAGTACCAGACCAACCGCTCCTTCGCGGCCTCGGCCTTGGGAAGCGGCGAGGGTGATACAAACATCGCCGCAAAGGGGAATCTCCACGACTCAACCAACCAAAGGCAGAGGGGCAAAAGCAACCCAAACAACGCAATGCTTGTTAATGCTGACAGATTTTATTACGTCGATTGTGGTCTGTTACCCTGCAGCCCTCTATTGTTCTTCCGTCCCTCTCACGGCGCTATTTCTATTCAGATAGCAGACGGCGTTTGCGTAATGTTCGGAGACCGTGGGAGCTTGTTGAATGCTAGCTATCCAGTCCTTCGGTCACCGGGGTAGCCTCCCACAGCTGGATGGTATCGAAATGAGAGAGTATCCAGGGGGCAGCTGAGTGCGATCCTTGTTCTTTGTTGTAGCGATTCGTAGTTTTCCACCTTTGCAGGTTTTTTTTCATCCCTTTCTGCTCTTTCTATCTTCCAACATCTCTCACTCACTCCCAGGTCTTTCCTCTCTTTTATATCACAACCACGCAAGAGCAGACATGGAGGAGACGCGGCCCGCCGAAGACGGCCAGCGTGAGCTCAAGCAGTCAGTTACTCGCGGCACCCGGTTCTGGATGGTGTTTGTTTCGCTCTGTTTTGCATCCTTCGTTGCATCCCTGGATATAACGGCCATCACCACTGCGCTACCAACCATCACCCGCGAGCTCCACGGCGAAGAAAACTATGTTTGGATCGCGAACTCGTATACGCTGGCTTCCGCCGTTGTCCAGCCACTCACTGGCCAGGTCTCTAACATTATCGGCCGTCGAAACCCCATGATAGCCATGGTCTGCCTCTTCGCGCTGGGCAGTGGCCTCTGCGGTGGCGCGACCTCGACAGCCATGATGATTGCTGGGCGAACCATTCAAGGCCTCGGTGCCGGCGGCATTCTTCTTCTACTAGATGTCATCGTAAGCGACCTTGTTCCTCTACGCCAGCGAGCTCAGTATGTCGGCATCGCGCTCTCTACCTGCGCACTGGGGACGTCGCTGGGCCCGTTGATAGGAGGTGTCCTGGTCGAGCATGCTAGCTGGAGATGGGTCTTCTATATCAACCTTCCCTTTTCGGCCTTAGCCCTGATATCACTTGTGCTCTGCCTCAAAGTCCAGCACCAGCGTGAGGCAACGTGGAGACGGGCTTTAGCTCGTGTCGATTGGATCGGAAATGCCATATTTATTGTTGCAATTTGTGCTATCATGTACGCCTTGGTTATTGGCGGTGCCTTATATCCATGGTCCTCTTACCACGTCCTTGTCCCTCTTGTCCTAGGCGCGGTCGGATGGGCACTGTTCCACGTCTTTGAAGCATCCCCTTACTGCTTGGAACCCACCATGCCCCCTCGTTTATTTCGCAACAGGACCTCGATGGGCGCATATATCCTCTCCTTTCTTGGAGCGATGTTAATGCAATGGATCGTCTACTTCCTGGCCTTCTTCTTCCAGTCAGTCATGAGCCAGTCCACCACCATGTCGGGAGTTTCCGTCATACCCTTTACGGGCTTCCTTATACCATCGGCCATTCTCGGTGGCGTCATCATATCCAAGACAGGAGCCTATCGCCCCTTACATTGGGCAGGGTTCGCCATAATCTCCATATGCATGGGGCTCTTCAGTACTTGGTCTGTCCGCACCTCTCGTGCCGAATGGGTTACCCTACAGTGTCTTGTAGGGATCGGCAATGGCTTCCTTCTGACTAGCATTCTTCCCGCTATTCAAGGAGCACTACCAGAATCAGACAATGCCACTGCAACTTCAGCCTATGCGTTTCTTCGCAGCTTTGGTTTCGTATGGGGTGTTGCTATCCCAGCCGTGGTTTTCAATGGTCAAGTTGACCGCTTCCTGGGTAAAGTCAGCGATCCTGCTCTCCGCAGCAAGCTTGCCCGTGGCGGTGCATACTCTTTAGTAGGAACTTCATTCTTTGAAAGTCTTGGCTCAGAGAAAGATGCCGTACAATCAGTCTATACAGACAGTTTGAAAACAGTGTGGCAGGTTGGCATGGCTTTTGGGTTGCTCGGATTTGTCCTCGTTGGAGTGCAGAAACACATTGAGCTACGGACCACCTTGGAGACTGATTTTGGACTAGAAGATGCCCCTCAACAAAGAGATACATCGGCAGAAGAAGGAGCCACTGCGGCGAATGAACCGGCACAGGCTCCTACATCAAAGGCCCAATGAAGTCCCTGCCAATGCCTGAAAGGATCGTCATGGCTGTCTTCTAATGTTCCTTAGGAAGTGGAAACCATTTTATATGATAGACTTGTTTATTAAACTTAATTTCACTACATGACATGCCTTGAGTGGCCTGATGATACTACCTAATAATTTCATCTTTTATATTTACAATCTCGCATCGATACATTTAGACAGAACAAGACGCATATTCTAAGATTTTAAATATCAGTTAAGAATAATGTTAAATTAAATTGAATGTATGAAATATATTGAAGCTCGAATTACTCAGGGGATATCAACAAATTCTGGTTATCCTCACTGTCGGCCTTGACCTTTGCCTTTGTCTGCTTCTCCCACATTTGACTGTACATCCCATTCGCAGACAGCAGTTCGGTATGGGTACCCTTCTCAACAACGCGGCCTTGATGTAGGACAATTATCTGATCTGCCTTTGTGATCGTAGAAAGCCGATGACTATGATATAGACGATTTTAGTAATCGGTATTGGCAACAAACAGGAAAATATCATGACTTACGCAATAGTGATGCTTGTTCGGCCTTTGGCTATTTTTTCGAGAGCCCCCTGAATCTGGCGCTCTGTCTGTGAGTCCAGCGAGGCTGTAGCTTCATCAAGGAGCAATATCTGGGGAGATCTAAGGAAGGTCCTTGCAATAGTTATCTGTCAAAGTTAGCCATGCGTGGACCCTGAGTAGCTAGTTATACGAATAACTTACCCGTTGCTTCTCTCCACCAGAAAGCCGCAGTCCTCGTTCACCGACTTTCGTCTCATAGCCATCTGGGAAACTCATTATCCGGTCATGGATACTGGCCGCCCTACAGGCCTCGTATACCTGTTCCATGGTTGCTTCCGGCCGTGCGTATAACAGGTTATATAGCACGGTGTCGTTAAAGAGAATTGCATCTTGCGGCACAACTCCCAAATGGCTGCGCAGACTTGCAATAGTCATGTCACGAACGTCCATGCCGTCAACTTTGACGGATCCTCCGGCAACGTCATAGAATCGGAATAGGAGTTTGAGGATAGTAGACTTTCCACTACCGCTCTCTCCAACTATCGCGGTTGAAGTGCCAGGTTCCACGACAAAGCTAACATCTCTGAGTGCTGGACGACGCTCATCATAGGCGAAATTGATATTTTTAAATTCCACTTTGCCAGTGCAATAATTTAATGGCATAGCATTCTCTCCATCTGTAACCAGGGGCTTCTCCTTAAACTGTAATAAAGTTAGTACGGGTGTTGCGGCACGATCAAAACTGAAAAATAACTTACCAGAGCCAACATTCGCTCTGCATCAATTAGATTGTTCTGAACTTGGGTGTAAAAACTTCCAAAGAAGTTGAGAGGAGCTTGTAGCTGAGCAAGGTATGTGATCAAAGTGACAAACATTGCAACTTTCTGCATATCGGCCGATATCTGGTAGGCACAAAGCAAGCATACGATGGCGACTCCTGCTGTAAATAGCAGATTCTGGGTAGCGTTCAGCATGTTTAGAGAGAAGAACACAAAGTACTCGGCACCCTGGAAGGATTTTATCAATCCATTGAAGCGGCTGAGTTCATTGGGAACAGCTGAATTGTGATGGACGGTTTCGTAGGACATTAGAGCATCCGTCCTAGAACAAATTTGTTAGATATAAATATTCGATCAGCGTAAAGACAGAGGAATATCTTACTTTGCTGCTTCCATTTCACGTTCACGGTTAACCATCTCACGTCTTGCTCGGCCACGGTATTTTGCCATGTAGATAGTCACGAATAGATATAACCAGGTAACGGAGATGACAATCAATGCATAAAAGGCTCCAAATTCAATCAAGAAGTATAGAGCAGCAATCCATAAATCGGCAACCATGGGAAATAGTTGGAATATCAGGCCATCCAAGAATGTATTCAACGCACTTCCTTTGCTGAGTGCGCTCATGACCTCTCCGATCCGCTTGCCTAGATGGAATTCAAGGGAGAGAGAAAGGACATGTTCGAATGCTGAAGATGTGAGCCTTCTATATGTTGACTGACTGACGCTGATCCATAGAAGAGCTCTGATAGACCCGATAACACCCTGTTGGCCCTGTAGTCCTCGCAAGACAATGTAGATTGCAAGCTGTTTGTAAGGAATCGTACCGGACCCAAGGGAGCCGACAACAAGACCTAACTGGCGTGGTACTAAAATATTAACTATTCTTTGGAGTATTAAAAGGAAGAAGCAAAAGACTGCCCGCAGCTGTAGTCTTCGTGAATCTGAAGGCCTATATTTATCTGGTTTAGCATGTTGGGACACCAGTGGAGGTTGGAGGTAAAACGGGCTCTCACTGACCAGAGGAAAGGGAATAAGGTACTGAAGCCGACAACGTAGTCTAGCCATCCTCCATGCTGTGCATCACGTACTGGCTTTGCAGCAATTTCACCTAGCAAAGGGTCGGTTTCGCCAAGTTTGATGTGTGACCAGGCATACATGGGCTGGAGATAGATAGCGGCCATGGCGACGAAGAATCCCATTCTTAGCATAAGGAGACCCAGCTGGATGCTTTCCATCCCAGAATTAATGGGATCTTTTCCAAACTGGAAGCAAAACATGGCAATTTGAAGTGCCTCTGTGACTGCGGCGAGTATCCATGCATGGGCGTGGGATAGGGACGGGGAGAATGGCTCATCAGGGTCTGGGAGTAAGCCGGCCACTAGGAACATCACCACCGCGATATTCGAGGCCTAATACTGTTAGATTATCTGATATAAGTAGTGGAAAATAGTGTGAGTACCATATATTCCTTATTAATCCACCATGCTCCGGATGTGAAGCCCTTGGTGAGGAGAAGGCCAATGATGCCTATGAATAATACCTAAACCAAGTTAGTATCTCTATCCAACATATAGACTGTATGTCCCCACTGACCAGATTGACACATTGCAGCAGTTGAAGCCAGAATATGGCTGTAAATGCCGTTTTACGGTTCTTCTTGTACCATGGTGTTGCGGTGCCTTCTTCCTTCTTCTGCCAAAGGGCAATGGCAAGTCTGGAAAAGAGGTACGATAGATAGACAGAAGCCGGGTAGGCCCAGCACAAAGCCAGAGTAAGTATGGCCACTTGCATTTTCAGATATGAATGTCCTTGAAGCCTTCAGAGTAGCTTGACTTCGAAATAATGTAGAGGGGAGAGGCCGTTTTGATAGTTTCAGGGGCATGCTGTTCGGTAGCCGAGAGGCGGCCGGTGAGACACCACCTCGGCCACTGAAGAATGGATATATGATGAGAGTGTTACCAGCATGTCTGAGGCTGGAGTCAAATCATTGAGTGCAAAAAAGAAATAGAATTATCAAATAAGATGGCTGGAGCAGGACTATCGAAGCGCGGTGCTGCCAATGTCGACAAGATCATGCCGGGGATAAGTGCAGCTTTACTTGAAAGAACGAAACCCACTGCACCCCGTATCGATCTCTCCACGGCCGAGAATTGGCTACTGCGCGACGAGATTATTGAATTGACAAAGGAGGGCATACGAGACGGACTGAAGCCTCATGTACGGGTGTCTAAACTATCCAGCCGTGGTGGTCGTGGCCTTCTAACAAAGTTATATCTAGCATTTCTCGTACCCGAACGAATTTGCAGGCGACGCAGACCTTATCAAGGCTCTAGCGGGATTCTTTAATGAATACTTCCATCCTCATATCCCAGTGGAGCCTGACCATGTCGCAACTGCGCCAGGGGCAGCGACCTGTCTGAATACCTTTCTCTACAACACCTGCGAACCTGGGGAAGGAATTCTTGTTCCAGCCCCTTTTTGGAGTAAGTCTTCCTACGAGATTAGAGGGAAACAATAAGAAAAGCTCTGACCGGCTGGACAGATGGATTCGACTGGCTTTTTACTGCACGATCGTCTGCAGTACCGGTGATGGTTCACGTCGAGAAGAGTGCAGATACGCTCACATCCCAGCTTATCCCGGCCCTGGAAAAGGCGTACAGCGAATCCAAAATCCCAATTCGGGGTCTTTTGCTCACCAACCCGCATAATCCCTTCGGCCAATGTTATCCTAGGTCTGTACTTGAGGACTGCATCAGGTTCTGCCATAGCAACGGCATTCATTACATCTCGGACGAAGTCTATGCGCTCTCGTCATTTGAGAATCCTGAGATCCCAGACGCTGCGCCTTTCGTATCTGCATTGCAAATCGATGTAGCCGGGTTGGGCTGCGATCTTTCGCGAGTCCACACCTTCTGGAGCACCAGCAAGGACTTTGGCTCGAATGGATTCCGCGTGGTTAGTACTTCTTCAATTCCCCTTGCCTTGACTGTGAGAATTGGACTGACAGGCAGATAGGGGTGCAGCATAACTCAGGCGAACAAAGAGATGCACGTAGCTTTGGCGCTGGCTTCCAATACCGAGACAAGTAGCCTTGCTGCAGTCGCTTCAACAGCACTGCTCACGTCGCCGAAACTGCCAGAGCTTCTGCAGCTTAACTCCCAGCGTCTAAAGGAAGCATATACTGTCATCACAGACTTTTTCAAGAGGGCGAACATCCACTACATTCCTGTGAATTCAGCCCCTTACATATTTGCGCGGTTAGTGCCGAACGCACAATCCTGGGACGATGAACGTTCCATGATCGGTCAATTAAAGGAAGCCGGTGTTGTTGTCAGCAGTGGTAAGGCATACCACGTCAACGAGGAAGAGAAGGGTTGGTGTAGAATGACCTTTGCGCTGGAGAGATCCAAACTGGAGGAGGCTATTAAGCGCATGGAGGCTGTCCTGGGCCAACAAGAACGCAATTAGTTCGGTAGCCGGCCGGAGTGGCCTTTAAATGATATTTCTTGAAATATATAAATCAACGCCGTGATCTCCCGGTATTTTCCATTTGATTTCCTCCGTACGCCTGCAAGGAATACTATTCGGCCCATAATGGAAGCTCTTAGCAATAAAGACTTGCACCCGGCAAACGGATCAATTGTTCCACATCTTCTACTCCTAGCAGCTCAGATATTGATACTTGCCGGCCCTCGCCAGCTTCCCGGACGCCGAATAATAGCCGCAACGACAATTCTCACTCTGGCGGTGGTAGCCCAATGCAACAGATTTACCAACAACCCAGGACTTGCCAACCTCTTTGCGCTGGCCTGGCCTCACTGGCTCTCGGCCCTGGAAAAGACTGTCTTTGCATCCCCTGGGGGACCCGAAGCCGATCTATGGAGAATAGACCGCGCCGTTAGAGAAGCTGTTGCATGGCCGGCTCTCGGGTGGAGGAAGATAAAATGGGCAGTGACCATTGTGCTCAACCTCAGGGGTATCCGATGGAGCTACCAGGTCAAAAATGTGCCACCAGTGCCAGGATTGGATCGAATGAGCCGTACACGATTTCTGATATGGCGTCTCACTGAGTTCGGCTTGGTTATTTTGATGGCAGACCTGGTGTCGCAGATGGGGCTTCGTTTTTTCTTTAGTGATGCCGCCGGCGTTGTGGGAACGCTGGACTCCAAATACATCACAGTCAGCGACCATCGACTGGGATGGAGCTTTCTGAAGGCTTTGACATTTGGACTGGGACCATACTACTTTATCAATATGCAGTATCTAGTCGTCTCAATTGTGGCCGTGGCCGTGGGAATCAGTCGACCATCGGTAAGTCTCAACCTGATGTATAAGGAATAACTAATATATTAAAGCTGACAATGTATTTATTGAAACAGGACTGGCCACCGCTGTTTGGTAAACTGAAAGAAGCCACCACGGTGAGAAACTTCTGGGGTATATTTTGGCATCAAATGCTGCGCAGGGTTAGTATCCCGGTGTCCCCAGTTCATGGCTGAACTGAACAGAGTAGCTGACCAGCGAGTAGAGCCTGAGCACTATCACCGGCGCCTTTGTTGATGCTGTAGGCATACGTAGGGGCACAAATGCATCCTCCTATACGCAGCTCTGGCTGGCATTCACCATCTCGGGGGTGATGCATGCCTTGTCACAGCTCCTGATGCCTCGGCCAGCCAATATCACACCCGGCGAGATCGTTATTGGCATCTTCCTCTTTTTCCCTTGTCAAGCGGCGATGATCACGGTCGAAGACTTCGTCATCTGGCTCTGGAAGAAACATCTCGGCCTGCAGACGCCACGGTGGGCGCCAGCCTTGGGCTACATCTGGGTTGTCTGCGCTCTCTGGTTCTCGCTCCCATTTGCCGGCGACTCCATGGTCCGGCTGAAGATGGGAGAAGTGCCTCCGCTCCCCTTTACGCTGACGGCTCCTCTCGTGCGCATGATTCCAGTTCCATGATCAGTTGAATAGTTATTGATCCGACGTCAATTGTAGAAGTAGTTAGTTAGTTACGGAGTATTTATGCCTGGTAGATGATTGTTTGCCCTTTGTGATTGTTCAAATAGATAAATATTTAGGCTACATCTTTTGATGCTCGGCCTCAGCCCCTTTTTCCCGTGTTTCAGATCCTTCATCTTAGCCAGAAATCCTACAAGTAAAAAAAAAAAAAATTAATAAAAAATTAATGAAACATAATTCTTTCTTGCATTCGATGTTAATTTCTGTTAATCCTACTGCGAACTAAAATCTCGGTCTCCGGCGCCGCCATCATCTGGGCCTCAATTGCAAAATCCTCCGGCCGGTCTCCTGCAGGGCGAGGCTGTGCCCAGTCGAAATCATAGCTCATCAAGAGCTTTCCGAGGACCATCTTGACCTTGCGGATGGCGTAGAATCGCCCTGGACAGGCATGGTTGCCATAGCCAAATCTGTGAAGAGGAGCTCATTAGCTTAAAATACCTTCAGGCAGGAAAGGCTAGCAATTGCACAACTTACTGAAGGAATTTCTGGTCAATGGTGGATGCCAGCCACCGATGGCTTTCTCCTTGCTTCTGTCGATAACGGGCAAACCTGAACCCGTCGAATCGATGGGCATTTTCGTAGTTGTCCGGATCGTGGTGAACAGCTATAGCTGGGGCGATGATATTTGTGCCTCTGGGCAACGTCAGGCCGTCATGGAATCGGAACTGCTCATCCATCACTGTTCTGGCCACGGTCACTATATAGGCTATTAGCATCCGTATATCATTCACCAAATCAATAATCTACTTACATGAACCGGCGGGATGCAGCCTCATGGTTTCGCGAATGAAACTGTCCATCAGAGCCATCTGTGAGAGAGCTTTGTCGGTCCACCCGCCATGTCTGGCGATAACCGTAGCGATCTCCTGGCGGATAGGCTCGAGGTGCTCGGGGTAGGCGAGGATATTGATCAGGCACTGCGTAACTCCTACACTGGAGGCACTGCTCGCTGCGAATGTCAGGTGAAGCATATGATAGGCCTGATGCAAGGGGGCGTCGTCTCCAGGGAAAGACGGCGGCGTGTCGAGGGTCCATTGAAGAGCGTCCTGGTATTTTGAAGACGCTTCTTTATCCTGACGGCGGGCGTGAATGTGAGGAAGAAGCAGCTTTGCAGCAGCATCTCGGTCCCTGAGATGGAACCATATCGTGAGTCTGGCAACGAGCTTCCGCAGCGGTCCCAGATTAATGAAATTCCAGAAGATACCGTGCAAGAAGAGTGACCGGGAGAAACGGGTTGTGATAGAGAGATACTCTTCGTCTCGACAGAGTTCTTTTCCAACGAGAATTCGGTTCGTTGTTCGGTGGACGATGGAAGCAATGATATTAGAGACGTTGAATTTCTTCCAGTCTATATTGTCGTTAGCATTGAAGTAGGCTGTTTTAGGGACATGAAGCACTTGCCGGAGACTGCCCCTATCTCCTTTTCGATAGCAAAGTCTGCTTCTTCGGCTAAAAGTGGTGTTAATTTTGCTGTGAAGCATTAGTATATCCCCATTTAACCAAGTAATTTGGTATTCAGACGTACTGAGCTGAGGATTCAAATGTTTTACTACAACATCAATCTCCGTCGTGCTTGTGTAGAGATGGCCAACCGATGCCTCCATGTTAAGCCCCTGAACAGAACATATTTAGTCCACAGAGTTCAGGAGATTCTAGTAGACAACGAAAGACATACATCACTGAGAGCCTGGAAGAAGCTCAGGCTCTTTGGACTCGCTCGCTTGATGTCATCGAGATATTTTGACGGAAGAACCACGTATTCATGGCCAAACACCGTTGTAGCGAAGGGCTTTCCCAGCGCTTTATTAAACTACGGAGCATCGTCAGTATGAAAATATAATTAGGATATACCCGATAGACAGCAAACTAACCTGTTCATATCCTATCTTCGCATATCTAGGAAGGTCAAAGCGAGTTGATTTGTGCCAGCTGAAAAACGTCCAGAGACGCGACTTGCCCAGGCGTGTGAATCCCAGATGGGTGCTCTTACCCCTGAGCAGGACGGCAACACCTAGAAACAACCCGAACAACAGGGCCGTGGAAAGGGGATCGGACATGTGCATCTTTAGAGAAATACGGTGTAAGAGTTACAATTGACCGAATTATTTCGAGACTGAATGGCGGGTTTAATGTATTTAATATTTATCTGGAGGCTGTATTTATAACTCGGACGCCGAAGTCATACACAGTAAGAGCCGGCAATCATACCACAACTCTTAAGCCGTAGGATTTACAGGTCGCGACCAATTATCAGCATTCACCTGCATCTGGACGCCGCCAGCCGCAAAGGCACCCATTACAACGGCCTGAGTGCCGATTTTGAACTGCGAGCCTGCATCGCCGGCGACAAATACCCCTGACACCGTCGTCTCGTTGAACGGGAAGTTCGTCTTAATGTGGCCTTCAGGGGTCATCTCGACTCCCAACTGCTCTGCGAAGGGTCCACGGACTTTGGTCAGCGGTCGGTGAACGACCACGCCAACCATCTCCGAGGTGCCGTCTGTGAAGTGAATGTCTAGAGATCTCTTCTGCTGATGCTGGACCAGCTTGGAGAAACTTCGGGCTTCAGCTTGGAAACCGCAAGGCCCTAGGGCAGACTGGATCTCATCGGCGAGCTGAGTGTTCCCGTTTGTGTAGATGGTGACGTTGGTAGATAAGTTTCGGGCTTGGAAAGCAAGATGCCTGGCAGCATGTAGATTGGCGTCTCCGTCGATAGCAAAGACGCCAGCTTTTGCACATCCTCTCTCCTCGTAGCCACGGTGAACCAGGCAATGGACACTACTGCATGTCAGTGATGGTGTACTCTGTGAGAATAGAACAGGCAAACATACACTCCCTTGGTCCAGCATTCGTCAAACCCAGGGATCTCGGGAAGCAGATCTTCAACTCCCATGGCGAGAATCACCTTCTTCCCTAACCAGGCTCGCTGCTTGTCATCCCAGACACAGAATCTACCCTCATTTGGTCCTTCTGTGAGCTTAGCCACCTTCTCAAGTTTGACATCCGCAAACTCGACGGTATTGTATTTGGACTGGATGTTGAGCTTGGTCTCTTCACGGAAGCGCCTGGGATCCTGGCTGTCCCAGGTTGGGATCGTAGCCAGATGGGGGGCCTTGTCATTTCGGTGGCTGCCCTGGTCAAATACAACCGCTGTGTGTAGCGTACGGACAAGACTGAGGGCTGCAGAGAGGCCTGCCATGCCTCCGCCGATGATAAGGCAGTCGTAGAGGGGGGTATCTTGAGACGTCATGGTTGTAGTTGTGGGTGATAGTTCTGTGGTGTCTCCTTCAGCCGTCCCTACAGCATGGAGGGTGTAATATAGGCACCTGTGCCAACGGCCGGCCACCGATCGGCTTCCCAGGACTAGATGAAGCCGATGAAGAAACATACAAAAGACGAACATACTCCATAGTCCTATGGTCCATTAACCACTTCATTCATCATAATTTTGGAAATATTACAATATCAACGGATAAAAATGGCAGCCCAGTATCCAGCTCAGATGAACTTCCTTGCTCCTCGCAAGCCAGAGGATGCTCCTACATTCTACCGCTCCGCAGCCGCGGAGGGATTTGAGACCAACAACTTTCACCAAGAGCCGTATGGTGTCACTGTAACCGATGCTCGACCACAGAGAGATGAGTTCCAGCTAGACACCCATGGCTTCGCCTTTGCCGTAGACCCAGAGGGTAGCCAGCCAGAGGTGCTGGAGGCCATCCGGGCCGGGGACAAGGAGACCGTCCAGAAGCTGTATTACCCGCTGGTTGAAAAGCTGATCAAGGACCGCACCGGAGCATCGAGGGTATTCATATTTGACCACACCGTCCGACGTCGAGAGGCGTCTCTGGCAGGGAAGAATCCGAACGGCCGCGAGCAGCCCGCGGGTACAGTGAGTAACTCTCTTTGATATATCAGGCTATTATCGATCCAAGCTGACTTGGGATAGGTACATTGTGACCAGTAGGTGGATGAATAACTCTCCTTGCAGGTGGTATCAGGGTATTAATCAACTGCTCTTCTACAATAGGTCTCCTCTCGGTGCTCGTAGACGGGTCTACCAGCATCTCCCCGAGGAGGCAGACAAGCTGCTCAGGGGCCGGGCTCGAATCATCAAGTGAGTCTCACTCTAGCATCTCCATAGGAGCAAACATGGCTTATACGGGGGAATATGACAGTGTCTGGCGTCCACTGAAGGGCCCCGTACTCGACTGGCCACTCGCCGTAATGGACTGCACGACGCTGCAGAAGGCCGACATCCATCCGACGAAGCTGTATCGCGGCCGCTTCGAGCTGCGCGGCGAGACAGTCAGCATCAGCCACAACGAGGGCCAGCGGTGGTACTATCTCGACAAGCAGCAGACGGACGAGATCACCATGATCAAGATCTGGGACAGCAAGGATGTTGCTGGACACAGTGAGTTCTATCTTCCGCGTGTTGTTGCTGTCTCTGCCCTGGCTGATAATGTTGTGTTACAGTGTGCGCTCACTGCGCCTTCCAGCATCCCGAGACGCCTGAAGACGCTCCCCTGCGCGAGAGTGTCGAAGTGAGATGTCTGATATTCAGCGATGAATAGTTAGTTGGTTGTATAGTTAGCACTCCGTAGACACTGGAATAATATGAATTTCTTATAAAATTTTGATCATATTAATTGCTGTCTATTATTTCTTGCCTGGGTGTGCCTATAAACTAGAAGTCTCATCAGCCACCACCCCCTGAGCATCCTTGACCATTTAACCGAGTCGTTGGTTAAAAGACTTTGAGACCATTGTAACCGAGTGATACGGAGCAGTTATTTAAAGGAGTAGTTAAAGTTAACGTAATTCTTCTATTTTATGTTCATCGTCCTCTATTTTCTATAGCTATAGACTAAGACTGCACCATTCATGCCTTTTCATCAAATGCAATCTGGGATACAACCCCGACGGCCGTCAAGGAGCCATGGCTTATCGCCATGCCGGCGGCCTTCAGGGGCATGCCGCAGTCTCCGGTAGCAAAGCATCCAGGGGTCGTCGTCTCGTTAAAGGGAACAGTGGTCTTGAACTCGCTGCCCTGGGGAGACAGCTCGAGCTCGAGGTTATGTTCAAACCCGAGCACGGGAGTCGTCTTCATCGCATGGACGAGGAAGCCTTCGGTCTTGCTGGTCCCGTCCTGCAGCTCGACGTTGACGGGGATGCCATCGGTCTTGCGCAGATGCTTGATGGCCCGGGTGTCCAGGCTGAGCCACTCGTCCTTCTCGACGGCGGGACGGAGCTGCTCGGCGAGCTCCTCGTTGGCGTTCGTGTAGATCGTGACCGTCTTTGCCAGGTTGTGCGCCATGCGAGCAAGATGCTCAGCGGGCTTTGGGTTGGCGACTGGGCCGATGGCGAGAACACCCACAGAGTCAGCGCCGCGCTCCTCGAAGCCGTGGCAGAAGAGACAGTGGTAGCTAGACAGTCATTAGTACCGGCTTAGCCACTAATCAGCTGCAAGTTAGGCATCATCAGCTTACATCGATCGCGGCCAGCAGTCAGCGTATCCAGGGACATCGGGGATCTCGTCCTTCACGCCCGTCGCCAGCACCAGCTTGCGCCCCCTCCAGGTCTTCCCCGCGGCGTCGGTGGCTTCGAACTCGCCCGAGTCCAGCTTCCACACTTTGCGCAGCGCCACGTCCGCCAGCGTCACAGTCTCGTAGCGGCCCTCGGTGAGCTCGCGGCGGGCGGCGGCGCGGTAGTCTGCTGGCTGCTGGTGGTCCCAGGTCGAGACATTGTGCATATGCTCCGTCAGGCTGTTGCGGTAGGTCTGCGAGTCGAAGACGACGGCGGTGCGGACGGCGCGGCAGAGGCCCAGGGCGGCAGCGAGGCCTGCAGGGCCACCGCCGACGATGAGGCAGTCGAAGAGGGCGGTCATCTTTATCGCTAACTATCTAGCTGTTACACTAACCAACTGTTGTGCTGCCTGCGTGGAGTTGAGTTGGTAGGCTGTACGGAGCAGTTGGTGAGAGATGGAGATATCACAGGTTGTGGCTGCTCCGGACCCTGTCCCTTTTATGCAGCGTCCAGAGTTGATATCAAACCCGCAGCTTCATCACCGGCGGCCGAAGCATTAAAAGGAACAAAGAAAGAAAGATGGGGGAAAAGCAAATACGCATTCATCTATATACGGCCGTTGACTGTTGCTACTGCTATTACTACTGCATTGTGATGAGTGTGCAGCTATGGCTATAGGGGTTGCTCCTCCTCACATGCCATATTCCTCCATCTCCCTCGCTCCAGGCGGGCTGCGACAGCTGCTGCGACTCCCTCGCCCATGGCCAGGGCTTTGAAGAGCGTCCGCTGGCCAAGGGACGCGCAGTCGCCGCTGGCATACACCCCGTCGACGCTGGTCATGTACGGGACGCGGGCTGAGATGCGGATTGCCCCTGACTCGGTCAGCTCGAGCTGGAGCTGGCGCGCAAAGGGATCGCTGCCCCTGAGCTGTGCAGCCCGGCGGTGGTAGAGGTATGCCCGTTCACTGTTCCCGGTGTCGAGCTGGATGGTGACGCCGTGGGATGAGTCGGTGTCCGGCTGGAGCTGCTCGATATATGCGGCTTCGACGGTGATTGCGGCATCAGGGGAAACCCGGGATAGCAGCTCCTGGGCCAGCTCGCGGTCTCCATGCGTGTAGACTCGCACGGCAGAGGCAAACTGGCGGATCTGCCAGACGGTGTGGAGGGCCATGGTCAGTTCGGCCAGCTCTCCTACGGCCAGGACGGCGACGGGGACACGGCCATGTTTTCCTTCAGACGGATGCATTAATCTGTCCTCTGTCAGTATAGAACTAGTAATTGGGATAGCCAGTGAACTAGCAATTATAAGCAAAGGACGTACATGCGTTGCTGCTGCCAGCAGGTTTGATACCCAGCAATATCAGGCATCACTTCCTCTGCACCGTCAGCCAGGATAAGCAGTCGGCCGGGCCAGACAGCACCCCTGGCATCTTCTGCCTCGAATATGCCGTTTGGGAGCCGTCTCACTTGCGTTATTCTCCTTCTCTCAACTGTAACTGTGGCTGGCAGTGCTTTGCCTGTTTGTTCTCGAAAAAGGTGGACTAGCTCGCGGTTCTTCAGTAGAGCAGGCACCGAGGGATCTTTCGTCTCGCCAGCAGGACTGGGTACAGGCTCGTCACCAACAAACAGGGTCACTCGATGGTGAGCTTTGCCTAGCTCCCATGCTGCATTCGAGCCCGCAGGCCCTCCGCCGATTATCAAAACGTCTGCTGGTAACCCTGATTCATCCATGATATCCAATGTTAGAACTTTTGGTCGTTATCCTTTCCTCCTCTTGGAATATGGCCCCTTTAATCAAGTCTTTTCGGTTATATGGTCAGCTTCGGTCTCCGGTGGATTACCGAAGGGATCCAGCAGTCTCATGGACAGCGGAAAAGCCAGCCTATATTTTGACCGTCCAGATGCCACTGAGAATAGGATTTGATCACTCCATCAAACCTCAAACTTCAAACATCAACATCAAACATCTCATCTCATAACACAATAACCATGGTTGCCATCACCAATACTACATTGACGGACGTCGAACGGGCCTCCCTTGAATCTACACTGCGGACCTTGATCAGCCAGGTGGAGGCAACTCGGGATGCTCTCCTCGAAAATGGCCAAAGAGGCTTGCTTCACACTCTTCATACAGACAAGGACCTGCCGGACCCTGCCTTTGAGGCCCTCGCTGGCAAGGCCATCAACGTCCTACATGAAACCAAGCAGCTTCTCGAGCCCGGTCATCTAGTTCTTGCTGACCACTTCCTTGGTAAGAGTTTACTCTTCCATTCCTACTAGTACCCATGTTTCCTCTAGGGCTAACCCCATGGTAGGATACGTCAGCACCAAGTGCCTCTGTGCTGCCGTCGAGCTTCAACTCGTTGACATCCTCGCAAAAGCAGGAGACCAAGGCATGACCATAGCTGAGTTGGCAGATGCTAGTGAAGCAAACCCAGATAGACTGCAACAGATCATGCACGTCTTGCACAACAATCATATCTTTGAATATGACGCAGCGTCACATCGCTACCGCAACAACCGAGTATCAGCTTTGCTTCATACCACCCATTGGACACAATGGCATAACTGGGTCGACCTCTATGGAAACGAATTTTACGACATTGCTCGCGGAATCCCCCAGTCCATCCGCCGTGACGAGAAGAAATGGGGCGCTCAGATCAACTTCAACACCTCCGATGACATGTTCACTTACTTCCAGGCGCAAGGCTGGCTACCACGGCTTCATAGAACCCTCGGCGGTGGTGCAATTGCCCAAGCACCCGGCATTCTAGCTGACTACCCCTGGCATGAATTCGGTTCCCGCACCGTGCTGGATGTCGGAGGCGGCGGTGGTGGATTCCTAGTATCTCTCCTTCGTGCGTACCCAGACCTGAAGGGTGCGATCCTGGATCTTCCTCGCACCATTGAACATGCCACTACTCTCTTCCACAATCCCGAGGGTGTCTACTATGACCTGAGGGAGCGTGTTCCCCGCGAGAACCTGATTGGAGGCGATTTCCTCAAGTCAGTGCCTCCGTTTGAAGTCTACACCATGAAATGGGTTCTTCACGACTGGAAGGATCCGGATGTCATTACTATCCTAAGCCGTATCCGGGAAGCTCTTATTCCAGGCCCGGATAGCCGCTTAGTTGTTCTAGAGTCGATTCTGTCTGATGGCCAATATGGACGTCTCTCTAGATACGGCGATATCAACATGATGATGACTGCCAACGGCCAGGAACGTACCGAAGAGCAGTGGCAGGGTCTTGCAGCTGCTTCAGGATGGGAGATTTCCAAGATCTATCCCTTACGGCGCTCGTGGGTTTGTGCTATCGACCTCCGGCCAAGGGCGGACTGGAAGGCGTAATGTGCTTGACCCCGGTGGCCGAAGTGGTAGGGGGTTTCACGGGAAGTGTTGAATGGGCTGCAGTATATAGAGCAGATAAATAACCAGTGTTTGAATTCATCAGATTTTCTATTCTACTCACTCATCCAACTATTAAGATCAATCTAAATAATAACGTATTATCCTCTTCATCATGGCCGCTACCAACGGAGAAGTCGTTCTGGGTGACATGGAGTACGATGGCAGAGTTATTATCTACATCATCAAAGGTGAGTTTCCTGCCTTTCCACGCCTTTGTGCCAAAACTTATGTCCAAATCACTCTTGTAGCCGATCAAACTTCTTATATCAACTATATGAAGCCCCTGATTCTTGCTGAAGAGCTACAGTTCCCGCATGTCCTCTCCGTCATCGATACACGCGATGAATGGTTCTACAGCATTCACCCAGAGAGATACGTTCCCAGTCTCAAGGATCAAGATCCCATCACCAAGGAGAAAGTCATCGTCTTCGAAAGTACTGCCTGCCTCCAGTATTTAACTGATCGTTTTGACACCGATGGCTTCTGGACCGGTCGCACTGCTGCTGAAAAGGGGGCCATCTTATCATGGACTGCCTACCAGACTGCTGCCCTAGGGTATGTTTCCTATTATCATGGCCCTTCTTGCTTTCGTCTCTAACAACTGGAACAGTCCCACGGCCAAGTATTGGCTCTACTTCAAGAAGGGATACCCCACTAGGGCCAATCCAATTGAACTCCCCCGTACAATTGAGAAGTGAGTTTTTATTATTCTTCGAATTTTCTCCCGTTCAACAGATCACTGACCACCATATCTACAGGCTGCATGCAAATACAGTTCGACAATGGGATATCTTGGAAAAGAGATTAAAGGAGCCCGGTCAGGACTATATCGCTCTGAAGGACCGGCCAACAGTAGCGGATTTGTCCTATTTCCCCTTTGCAATGCCTTGGATGTTCAACTTCTTCGGTGTAGATGTCAAGGACTGGCCACATATTCAACGCTGGGGGGAGCGAATGCTGAGCCGGCCTGCGATTAAACGAGTCCTGGAGCGTGCTCCTACTCTGGGGCATTAGATTAGATGTAGCTAGAAGATCTTTTTCTAGACGATTTTTGAATGATAATAGTGTATGAAGATTTCATTATTCGTGGTATAGATATAGAAAATGTTTTTGAAAGTCATAACTACCTAATTCATTCTAGATAGAAACACATAGAAATATATTCTCCATAGTACCTATTCTAAGCTGACAAAATGTCGCGTTTGACACACTTAAGCTGCATGTCTGGAAGCGTGATCCAAGACTCCAGGTCTCTCTTCCACTTTCCGTCCTCCTTAGTCGATGACTCCAACCAGCCAAGTTCGTAGTTAATAGCCAAATGCGCCAAAAGGGTCCGGATAACCAGATCTGCCACATACCGACCCATACACTGCCGTGGACCAAAGCCAAAACGCCAGTACTGGTATCGCAATTCCGTAGCACGATGTTCAAGGAAACGGTCTGGCCGATATGACTTGCGATCTTCACCCCAAAATTCGTTACGGATATTCAGAGCGTAAGTGTCAACAACAATATTAGTTCCAGCGGGGATACAATATCCTCCAACCGTACGATCGGTAGGGGGAGACTGTGCAACTGTGAAGGCAGCCAGCGGCTTCAGGCGAGATGATTCAGATACACAGGCCGAGAGCAATGTCGATGATGAAGCGAGGTATGCATCACGGTTTTCAGCAGCCAGTATTTCAGATCGAAGCCGTTCCTGGATTTCTGGGTGGTTAGCCAGGAAAACGAGATTCCAAGAGATGCCACCAGTTGTCACATCCAAGTTGGCAAAGAGAGCTTCATCAATTGTCTGGTATAGCTGCTCAAGGGTAATGGAACCAGCGGCAGCAGCTTCGGTCATAGAGACAATGGGAAGACCGCGGTTGCTTTCCCTGCATGCTCGCTCATAAGCATTTTGGTTGAAGGCTCTCCAACGGCGTTTAAATTGGGCAAGTTCCCTGTTCGTGGCAGTAGGCAGGTATCGAGACCAGTTCCAGCGGACAAGTCCACCCTGGATCATCTGCTTCCATATTCTCTCGCGGATGACGCATAGTTCCTGTAGCTCGGTTCGCATAACTGTGTCACATTCCCCGTAGAATATCTCAGCCACGATCCAGAATGGAAGCATCTTCAAGTCTTGAGCTGGATGGATACGTCCATATCTCAGGTCTCCAGAGGCATTCAGGTCATCAAAGTGCTGCTGTGTATGCCGTAAAACCATGTCTACGTATGAACCAGTTTTATCATGTTGGAACGGGACCTCAGTCACAGCTCGGAGGGCTCTCCAGCGATCACGGCTGACTAGTCCAACACACTGGCCGAGAAGCTCGCTCATAAGGTAACCAGAGTTGTTGTTCTCCGCCTTGGAGTGTTTGTTAGAGTCTCTAAATACAGCTTGAAGCTGATGCGGCTGGGTGAGGACGCTGTTGAGAGTCAGTAAAACATGTGGTACACACTAGATTTAAGGGGAGTATCGAGTACATACACTTCAGACTTCATTCCGGACCAGATTCGATAGATCTCTCCATGTTCCTTTTCCCACAAATCACAGTTCTCGATCCCTTCGAGGAACTTAGCGACGTCCCCTTGCCCATTCGGCCACTGGTATGGGCAAGTAGGAAGAAGTCGTTTGCCATCTGTTGACAAGATAGGGTAGCGCCAACGAAGATATTTCTACTTAAAATATTAGTAGACTATTGAATATTCAAGCAGGTCATAAGGTACTCACATCCAAGAACACGGACAAAACTCCGCTTGCAAAATTCCGAGTCAGCGGTGATGTGGTTAGGAAGATCACGCCGGCTGCGACGGCGAGAATCGGCAAGGCAGCATCAGCAGTAATGAAACCCATCATGTTTGCAAAGTGACTTTGATCAATTGTGACTCTGCAATAAAATTAACAGCGCCTTGCTCGTAACTATAGGCAATCATGAGGAGGCCGGTTTGCATCCTCCGGAGCCCGTATTATGCATCGGTCACCGTAAGCCTGCAGCCTCTTTAGCCGGTAACACTGCAGTAGGAGAAGCGACTGATCGCATATATATCCTGTCGTGCGATAGATAATTGAGCATTTTAAGCACCAGGGCTCGGCCTAAATCTCAATAATGGACGAAAAAGTCGATATCGAGCGGATGGCTCTTCACTCAGGGCTGGTGGTTGGAGGAAGAAGCCGAAAGCGAGAGGTAACGTACGCCTCGCTTTTGGCATTTGCCCTCTTGTCAACGGCGTCTCTACTCCTACGGTCTGGAGTATTTACAAATTCGAGGAGCTGCACATCTCATCTGAGTCCCTTGGAACAGGTGTTGGTGCAAGCCCCTCTAACCGGTACAGCACCACATCTACGATGAGCTCGAAGCGTTATCTATTTTAGATTGATTAACATGGGTAGTTTAGATGGCCACAATGACTTTCCGATATGGACTCGAGCCTATTATCAGAATCATATCTACCAGTCAAACTTCACCAGCCGTGGGAATCTGTATGGCCAAGTCGACTTTCCGCGCCTGCAGCAAGGACGGCTAGGAGCGCAATTCTGGAGCACCTACGTGGAATGGTAAGGCAGCCCCCTGGAAAATAATCCTTCGCCATGAGAGCAGGGGTGAGAGAAGCTAAGATGACGCAGTCCACGAACCCCGTATACCACTGCGAACGACAGTGAAGACCTCTACCATGAGATAATCCGAGATAGCTTCCAGCAGATCGATCTAGTGCATCGCATGATCGAGCACTTCCCGGCGTCGCTGGTTCATGCATCCTCGGCGGCCGATATCCTGCGTAACTTCCGTAACTTTCCAGGAAGGATTTCCAGCCTTCTCGGGATTGAGGGATTGCATCAAATTGGAACCAGTGCCAGCGTTCTGCGCATGTATCACCGGCTTGGAGTTCGATATGCAACTCTCACACATACATGCCACAACCACTACGCTGACAGTGAAGCTCCCTCGGAGCCCCAGCACCACGGCCTCTCGTCGGCTGGAGAAGCAATCGTGGCTGAGATGAATCGTCTGGGGATGATCGTGGATATCTCGCACACAAGCTTCGCGACTCAGCGTGCCGTGCTGGCCCTCTCTCGGGCACCGGTCATGTACTCGCACTCGTCCGCCTACGGCATATGCCCGCACTCGCGTAACGTACCGGACGATATCCTTAGGACTCTTCAGAAGAACGACGGGATCATAATGATAACTTTTTACCCCGAGTTCACAAACTGCAAGAGCGTGGACAAGGCCTCGCTATCCGACGTTGCTGACCACATACAGTACGTGGGCAACCTGATCGGCTACCGCCACGTCGGTCTAGGAAGCGATTTCGATGGAATGGCTCATGGGATGCGAGGGCTGGAAGACGTCTCAAAGTACCCCGATCTTATCCAGGAACTGCTTGATCGTGGCGTCAGCGTCGAAGACCTTGTAGGAGTTATTGGTGGAAATGTTCTTCGCGTATTGGCAGCTGTTGAAGACGTAGCTCTCAACTCTAAGCATATCTTGCCCCTGGAGGATGACATTAAGCCTTTTTTCAAGTAGATTATGGAATGAAACTAAATGGCCACCCAGCCTTATAGTTAAACTGTCTCTTCCAACCATCTTGCTGTTTTGTATCTTAAAATTAAAATGCTAAGCTTAATTTCCAGTTGTTTATTTTGGGTTCAGGGGTAATTATTTAGCTAACGAGCAACAGTGTTAGGCTATGGAGATATAGCCCAGGATTAACTGAAGTGCAATACCGACTGGAAAAGAGAAACTCATAAACATTAGATTATTAAATTAGCTGATAGAGTGCTAAAAGGTCGGCTCACTGCCCCTAATAACAGACGGGAGGAGCCGGAGGATGGAAATTCGTGCACGTTTGGCTGCAGCATGCACCGGGGTTGCCCAGGTCACATTGGCCACCAGACCGCGTACACTGACATCGCCCGCCCTGGCAGGCATGGCCGCCACCACACTATAAATCAGTATTGTTAGCATGGAAAAGCAGATATGATGGGGTTGTAGGTTTGTATAGAATATATGACATACCGACTGCCCACATCCACCACAGTTATAGGGATCGGTTTGGGTATTCGTGCATGTCGTACCGCAAAGCGTTGTTCCTTGAGAACATACGCATTGCCCACCCTGGCATAATCTTGGCAAAGGACACTATGTATCAAGTGAAGTTGTTAATAAACTGGCAGCAAGCGCATTTTTAATGATGAAAGACGTACGATCACTCCACAGGCACCGCAGTTGGCGCTATCAACTTGTAGATTCTTGCATGTTCCAGCACATTGTGCTGCGCCTCCAGGACATTCGCATTTCCCGTTTTTACAGGTCTGTCCAGTTCCACACTACGCCATTAGTTAGTGGATGAATATCACCGTAACAAAAGTTTGAGCATATAGGACATACCACTACTCCACAAGCGCCACAGTTGTTATTGTCGTCTTGGAAGGTTTTGCAAGTGCCGGAGCAAAGAGTCGAGCCAGCGGGACATGTACATTGGCCGGATTGACATGTTTGCCCGGCAGCGCACTGCATAATTGATATCATTAGTTACCAGCTCACTGTAAGGATATAGGGATGTAGTGTTTAATGTCAGGCTTACCACTGTGCCGCAAGTACCACAGTTATTCACATCGGTTTGTAGGCTCTTGCAGGTTCCAGAGCAGTTCGTTGATCCCGAGGGGCATTCACATTCCCCATTAACGCATGTTTGGCCATCGCCACACTATGGTAGTTAGTAGCTGTCTACACAGTGGGTGAATAAACGATACATACTGATTTTCCACAAGCGCCACAGTTGAGATTATCGCCCTTCAGGTCCCTGCAGGTTCCGGAGCAGTCTGTTGATCCCGAGGGGCATGTACATTCACCATTAACGCATGTTTTGCCATCGCCACACTATTGTCAATCAGTAGCTGCCTACACAATGTGCAATTAAAGGATACATACTGATTTTCCACAGGTACCACAGTTAAGGTTATCGCTCTTCAGATCCTTGCAGGTTCCAGAGCAGTCTGTTAATCCCGAGGGGCATACACATTCGCCGTTAACGCATGTTTTGCCATCGCCACACTATGGTAGTTAGTAGCTGTCTACACAGTGGGTGAATAAACGATACATACTGATTTTCCACAAGCACCACAGTTAAGATTATCGCTCTTCAGATCCTTGCAGGTTCCGGAACAATCGGCTAGTCCAGTTGGGCAAACACAGCTTCCACCTTTACAGGTCTTTCCATTGGAACACTATCGAGGAAGAGTTTAGAGAAAACTGGTTGTGTATATAGGGGTAAAGAAACATACTGTGATTCCACAGCCACCACAATTCTGGTTATCAATTGGTACGCACTTCTTGCTGCACAAGAGTTGGGAAGGAGGCTGACTCGCTGCAGGACCGCAGTCATAGCAAGGTCCTTTACACTTGGCGGCAAGTGAAATGCAATCAGAGGCTGGATGGCCAAAATTGGCTACACACCACTTTACGCAGTCACTGTTCCCCTTCCCCTGGGCAGCAACAGCTGATATTCCCGTTGCTGTAGATAGAATCATGTAAGCAATTGATCAATTGATTGTGGGTAGCTCCATTGAGAATTAAGTGCGGTTGTCAGGTTCACTCACTGAGGAAGAAAAGGCTAAGCAAACGCATTTCCGCAGAATTGATAAGTGATTCTGAGTAATGAGTAGTTATGTTGGGAGGAAATTGGAACAGAGGGCTGAGTAAAACAATCAAACAGGAAAAGGAGGAGATCAGGGTATTTATCTATTTCTCAACAGCGAGACCTAGATGTTAATTCTGACCGACCTAATCCAGCCATAGCATTGGCAATTGGTCCTGCCGTTTTCGCTCTTCCTCGCTGGGACAGCAAAGATCAACCCCCTTTTCCTCCAGATACGGCTGTAGTGCTGCATTCCTCCGCATAGACATTGGCCCAAGATGCAGCATTTTCCCACGTTTCAAGCCCAGCTGAGAGGTATCAAGCTTCTCTCAACGTTATAGCTTGGGTCACAAGGGCTGGTGGCGCTTCTCCGTCAAATAATCGCTTCTTATAAGCGATGAGCTAGAAGCTTGGAGACACAGATGCATCCATGCTGTTGGGTTTTGTTACCTGCGGCCAGACCCTAAAATCGCCTCCGGGGCTCAACTAACTAATCAGCGCCGGCGCTGACGCTGTTCAGATAGCGGTGGAGCGCCCAACCCCATGCATCAGGTAAATAGCTCCTCATAAGGCGGACTCTTGACTCCAGCCATAGCCGAACTCACTTGCGCAATTATCAAGATATCAAGCGAGCTCGACTTCTTACTCGAGGGGCGTAGGCGAAAAGGCATCACGTGGTGGGTCCTTGGCGCGCGAAGGCCGAAAAGGGGGAAAACGACGACAGGCGATGAACGACACGACAACATTCTAATTAACTATCTATCAGGCTACCTAAAAATATAACAGAACACCTGCAGCAAGCTATTGCCAAGAAGACGAAGGCAAAGACTAAAGGATGAGGCAAATAAAAGAAGCATATGGCAGGCTACAAAAGAAAAGAGCTGGTCAACCTTCCCGCGCGATGGCAAAAGCCTGATGTCTAGACTCAATGCGAACCGAAGGATTGACTAGATGCTGGAGAGAGGAAGCCCAAACACGGTATCTGGCTGCAGAACCTTGACAACAGGAGCATCATGCAGGTCGGCCATTCTTTGTCGGATAACCGAATAAGGAGTGCCTTGGACTAATAGGGTGATCGCAAGCGGGATTCGTGTCTGCAACAGATATATATCGTCGGGTGAAAAGCAGTCCGTGTCATACTCCATCCGCATCACTAGCTTGTCCTCTGATACAGCGCTGAACTCGCAAAGCAGCCGGAATTTGGCTCCATCAGTGAAGGTGTAACACGTCTCGAATCCTGGTGCGTTGATTTCGAGCCCGTTAGAATGGCCCCGGCCGTGGAACGTGACGACGGTGTCGAACAGGGGATGATCTGGGGCTGACGTCCGCACCTGGAGGTGCTCCAACAGTTGGTCCCAGTGAATTGAATGGCCCACTGACTCTTGCACCGATTGCTGTACCGCTTTGAGGTATGATTCCGCCTTGTCGGTACCTTCACCATCGGTGGTAAATTTGATACGGATGGGCAGCGGCTCCAAGAAGAGTCCAACCACATCTAGCTCGTCACGCGATTTCCGGTTAATGTACGGGATACCCAAGACCATATCGGTTGAGTTCGTGGAATCAGGAGAGGCAGTAGGCCTTTGCAAAGAGAGTGCCACTGCGGCAATTGCAAGCTGCTGACCCGTAATGGACGATTGACTAATAAGGCTCTTCATTTCTTGGTACGTCGCCGAAGGCACTTCACAGAAAGCGGATTTTCCACGATACCCGCGTCTACGCCCATCGTGTCCTAGTAGATGTGATGTCGGCGGAAGTTGGCTCAGTGTTTCTGACCAGAAAGTTAGATCACAGGCACTAGGCAAACTTCCCCAGGTTGTGGTGTTCATATAAGTCATTGAGACCGGAAGCAAGGATTTCCCATGGTATCTTTCAGATATCTCCCTCAGCAAAATCTGAAGTGTCGTCAAATCGGCAACAATGTGGCTGATGGTTAAGATGAATTGAGACTTGGAAATCACAACCCTGATGGGAGCCGTCCTCGCCAATGCAAACGGCCGGTTAATCTCTATCCAGGGATTGATAGGACTGTTGACCAACCGCACTCGGGGTGGTAGTGGGCTATACTGCCGTATGGCAGTTCCTGCTGCCCGGGAGTATATATACCGTGATCGCAGAATCCGGTGGCGAGCCATCACATCATTGCAAACATCAGCTAGACGCAATCTGTCAACGAGCTTGCCATCCAGCTTAGCAATAAAATTGACATTGAAGCTGGATGTACACTCGTTCACCTGGCACTTATGCCACCATTCTAGCTCCATTGGAGAAAGTTTAGACTCCCCAAGAACCATTTCGTCTCGCCTGAGGAGCTGCGGGAGCCCGGGGCCATTTTTCTCGATAGCCTCCGCTAGATGTTCAATGCGATCGTGCTGTACTACCAGACGGAGCGGGATTTGTTGACCAAGAACCTGGCTTATGCGAATTTTGAGCTGCAATTGCAGAAGCGAGTGTCCACCTAACTCGTGAAAACTGGAGTGTGTGTTTAGTGGAACCTGCGGCTCGAGTCTGAGGACGTCACAGAACGCCTCGCCGATTAACTTCTCCAAGTACCCTCGTAATGGCCGTCCTGTGGATGCAGATTCCTGAAGGCTCATCTTTGCTAGAGATAAATAGTCTCGCTTGCCTGCCTTTGTGGTTGGAAATTCGCTTAAGGCAAAAATTTTGCGAGGCGTTGCGTATGGGGGGAGGACCTGAGCTATTCTCGCTGCAAAAGCACTCACATCAGCTGTAGCGGGGAGAATAGCAGCAACAAGGTGGTTCCCTTGCCTAGCTACAGCCACTGCTGTCACCTCAGATGAAGCACGAACCATACGGGTCTCCAAGTCGTCCAAATCAAGGCGGAATCCTCGGAGTTTGATTTGGCGGTCGTTTCTGCCTAAACAAACCACTTCACCATTGCTAGACCAGTATCCCCTATCCCCCGTTTTATACATGCGTTCTCCGATGCGGCGTATGGGGTCAGCGATGAATCGCTCTTCGGTCTCTTTAGGCATTCCAATATACTGGCGCGCAACCTGGACACCAGCAATGTATATCTCGCCGATCACGCCGGGGGGAACTAATTCCCGATGCCGATTCATTATATACAACCGTGTGGAAGGGTTCGGAGGCCCAATTGTCACCGCCTGGCTCGGATATAAGCGCTTTATGGTTGCGCCACATGTGCCCTCAGTCGGCCCATACATGTTATAAAGCGCTTTCTCCTGGGACCAGCGATCACACACAGCCTGTGGTACTGGCTCCCCTACAAGATAAACCTAAACGATCAATTTTATCAGCAAATTTTATTTCGGATATGGAGCGCTTTCGATGGTACACTTACGGAACTTAATCGGTCATAGTGTGCAGGGTTTAGGACACGCGCGATTGAAGGAGTTAAAATGGCGGAATCAACATCGTTTAAATGGGCGAAGGGATCCCCTCCACTTTGCAACACGAGGGTAGCGCCGTAGCTAAGCGCGGAGAATATCTCGTGGATACTGCCGTCAAAAGCTACCGACATTATCTGAGCAACACGGTGACCCGGCTGTGCGAATAATCGCACCTCCAAATCCCGTTGGAATGCCACAAGCCCTTCATGGCTGCACATCACCCCCTTGGGCTTTCCGGTGGAACCAGAGGTGAAGCACAGATAGGCATTAGCTTCCGGGTGAGGTAAACCGCGATGGGGTAACGGCACCTCATCCCTAGTTATCAGTTCATCGATAACAAGCAAAGAATTGCAAGCTGCTGGACAGACTCCTTTGTTGATCTCAGCAGGAACAAGGAATATATTTGCTCCAGATGCCGAGAATATGACATCTCGAGCCTCCTGTGGCAGTCCGCTATCTACTGCGCAGTAGACGCCACCTGCTTTGAGAATTCCCATCATGCCAATAATCCAGTTTGATGAGCGGTTTGCATGGGCGCAAACCACATCCCCCGGAGATAGGTAGCCTTTCAATATGGTTGCAACACGACTGGCCTGCGCGTCAAACTGCCCGTATGTCAACTCGAAGCTACCCTTTTGAAGGGCAATTGCGTCAGTGTCCTTGGAAGCTACTGATTCGAACAACGTTACTAGGTCATCATGGACCGCCATCGTGGTTGTGAGAGTGGAGTGGCAGTTTCCGAAGTTCATCAGTGTCTCAAGGTCAGCACATCCGAGAAGTCCTTGCAAACACTCCTTCAGAGACCGATGTGGTCTTAGAAGGAGCTGCAGCGCACGCTGATAGTGCCGTCCAATACCCCCTATATCATTCCGATTGTATTTTGAAGTGTGATAAACGAATCGTGCCCCTCCATTTGGCTGAACATTGATACTAAGTGGTACGTCTGTCGTCTGACGTGTGTATGGGGCTTCTATCGGCAGTATCCCCCCGGGGCATTCTGGCTCTGGCACTTGTAAAGCCATGGCAGTTGCGAAGTTTCTAGTATATCCATTGTCAGGTGTGGTCCATTGGTACTCGGCCAGCTCCATGATGTGAGTAAAGACAGTCCTTAGGAACTCTTCAACCGATAAATCTCGATCAACGTTGACACATAGTGGTAATGTGTTGACTAGAGGCCCTATCACTTCGTCAACCCCTTCTAACGGAAGGTTTCGTCCCGCTAGTACTGCTCCAAAAACGATGCTGTCCGAGTCAGCATAACAACTGAGGACAATTGCCCATGCTGCATAATAGAAGGCAGCCGGCGTGATACCCAACTGCCTAACAAGTCCTTGTAATTGTACTTCCTGGACATTACTTGTGACATGGATTTCTTCGCTTTCTGTGATAGAACAGGGAGAAACACCTCCATTGCCTGCAGGTGCCGGAAGTAGCAGGTCTCCTTGTGACTGTTCGAGCCGAGGAGCTTGCCGCTTCCAATATGCATCTCCTTCCTCCTTGTGTTGTTGGCGCCATAATCCAATTTGTCTATCAACCTGCTTGAATGATGGCCCCGGTTTAGGGTGGCTAGATAAGCCTGCAACAACGCGACGGACTTTGCAGAATAAAAGCATTGCTGAGTAGCCATCGATGAGTGCATGGTGAACTGCCCAAATTATCGTGCTGCGGCTGGATGATGGGTTTTTTCCTGGAAAATGAACCACTTTGAATGAAGATGAGAGCGACGAGGGAAGTCCCACGGTTTGCAAATGCCTCTGATACTCCGATTCGGAATCGACAGTGACCTCTGTCCAGATAAACTGGCCCTGACCCAAGACACTTGGCTCGCCATCCAATACTGACATCCGGAAAATCGGCTCTGCTTCTATCACAGACTTCCATGCTTCCTTCATTTTTGGGATCACGGTTGCAAGGAAGGTTTCGTAATGATAAATGATATTGGTGCCAGGGTTCTTGAGTGATCCGTGAAGGAGGGAGGCTTGCATTTCACTGAGACCTTCTGTGGCATGTTCATCGAGGGCTGTATCTGGGGTTGTCAAGGCAGTGTTGATAATTCCCACTTTTTCCTCCTCCACTAACATATTTGCTCCAGGCACTGGGGTTGTAGCTCGTGGGGAGGGCTGGCTTGAGGGTAGGGACGCTGGTGAATCATCTTCGCTATCGTCGGAGAAGCACGGCGTGCTCACTTGATGGTAGTCGGATTTAGAATCCATTCTAAGGAATAAGTCGTTCAAATTATTGCACGAAAGAACCTGGGCCACGGATAACGATACCCCATACTTCCTGCAACGTGATACCAGTTCAACAGCATTAAGAGAATTGCCTCCATTCTTAATAAATCCAGAACCAAGGTCAAGTTCTTCAGCGTCAACCTCCAGGACCGCTGCCAACTGCCGCAACAGCAATTGCGGGAACAAGCTCATGATGCTTAACGATAGTTCTTGAGTTTTGACTGCCCGCCAACGATGGTATCATTCGTCTGTCATATATATGCAAAATTTTCCTGGCCATTTACTGAATGCTGTACTCTGATTCCGCAGGGTGATCTGGAGAAATCACTCGGTAGCCGATGTTCACCCGGCTCACACACCGGCCCCGTTAATGAGTAACTCAGGAAGGAATCCCGACAAAGAACCTACACTCCTACTAACTTATATACTAATGATTTCTATGTGGACGCTCCATTGCTTCCGTTACACATCAACCTGCAACTTGAAATTGTTTCGCACAGCAGCAAGGCCTTCTTTGTTACTGTCAATGGGAATATGCGGTTTCCCCCTTGTAAGCAGCCATAACCACCACATTTCGTATCTATGGCGGCCAAGGATATCACTTGGCTGAACCCTACGGGTTACTTTCAATTAAAGAAAGCCCTTACTATAGTCTAACAGATTATGACACAAACTCTCGAGTGCTTGCCTGGCTTAAGATAATACCACGTGGGCTTTTAGGAGATAACCAGTTTTCCAGGACGGGTTCCGTATAAATGTCGTTGTCTTCCTACTCAGCCTTCTCTAGCTGAACTCGGGACGCTTTCTATACTGAGCTAATCTTCGGTCACCGTGACCATGCAGAATTCGCTATTACTTTCTAGTCTAGTAGCGGGAATTTGCGAGTAAGAATTGACCGAAAAAGAGGAAAGCAATTTAGAGCTATTTGCAAATTTTGCATCCTTGCATGATTCGCAAGTATCATTTCATATGTTAGGCAGCATACATACATCACTCTCGGATCTAGACAAAAATATGGAAGCCCTCTATCTAAATTAAACTTTCTCTGTCACAAGTCTAGAATCCTGAGCAGAATTTCCGTCGCTGTCACCCTCTGCATCTGATGGGCTCACTCCTAGTTTGGCTGCTTCCGTTGCCGTGAAGGTTCCAAAGATATCGGCTTTATCGATTTCTCCAATCCCAGGCGGCGGAAATACCCAATTAATGACCGTGTGGGCTGCTATTGATGATAAAAGCCCATAGGGGAAGCCGAGTGCATACAAGCGATCAACTCCGATAGGCATCAATATAGTAGGATCTATGCTATGTATGAATCCCGGGAGCAGTGGAACCCATCCTACCAACCAAGGTATTATGCTCCGCCAGTTAACACCGGAGGTATAGTAGTATATCCCGTCTGGCCTGGAGTGATAAAGATCAGAGAGTTTGAGGCGTCGCTGCCGTACAATCCAGTAATCACTGATATGGATTCCACAAAGGGGGGCCATAAATATTGAGAACGAGGAAATGACGCTGACAAACGTTTTTGCGGAAGCGAGCAGCTCCCAGGGACAGAGCGCCATCCCAAGAATAAGTCCAACATAACATCCACGCCGGATGTTAATATATTTTGGCAGGAGTCCGGAGAGATCCATCCCGACCGAATACCCTAAGTTATGATGTCAGAAAGCTTCAGATAAATGATTGGAACTATATTTACCATTATCAACAACAGTCAAGGCTAATTGTGAGCTAACCAGTCCCAGGCCAGCGAAAAAGGCTGCTGCTCGTGACGTTGAGCTATAATCTCTCTGCAGCCACATTGCCAGGATCGTGGGAGGATTCCACAGAGGCTCGCCGTATATCTTCTGGGTCGCAGATGAGGTGAGACATCCGAAGAGTGGCATTACGGATCCAATTATGATGAATGTAAACCATTGGCCGAATACCTGATCGCTAGGCTTTCGCGCAAACCGGGAGAAATCCATTTGGCTAGCTATATACAAGTCAGCTTATTGTATGCCCAAATCCTGGAGGTAAAGCCTATGGATTCCACCTACTCAGTGCAATGGAAACCGTCCCTACCACTGTCGTGGTCCCCTGTAAGATGCCAAACCCTAGGGCAGAGCTACCTTGAAGGTTTGAAGATTGGTGAATCAAGTCTCCAGCCCCCTTGGCGTAAGATAGAGACCATATCATGATTCCCAGCAGCGAAGCGAAAGATATAACATTCATGCCAATCATTAGCTTTTCGCTCCTTTCGGGTCGACGATACAGCATTGGAATTGATATAATGTTAAACAAGGCCCACCCGATTATTTGTTGCGTGGTTACATGGGCGGATTCCGGGAGTGTGTTTCGCATGTTGTTGAAGGAAGGAAATATGGCCGCCAGAATGGCAGACACACAAAGGCCCCCGGTGTACGACTGAAAAGCAAAGCCAACGATTGTGAGTCCAATACGTATCACTGTCGGGATGATGGCGCCCTAGTTATTCAGACTGCAGGTTAGGCCAATGCATCGATTCCAACCGCAAACGTCATCGTACTTACAAAAATACCCCAGATGACCCTCGAGTAGACAGGGAATCCAATGTGCCATTCTGCTCCGATATACCCTATCATCACAGCGACAATTGCTGCAATGATTCTCCCCAAGATCACCGCTATCATGGTCTGCCATACTGAAAGTGAAGATGCAACAAGAGCGGCGCCGAGCTGCCAGTTAGTGAGACTGAGCTGCCAGACCGACCACCACCCAACAAAGGTCAAGGTCGACCAAGTGCGACGGGATGGTGGCAGTGGACGAATGTCGTCATTTATCCAGACAGAGACAGCTTTGTCGGTCTGAGATGAAAGTGTCACTGCATGATGGAGGCTGCGCAACATGCCGCCTGGGGATGTCGCTTTCATGGTGCTAAGGATCGACACAAAATAAGTGTACTTGCGACCTCGAAAAACAGAGTGCCCGTTGTACCAAAACTCGAAAATAGACACTCTCGTACAAAAGAAAAAGGAAAGGGACCTGGATCTATAAACGAAGGAAGAGATAAACGTGGCGAGGCTCAAGTGTGAGGCTGTTATTCCGTTGCTTCTTCGGTGGCCGAAGGCGCTGGCCGGCGACTCGACAGCAACCAAAACCAAACGCAGGTCGATAAATACTAATACTGCAGGCGGGTCAAATGCCACGTTAACTAGTGATCCAAGAAGTTCTGTTTACACTATTGACGCTTCTAGATACTGTGTGGAACATTCGCTGCTCACAATGACAAAGCGCATCCGTCTAGGAATCGTTGGCCTGTCGGCAGATCCAAGCCACTGTACCAATTTCATCCACAAGCTGCCTCTAACAACGACCGCACTAAGCAACAACTATGAGATCGTTGCCTTGTCAATGTCCTCGCCAGAGAAAGCTGTGGCAGCCGCCGCCGCCCATGGCCTGCCGGAAGAGAAGGGCTACCACAAGGTTGACGACCTGGCCAGAGATCCCGATGTTGATTTGGTCGTCGTCTCGGTGAAGGTCCCTCGTCGCGCAGAGCTGGCAATGGCTGCTATCAATGCGGGAAAAGATGTCTACGTCGAGTGGCCGTTTGCATCCAATTTGATGGAAGCAGAAGCTCTAGCCAACCGAGCTCGCGAGCAGCAGATCAAGAGTATGGTTGGTCTACAAACAAGGCTTGCTCCTCAGGTTCTGAAGGTGCGTTCCACGGCTCTATTACTTATACTATCGTATCGGATAACTCATTCTAACGCCGAATTTCACTTTAGATGAAAGAAATTATTCAAACAGAGGCCTTGGGGCGGATCTTGGCTACCAATCTGGTTGTGACTGACGACCTTTTCCTGAAATTTCACGCCGACAAGAGGCATTCTCATGATAAAATAAATGGTAATTATCCTATTTCAACGACCGGGATACTGGTACAGGATAAAACAATGCAAAGGCTAAATATCATTCTCAGGTGCAAACATTGTGACTATTGCTGGTGGCCATCTTATCGACACCATGGCATTCCTCCTCGGCGAGTTTACGACTTTGCATGCCCAAACGAGTATGCAATTCCCGAAGCCAGTTCTCAAGGACGCCCAAGGGAACCCAAAGACTGGCCAATTCAATGATGCTCCTGATACATTCACCCTCCATGGCGAAATGGGTGATCAAAATATTCCAACATCGATTTGCATGTACTCACATCCACCAACTACGCCAAACTTATTTCAGTGGATTGTAACCGGAGAGAAAGGATCTTTAAAGATGGAAGGCCCAAGTTTGATGATCCATGCTATTCCTCCACGCTTGTTTCAAACCGATTCCAAGGAGGGAGTTACTTGTTGGCAGGAGATCACTCTGGAAAGCACTACATCCCAGGGAGCAGAGTACCAGGCGTGGCTGGATAATGACAAGTCCCAAATAGTAACTCTGGACGATGCAGTGATACGGTACCGCATGATTGATGCCATATTTAGGAGTTCTGAGACTGGAAAGCCCACTTCATATAAGTGTAACTAAGTTAATATTAGACGGTAGATATGTATATGGCGGAGAACATTTGTAAATACACTAATCACTCTTGTTCTATGTCCGTGCCGGTAGCCCTCTAACCATAGGTTCAGTGCTTCAGCCTATGCTTCGGGAGCTTTGGCTCTATTTCGTCTAGTAATAGTAAGTTCACTAAATAATTCGAATAAGCAAAGGAAATTCTGGTAATATTTATTTCTTAGAATAGGAACAAGATAATTCTAAACGCTAGAACATCACACGGCAGGAGCATCATCTTCCACCGATGGCCTCAGGTCAATAGCCGATGGCCAGGCGCCCGGCAAAGGAGTAATGCTTGCAACCTCCCAGCCAGATGAAGTAGCTAATCTTCTCCAGTCACTTTCGGTACGTTCTTGGCCATGCTCAGCTGTTACCATCACGTTGATGTCTCCTATTCGGGACATTCGGCTGCATCTGCCATCCGCAAGCACTGATTCCAGCACTACCAGCCGGCTTGTCGGTCCCTTGATAATGCTTTTACGAACGTTCTCCAGAATCTTCCGGGCCTGTTCATCATTCCAGTCATGCAAACACCAGCGCATAACGTACGCTTCGGCGGGTACCACTTCAGTTAAAAAGTCACCTGCAATGATATTTTTGGGAGATATGCGAGAGCCAACGTCTGCATACTTTCCGGATGGTGAGTGGAATGCCTCCTGGAGAAAAGGTAATACCCTAGGGGTATCAAAGACACCTCCGTGGATATTTGGAAATGCCCGGAGTAGCGCGGCTATAAGGGAACCGTCACCTCCACCGAGATCGATTAGGGTAGCCCCCGATAACTCGCCCCATGGATAAGCGGAGACCATTCCGGGAGTCTGCGCCATGGCTGTCGCTCCCATGCACTCCCGGAGGCGAACCATAGTCCCATTACCCTCGAGAAAACTGAACATGCTTTCATCCGTATTATAGTGAACCTGTGCAGGAGAGCCTGTTCCGTATCAGCACAATTAGCATCACTGGTAATTATTCTGGGTGTAATAAGTAGTTTGTTACTCACGGGTAGCCCCTTTTTCCAGCGCCTGGGGAAGCCCCTGTGCCATTTCGTAGAACTCGCGACCACAAACGCTAGCCCAGCGGTGCCATTGTGTCCAATGTGATTGTTGCAACATTTCCGACGCCTCATTATTCCGCACAGAGTCGGTCGCCGGATCATAGTCAAAAATACCGTTGTTGTATAGGAGACGGAGTATCTGACGAAGCCGGTCCGGCCGAGCCTGGCTAGAAGTAGCCAGTTGTTCCAATGTCAGGGGCCCATCAGCGAGGTGATCGGGAATTCGCAGCTTTACAGCTGCAGCCAGGCATTGAGTGTTTTGGTACGCTAGTCATCCATTTAGTTCTAGGAAATCTCTCGTTCGAAAGGGGGTGGTTCTTCGGCTTACCGAACAAATGGTCAGCGAGAGCTAAATGGGCTGGCTCAAGGGTCTGAATGACTTTGTTTGCCAGGTCAATAATATTGTTTGCTATCGTAGTCAAACCCGTATCGCATCCTTGATCAACTTTCCGAAGTGAGGCGAGGACTGCAGCGTTGTTTGGCTGGTTGGATTGCTCAACCACTGCACGTAGGGCTGCCTCGAGCGACGTCAGCGACTCAAGCATCATGAAATATAACCCAAACAAGCGCAATTTTCTGCTTTGGATAGTATGTCGCGGTTGAGAAGCATTATGGGTACAAGCGTGCGGAGGCACTTTAACTTGAGTAGTCTCCGGAGCCGTTGCCGGCTACCGTCAGGCGAGCCCGGTCGCCGAGAGACGTGGTATATCCAACTTGCCCCAGTTCGTAGAATGCGCCAACATATTATTACATGTTTGCATGCCTAGTTTCATAGAATAATATCTGAAGAGTATTGAGTATCACACTTTGTTCTAGAGCGATGGATAATTCTTACGGCGAGAGAGAGCCATTGCTCTCCCAAGCCGAGTCCGACTTCCGCTCGCATGTTCCAAATCCCGAGGAAGATGATATCCAAAATGATTATGCCGTGTCCTATCGAGTTCTTCCAATATCTTTATTTGCGTCCTTGGGGATGGCTGCCACGATAGCCACAACTATATATGCGTATGCAAACCTGTTGTGCGCTGATCCGACAGCCTGCAAAGATGGCGAGCAAAGCGCTTATGCGGCAGTTGTGGCAATCGCCAATGGAATCGCGCACACAGTAGCAATCCTGATTCTAGGTCCATTGGAACATCTAGTGAAGACTCAGCTGAAAGCAGGTCTGGCTGTATGGATCGTATGTCGAGCTGCGAGTGTATTATGTTTGGTTATAGGCGGTTATTCTCCCCAGGCCCACAATGTCAAAGATATACAATAAAGTGCACAAGGATTGACGCTGACAGACTCAATGATATAGTGGCACTCCGAAGCGTCCCAATCGCTGTCTCAGGCCGGCTCTTCGAGGGCATCGCATCAGATAATCTCCTCCATTTCAATCTCAACACAATATACGTGTCCACTGCTTCACCATCAGCACCAAAAACTTCTCGCCTTATTGCGGCATCATTAGCCTTATACATGATAGGAACGGCTGTAGGACCTATGGCTGTTACCGTCTTTCAAAATTATACGGCTAGCTTCACTGCGGCACTAGCGATATTCGCTTTGGCAATGATATACCTGATGGCGTTCGTACCGAAGCCCGCAAAAAGGGACTTGGCTTCTGAGATGGACAATTCGGAGCCTGTTGAGGAGAGGGTATCAAATAAGTTAAGGTTGATGGTTCTGCTGTCACCATTGCAGCCATTCTATGATAAACCGGTGGCCATTCCATATGGCCTATCCCTGCTCTTATACACGGCTGTTCAGGGCCATCTTTTCCCTGTGATCATGGTTTTCGCTTCTATCCGCTTTCATTTTGCCAGCTCAGAGAATGGTCTCTTGGTTTCGATTGCGGCAGCTTGCGCTGCACTCCAAATATTGGTGAAGGTATACGTCGCCCCAGCAATTGCGAGGCTGCTAGGACGTGGGTCGGCCACCGCAAGCAGCAATGCCAACCGAAACACAGTTGTAGCAGCTGTTTGCATTCAAATGGCAGCCTTGATAGCTATGACCCGAGTGATGAGCGCTGTTCAGCTGTATCTAGCGGTTGCAGTGTCGGCAGCCGGGCTCGCCGTGCCGGCGTTTTTCAAGAGCCACTTTGTCTCTTTCATGCCGGATGCCTCCCAGGCCATCTCGGCTCTAACATTCATGGAAAGCGTCGGAGGATTAGCCTCTCCTTTTTTCCTAGGTTCATGGCAGGCTGTTTTTCCCGGTCAGTCAGTGTTTTTCTTTGCAGTTGGCCTTTTGGTGGTCTGTTTGTGTCTGTTCCTGGCAGCCGAATTTCTCTTGCACTCTAAGAATCGTAGCTGGTTGCACAACAGGAAAACATCGAACCGCTCGACCTTGTGTTAGTCTATAGTTCGCTTAGCCCTCTGATAGGTCCATGTCTGTGTATTCAATTGTCATCTTATTAAATTAATTAGAGAGGTTTTATTTGTTTGCTTTAGTTCATTTTCGAGGCAACACCGGTACTGCTCTCTAGATAAAAGTTTCACAGGATTGAACCAAGAGATAATCAGCTATTCTTGCTGTCTTTTCGAGTAATTTTCGTTAGTTATGGTCATAAATGGATTGTTCGTCGAAAAGGCTCGAATATGAACAATGCTTGTGAAGCTGCCCTCAAAGATAACAATGCCGAGATGTCTGTGTTTGACCGTGTTTATAATAAACCAGTCTATATTAGTTTATTATTGATCTCGATTAAATAAAACAATCGAATAAGCCGAGTACTTTGCGAACTCCTCAGAAAATATGGAAAACATCTCGAATGTTGCGCTGGAGTACCGTACCCTTTCAGCGACTGATAAGTAAGTGGCTCGGGGCTCAGCATGCAGGAGTTCCTGTATCAAGCCCACTTAGTTAACCAGCGGCTAGTCAACGACGTGCAGCTGGTCAGAGCCACCCAGGGAGCATTCTCTCGCGAGAAGAGCCCCCTGTACATGCTTGCATATCCCGCAAACTTTGGCGTTGGACCGTATATGCAAGTCCCCCCTCACCAGCCAATACATAGAGTACCGGGAGCTTTGTAACTCTGCATGTAGAGAGAATATAGCCCAGCCGGAAGTTTGACAAACCCCCTTGCCTGGTCCAATACTTCCACAGCATGCATTACTACTCAGCTCCGAGCCCTGTTTCCTGCATAGCAGCAACAGGACGACCTCCAAGAGCAACTACTCTGCACTCCTGCTCCTTCGTGTGTAGCCCACAGCTGATTGGCATCAACGCGCAATATGACGTAGTAGGTAGCTCAACACCGTAGGTCGCGATCATTGCGAGTGTTGCCTTCGAGACGGGAAGTCGGTTACCCCGAGCTACCTCTGTCGTCCGCCAGGTCAATATGCGATTCTGCGTATCTCGAGGTACTTCGCGGTGGATCCGGATCTTCACCGTCGAAAATCTCTGACTTTCGAGACATGGGAAGGCAACATGGATTGATTTCCAGCGGGCCAAACAGAGCAGCAGCTCCAGCCACGTCGTTTGCTTCCTCGCCTCAGGGGTTCGCCGGCCCCGAAGTAAGCATGTATAAGTATAAACGGCTCACAGGGTCTCGTTGTTTAATTATATAGAGCAGTAGATAAGTAGCAGACAAGTTGAAAACCAGCCGAGTGGCCAGCCGGAGGAGACGGAAAGGCCACCCTTGCCCTCTTCTTGGAGTAGGCGGAAGAATCGAAACCCACTGCTCTCTCGACCCTCCAGCATCCAGCATCGCCGGCAGCTTGACTGTGGTTGTTGTTATTGCAAGTAAGTGTCAAGCCGGCCATTTTTTTTCGCCGTCACTTGGCCAAGCTCGGCAATTTGTGTAAGTCGCTAAGTTAAACTAGCCAAAACTCCAGGCCGTCCTTTGTCTCCCCGTCATCTCCAACACCAACCTCGACTCTTCGACTTCGACTTCTGCGTCTTCTACTTCATCTTGACGGTAACCGACCTGCGATCTCTTTGTGGCCAGGAACAAGCCCGAGTAGCGACTCACCGCCTCGTTGCCTGCGATCAGCCTAGGTTTCTTAGCCGGCCTGTACGAACTAACTAGTCAAACTAGGTCCTTGTCCGTGTCTGTTCCACGGAGTTGTCGACTCGCCTGCGCCATATAGTCATCGTTCCTCCTGGGATCAACAGACACCAGGAAGACGCAAACCTCGTCAGAGCGAGTGCAGACGGTAAGTTCTCCCCTGCTGTGTGGTCAGGTTGTGCTGGTTGGGGCCGACTGGGGTTTCTGACATGTCTGCGGGATGGCCGGGGTTGGCTGCAAAAGGGGCCCTTGGCTGACGATTTTGATAGCTCGACAGCGACCACTTCTTTTCAACCTGAGGAAGCCCTGGAAACGGCCGTCGACCTTGGACGAGCAGTGCATTCGGACGAATCGGTATCGTACTACCTGGTGTATACCTTTGGGACACAGCTGTCTCTTCAAGAAACACGCACCCGCCATCCCCAAAGTTACTATACGTATCAACTATACCCGCCAGTACCCATCTCAACCTCTCATCATGGCTTCAATTTCTCCCCGAGTCCGTTTGCGCGGATTTGCTGCTTAATTTCCGGCTGCCCCTGTTCGATACATCATACCCTGAACGCTCTTCTTCGTCAGTTTATCAGCAGACTTCCCTATTTTTGTACAGTCCATCGCCTTGACCACCTCGAAGCGTCTACGTTTGAATCGTTTTGGAGGAGACTATTGTTTTGAAAATCCCAACGAGCAGAGGAATAATCAGGATTCATATCTCTACCAGGAACAGAAAAATTGCCGAGGAATAGCCGGAGCAGTCCAGGCCTACAGGATGAAATTCGGCCGCAATCTACCCAGGAACATGGTTCCGGAATGGAGCTCCTCCTATATCAAATACAAAGCATTGAAGAAGCTGATAAAGTCAGCTGTCCAAGCTAAAAAGACAGGAAATGACCCCGATTTAGCTGGTAAGATTATTCCGACTGTGCCTCCCGAGGTTATACTAATATAGCCCCCAGGCTTCTTCTACAGCCTTGATCGAAATCTCGAGGATGTGGATAGTTTCTACAATAAGAAGTTCTCGGACTGCTCTCGCCGTTTGAAGCTTCTTGAAGACAGATTCGGCCTCTCAGTGGCCTCGCCGTCCCATCTAGATTCCGAAGACACCGAGGATCTGTTGGCAGCTCTATTAGAGCTCCGTGGCCAGCTACGTAAGTTACAGTGGTACGGGGAGGTTAACCGCCGAGGGTTCATCAAGATTACCAAGAAACTGGATAAGAAGCTTCCTGGCGCCAATGCACAGACAAGATACCTTTCAACCAAAGTTAACCCAGCCTCGTTCGCGACAAACTCTCGCCTATTGACTTCCGTGAATTCCATCAATGAGTGGCTGTCTATCCTGGGCCATGAGAAGGTCATGGATGATAATAGCTCTACCCATTCCGCTCTTTCGTTGAAGAAACCTTCTTCCGGGGTAATTCTTAATCTTCCTACCACCCTCCTGCTGTCTGTGGATGATGCCCTTAGGCAAGATGATGCCAATACTCTTCTAGACCTACTTCCAACCCTCAAGACTGCTGCTGATGGACTTGGAGAGACAGTATTCACCAAAGTTTTGATGTCCTTACAGCAACGTTCAATCTTCTACCGTTCAAAGGACTGCCTTGCCACACTCTTACAACGAGTCACCTCCCTTGAGGAAGAAGATGACATTAACAAAAGAAACTGTATCCATCGTCTGGTCATCTCGATTGGCCGGTCACAATCAACGGTTGACCCTGAATCTTCGGCCACCATGGTGTTGAACTTCCCTACGGAAACATCAAATTACATTACACCAGCAACGACCCCAACACTAAAGCCCCAGAGGCCAGTTGTAATGGAATCAGACCACCCAAATCAGATTGGGCGTGAAAGCCCTGTCGTGATATTTCTACAGTATCTTCTCGACAATCTACTCCCTCACCAACGCCCGGCACTTCTCGCAAGAGATATATCGGGGAAGACGCCCTTGCATTTCGCCGCGCAGTACGGATTTAAAGCTGTCTGCGACGTGATAATCGAGCGCCTTCAGGACTGGGATATGTTTGATGTATCGGAGGGTATTGATGGGCCTCTTTGGCAAGATGAGGACGGCATGGCGCCTCTCCACTTAAGTGTAGTTGGTGGCCACCCGCTAACTACCAAGACGCTTCTGGATTCCGAGAACTGGAAGGGCAGTAACCAGGATATGACAGCAATTCGGAAAAATATTCTAAAATCCAGCGCTGTACTTGCGCTTGCTACAAAAGCCAACTTTGTTGATATCGTCCATCTTTTGGTCGAGGCAGGTGTGAACATCAACTATCAGGACGAACAAGGCGAGACAGCCCTTCATGCCGCCGCTAGATTTGGCCATGATCAGTGTGCGGCCGCGCTCCTCGAAGGATCGGGTGAACAAAAGGCCAACATTGAACTAGCTGAGAATACCTACTCTTGGACTCCCTTGTTCATCGCCTCTGTGGATGGACATATAAACGTCGTCAAACTGCTAATTGAAGCAGGGGCAAACCTAGAGGCTACCGATTCCTCTGGCTGGACTGCAAAGGAACACGCAACACTTAGAGGTCACATCGATATCGCCCGCCTTTTGGATGAAGCCACGGCTTCTTCGGATTGTGGCGTTGAGTCAGATGTCGCATCGCAGTCTACAATATCTTCATCTCCCCCGACTCAGTCTTCGTTGAATGATCGGAACTCGAAAGACCGCGCACCTGATGCGGTAAAATCCTTTGGCCATCGCTATTTGACAGACGAGAGCATGATTCTCGTAAGCCTTGGAACAATGGATATGAGAAAAACGGCGGATCCCGTCAGTCTTGACCGGATTCCTATGGCAGAAGCCCATCTAACACAGCTTGATACCGCTCTTTCCATTGTTGTCTCTGCGAGCGGCGCCCATGGTGAACCACAGATAATTGATCTGCCAGTCCAAGATAACATCTCAACGGAGCCTATAGTTTTCCATACTGCAGACTCCAGCAAGACAAAAATTGTCTTTGACTTAGTACCTACATATGCAGGCTCCAAAGATCAAGTTTTCGGTCGTGGTGTAGCCCTGCTGTCTAGCTTTAAGCCCACCGTTGGATCAAGCCGATCCAATCTACAAGGAGATTTCGTGGTTCCAATCATAGCCGCGAAGACCCTCGAGATTATCGGCTCGGTGACCTTCAACTTCCTTGTTATTACGCCTTTCACCCATCCTAAAATGTCGGTTACGGAAGATCAAACATACTGGAAGAGCGTTACATCACCCATGGTTATTGGCCATCGAGGTAAATACCTATGTCTATCGCGAGAATTGGTTTATGCATGCCTAACTCGGATTATTTTAGGGCTTGGAAAGAATATTGCTGGGCGCCATTCTCTACAACTAGGAGAAAATACTGTCCAGGTTTGTAACAATATCCTTATAATGTCTGATTTTTCTAACGGCCGTCCCAGTCATTTATCGCGGCTGCGAACTTGGGCGCTTCATATGTTGAGGTGAGTATATCAGACTCTGTCCTAAATGTGGTTGATGATACCATTCACTAAACAACTCGTCTTGTATATAGTTCGGTACGCAAATTTCCCAATCTTCCCTTTATTAGGTTATTGCTAACTTGTATCGAAATGAAGACGTGCAATTGACCAAGGATCATGTTCCGGTTATTTATCATGACTTCCTTGTCAGTGAAACAGGCATAGATGCGCCGGTTCATACTCTTACGTTGGAACAAGTATTTCACCCGTTGGCCGGGCTGCTTCATATACAGACGCTGACCTAAATTATTAGTTTCTTCACATCAGTGATGGCCGAAAGCCGGCTGGAAAGCAAACTTCCAACCACAGTGGAACACCAAATTCAGACGATGGATTTCCACGGCTGTTGCACACACGACCGCGGTCCATGTCTGTTGGAGAAGAACTAGACGTTCCAAATCTCAGTGAAAGGATGAAGCATACCAGAGACTTCAAAAAGAAGGGTTTTAAAGGAAACTCACGCGGCGATCACATACAAGCTCCTTTTGCAACTCTCGAGGGGCTCTTCAAGGAGCTACCAAAATCTGCAGGATTCAACATGGAATTAAGTGAGTTCGTTCTTTTTAAAGCACACACAGTGAACCCCAGTACTAATCTATCTATCAGAATACCCCATGCTTCACGAAAGTGAAGAAGAAGAAATGGACACATACGCCGTGGAACTAAACTCGTTCGTTGACAATGTGCTTCGGATAGTCTATGACCACGGTGAAGGAAGGAACATGATATTCTCGTCTTTCAATCCAGACATCTGTCTGCTCCTTTCTTTCAAACAGCCTTCCATTCCTGTCTTGTTTCTCACTGATTCCGGAGTGAGCCCTGTTGCCGATATTCGAGCCAGCAGTCTCCAAGAAGCTATTCGGTTTGCCTCTAGATGGAATTTGCTAGGGCTTGTTACGAATGCTGAACCGTTGGTGCTTAGTCCCAGGCTTGTGAAAGTCGTAAAGGAGTCAGGTTTGGTATGCGTTTCTTATGGGACGATAAACAACGATCCAGCCAATGTCAAGGTATGCTCACTCACTCCAGTTGATTTACACCTCCCATTTTCAAGGTCATCAGTTGCTTACCACTATTGGGTTTATAGGTCCAAGTCAATGAAGGTATTGACGCTGTCATTGTTGATAGTGTCCTTGCCATTCGACAAGGGTTAACTGGTGTTGAGGCATAGAGGCTCAGTCTTCGTTAATTGATAGAATCCAACTTTGTCACATAGATACAGCAGACGGCAGAATGATTTTTATTTTTATTCTCAATTGCTCTGCAAACTAATTAGAGCAATCACGAGCTATATAATTTTTTAAGTGGCCAAAGCCAGGTTGCCGACGCCTATTAACTCTTCGTGTGTTATCTCAAAACGGTTGAGCCTGGCAATTCTTATTGTGGTAAAAAATAACTTGACATTGTACACAATAGCGTGAAGCCTCCTAGTTTTCCAACGAAGCAGCCCTTTTATCTCACATCAAGCATCCGTCTTGAATACTCGAGTGCAAGTCACTCATTCCTACCCGTATTCGCTTGGGCTGGCTGTCTCCACGGAGCCCTATGCCATTCTGAAGCATGAATACTTCTACAAACCACTCATACCAAACTTTCCGGTCATCTGTCTGCCTAAACATGGTTAAGACAATGTCCGAGTTCTCAGGTATGTATAACGGACTCTAGAAAAAAGTTTTTAGCATCAATACAAGTTAAAATGCGATCCAGATTTACATACCTTCAATGGAAAGTAGATAGGAAACCAGCTTATCATATCCTTGCTTTTAGCATCCATGGTAAGAGGGTTGGTCGACAATTCAACATCCCGATATAGCACAGTTTCAAAGTATCCGGCCAAACCATGACATGTTCCACCTTCAGCGCACGGGAAAGTGAGCCTAGTTTGGCGAGTATTGTGAGAATTAGATGGTCTCGCTGATAACCTTGATTCCTCCGGTATGTTAGGATTGGGGTGCGAGAACGTCCACGCTGTCTGAACAATAGGGGTATCTGCTTCCTTAATGGGCGGCGGGGTTCCAGAAGGAGTTGAGGTTGAAGTTGAGGCCACAGTGCTAGAAGACATGCTGCCAAGATGGGATATCGCCGGCGCGGTGGTTGAAAGGTAATCGAATGCATGTAACATGACGACATAAGGGGTCTCTGAAGCAGCTGGGTTTGATTTGGTTTGATTCTTAATTTCCGCGTAAAGGCGAGGCGCTGAGATGGGTGTGATATGTGATGAGTAAGAGGTAGGAATAGAGATGCCATGAACCGGGTTTAAAAGATTGTCAACACCGTCAAGGCATTCTGGCGAAAGTTCGTTGTCACCAAACGAGCCCAGGAGCTCAGAAACGATGATGTCGATAGGATAGTTTACAGTAGGTGGTTTATTATTTTGAACTGCCGCATCTGGGAACAAGTTAGAATAATTTTCCATTGACCGTTCAAAAGGGGTCAAAACATACCTTCGGCCTTGACCTCACGAACCGGTCCCTTCCAGCTTCTCATGTCAGAGTGAACCAGAGTTACGCTTCCACCCCATACTGCTTCGTTCTGTCTCTGAAGGTGAACAAATGCATTTTGGTTCTTTTCTAAGGCCCACAGCTCAATGTCAACTCCAGCTTCAACACTAGCCCTAATAGCCCGAGAGACCAAAGGTCCACGCCCTGCGCCAACAACGGCTAATACAACTCGGCCATCATGACTAGAAGTCGGTTTCTTTTCCTGTGCCCAGTCTTTGAGAGCTTTCGCAATAGCTCGTTCATACCACTCATACTTGACGGGGTCCGTTTCGAAAACCTCGTATGTCACGCTTTCAAGGTTTACTGTGAGAGGCTGCAGTGGCGCTTGTAAGTAGTCTTGATATCCTAGAGTAAAGCTTTCCACACGAGTCCACTGTGGTTGTTTCCGCTCTAAGTTTCGTATGTATGATAAATGGGGCACTAAGTCCTCCTTTTTCTTCGGCGACCGCGCAGCCTCGGCAGGGGTTGGGGCATGACCGTCTAACTTCTCCAGTCCAGGTATCGGCCCAACATCGCAGAGGAAGATCCATGGAGGAATACCTCGCATTGCACGAAATATGTATGATTGATGCGCTTTGCTGAGAACAGGGAAATTTTTGGGATTTTTCACAAAAGACGCATTTGTCAATGTAAGTATACGAACGGGCTCCGACAACCATCTTGACTGGACAGTTGACGGAGGAAGCTGTCGCGTTAATGATAAAGCTATACCAAGTATAATTGTTAGCACAAATAGGTGACGAAATCAACCGTGTAGCAAGGAAAACAATCGAAGGCTTGATATGAAGGCTAGATGAAAGCAAGGTGTTTTTGATGGGCGAATATATTTTTCTTACCTACTGTTAATCTTGTATGATATTTACAGACTTTCCTAATTATATTCCATGCATTCCAGGTTCCAAACATATCCAACTTCGGGGATACTTCAGGTATTGAACTACCTAGGTACTCAGGTCTGGCAAACGGAGAAAGATCTCCCATTTGGTCCACTTCTAATTCAGGGTTGTCAACCACAGGTAGCCAGACATTGATTCGGATGTATGGTGCGGTCGTTAGAACCTCTTGGATGGCTCGTGCATAATAAATCAGTCCGTCCCCGTGCAAGCTTCCATGATGTAGCTTTGGGCCAGGAATTATAGCATGATGAACACCACAAAATGCAGCATATGCCAGTTCCAACAAGAGAACTTGGCGGGATATATCAGCAACCAATGGGTCTGGTGAACACATGTCTATCCATCGACTTGACACGGCAACCACATAACTGTTGGTTCCTTCTGGTCGCAAATTCGTGTCCGTAGTTGTGAATGAGGGTATTTTGAGAGGCGAAGTATTACGTGATGTAAAATACGTGCCTGTTGGGTCCTGAACTGGCTGATGAACAGTAGAAAGGTGGCTTGACAGCAGAGAAAGGACACGCGATTGGAAGTGCGGTGTCGTTATTGGTGTTGTAAGCATATCATACTAAATAGAAGTTAGAAATGGGCCTATACGTTTATATAGGGAGGCCAATATCATACGCCATTATCATGAGCCAATTGAGATATTTCATTGGTGATACGAAATTTCCTGTCAGATTCGTGTTGCCCGACGACAAATGTCGGCGGAGTTCCATCGGACTGGGCCATTTTGACTATATTGAAACGTAATAGTAGGCTCCGTTACTACCTAGAACCGCAATACTTTGAGTAATTGATCGCAGTTAAAACCCTGGCTATCAGGCCAGACTGTTTAGTTACCTAGCAGTTAGCGAGAAATCAACCGCAACAGCGGATAGTTAACAAATATCCCCGGGTCCAAGTCCAAATCCGAGGCTAACTAGTTAACTACAACTAGCTCTGGGTCAAAGGTGAGTGTAGGAGGCTATATCCTTCCAACAACCATGCCCTGACTCTATCGGACAGCCGGTGGGATTTTGATATCTCGGCAACTCTTCAACGATTCTCAAATTTGACACAGCGAGGGGAAAATAGTCAAAATAGATGTTGTGGTGGGCACCAGGCTTGGCAGGTTTGCCGCGATTCTCTCGGCTTACCTTCCTATCGTGAACCTCCCGCCAAAATTTCTATCGCTTTGACATTTTTTTTATATATCAACTTGAGGCAACCGAAACGACATCAGCTTTGAACGCGGACATTCTGCAAGCCAACGGCGCCTTGAGACCAGGAGACGCCACAGCTACGTCCATTCGTCGCCATGGCAGCTCGCAGTGACAGTGAAAATGCGTCTCGCGCCAAAAGACTAAAGACTACAGCGGAATCAGACCCTCGATCCAACCCATACCTTGCCCACATGTATGAGAATGAGGATGCATCCTGCGGAACAAACGATGAGTCGCCTCTCGCAGCTTTCCGGAGACATGAGACAACTGCAGAGATGGCAAGCGAGGTCGAAGGCGGGAGCGTAAACCCTTTTACAGGTCAATCGTTTTCCAGCCGATATGTGTCCATACTCAAGACACGTCGCGACCTTCCAGTTCACCAGCAGAGGTAGTGTTTCTCATATTAACATTTTCACCCTTTCAATATAATAATACTAATATTCGGACAGGAATGAATTCCTCAAGCTCTATCAGCAATCGCAAATTCTTGTGTTCGTGGGTGAAACTGGCTCTGGAAAAACTACGCAGATTCCCCAATTCGTGCTATACGATGATCTCCCTCAGTTCCGTGGAAAGCTGGTTGCCTGTACCCAGCCACGGCGAGTTGCTGCTATGTCAGTTGCGGAGCGTGTTGCAAACGAGATGGATGTTAAGCTTGGAGAAGAAGTTGGATATAGTATTCGATTCGAGGACAAGACAAGCTCCAAAACCATTCTCAAGTATATGACAGATGGTATGCTGCTGCGCGAAGCTATGCATGATCACGATCTTAAGCGGTATAGCACCATCATACTCGACGAGGCCCACGAGCGGACAATGGCAACAGATGTCCTTATGGGTCTTTTGAAGGAAGTTGTGTTGCGTCGTCCAGATATGAAGCTTATTATCATGTCTGCCACTTTGGATGCACAGAAGTTCCAGCGTTACTTTTCTGATGCACCATTATTGGCGGTTCCTGGCAGAACCCACCCAGTTGAGATATTTTATACCCCTGAACCAGAGCAGGATTACGTTGAAGCTGCAATCCGCACGGTCTTACAAATTCATGCCACTGAACCCGAAGGTGACATCCTTCTGTTTTTAACTGGAGAAGAAGAGATTGAAGATGCAGTTCGCAAGATTTCTCTCGAAGTAGACGAGATGATCCGTGAAGTAGATGCCGGGCCAATGAAAGTTTACCCCTTGTATGGCTCTCTACCTCCAGCCATGCAACAACGAATATTCGAGCCTCCGCCACCACCTCGAAAAGCTAAGGGACGCCCTGGCAGGAAATGTATTATATCCACAAATATTGCCGAAACCTCACTTACCATCGACGGTATTGTGTATGTGGTAGACCCCGGATTCTCGAAACAGAAAGTATACAACCCCCGTATTCGTGTCGAGTCTCTGCTTGTCTCCCCCATCTCAAAGGCCTCAGCCCAACAGCGTGCTGGTCGTGCTGGTCGTACCCGACCTGGGAAGTGTTTCCGTCTCTACACTGAGGGTGCCTTCAAAAAGGAGCTTATCGAGCAAACATACCCCGAAATCCTTCGTTCAAACCTATCGTCTACAGTCCTGGATTTAAAGAAGCTTGGTATCGACGATCTGGTTCACTTTGATCTCATGGACCCTCCAGCCCCCGAAACTCTTATGCGAGCGCTGGAAGAGCTTAACTACTTGGCATGTCTGGATGACGATGGGAATCTGACTGCTCTCGGTCGATTGGCCTCTGAGTTTCCTTTGGACCCTGCTCTTGCTGTGATGCTGATAAGCTCTCCAGAGTTCTACTGCTCTAATGAAATCTTGTCCATTACTTCGTTACTTTCCGTACCACAGATTTTTGTTCGCCCCGTCGCACAGCGGAAACGTGCGGATGAAATGAAAGCGCTCTTTTCCCACCCAGACGGTGATCACCTTACTCTACTCAACGCTTACCATGCATTCAAAGGGCCAGATGCACAGGCTAACCCTCGACAATGGTGTCATGACCATTTCCTCTCACTCCGAGCTCTGCAGTCCGCTGATAATGTCCGATTACAGCTTCAGCGCATAATGGAGCGCGAAGAAATCGAGTTAGTCTCTACGCCATTTGAAGATAAGAAATATTATGAAAATATCCGCCGCGCACTGGTAGCTGGGTTTTTCATGCAGGTTGCCAAGAAAGAAAGTCAAGGAAAAAGCCTGTACCGCACTGTAAAGGACAATAACGAGCCCGTTTTGTTACATCCTAGCACAGTTTTAGGATATGAGGCTGAATGGGTCTTATATAACGAGTTTGTCTTGACGTCAAAGAGCTTTATCAGAACTGTCACTGCTGTTAAGGGAGAATGGTTATTGGTAAGCCTTATATCCTCCATTCAGTTTTACTTTAATTCTTGTTCTTTCTGCGGATTTCTAACATATCTACTATAGGATATTTCTCCTGCATACTACGATATTTCTAGTTTCCCCAAAGGAGATATTCGGTCCGCATTGATTCGAGCCGGTGAAAGATTATCTCGAAAGGAAAAGATGCGATCTGATGCAAGTAAGAAAAGATGAATTTAATTGAAGCTTCGGATATGCGATCTACACTTAGAAGAGCAACCTGATGTTGTTGTTTTACTTCAATCTACCGCTTATGAAGGTTTTACCGCAGCCTCTCTGTTGCCAGCGATAATCATATAGACTAGACTCTAGCGAGCGCCCTCTATAGGGTGTATATGGAGTGACTGTTTATTTATTATCACTGTCTACAATAGCTGATGTACAAGTCTCTAAGACTATTCAAGTGATTACATTCACTCTTACGCACGGATTAAAGGAAGGTTATAGAATTACAAAATAGCCTATAGATAAATAAAGTTAATGTTCTGTAACACATATTAGTGTGTACAAAAAATTGCAGAAAATAAGCTAAAAATATAAAACGGTCATATCGCCTTGTGGTTGGCCTTTGATTGAATCTATAATACATAACAGTCGGGTTCGTTCTTCCTAGCCCTTACGAGTTTTATGAATTCCTGTGGATGATAGTAGTACGCTTAACTAGGTTCGAGGGCGTAGGTCATCATAAATATCCCAACTTAGACGGGAGATAATATATAAACAAAATTATACAGCGCCATTGCCACGAAGATTTAGCTATCTCAGCTAGAGTGTAATGGAAGTTAAAAAGGAGGTATGGTGGTAGGAGAATGTGGTTAGGGGATGGCATAGGGCTCAATTAGATGGGGAGGATTGGTAAGATTTGTGGGTACTTGAAGATGGGTATTTGTTGATTGTTGAGATCCTTTTTATCCGAGGGGAAACTTTCGTTGGGAGATTCTGTAATTCGATGGTAGTGGGGGAGACGGCTGAGTGAGGTTTTGGGTTTGTAAATTTGGGGGTTATAGATGTTTCCAAAGATGGTGTGTCTGACTGTAAAGGCTTGTGGGGAAGCATAGCTTGTATCATGTCCAATTGTGATTTGAGAGTCGCCATTTCTGCCTTTCGTGTTTGTCGTTCAATCTCTAATGCAATGTCGCGGATAGCTATATCCAAGGAGTGAACTTCATCCCGGATGAATTCAGTCTCGCTTGGCTGAGATAGCTTGAGATGCAAATTTCTCATGTTTCGCCTATGGCTCTCTTTGTCCATCTCAAACTTCAAATCACGGATGACCAACTCAGAGCTTCGGATTTTGTATGCAAGCTGGTCGTATCTCCGCTGGTATGATACTTTTCGGCCTTGTGTTATTGACACAGCTTGCTGGATGGACCCCCTGACGCTATTTGCAAATGCTCTGTGCCTCTCATCCATAGATAGATGAGAGACAGGGAGTTTAGGTAGTCCCGCAGCTGCGCGCCACCGTTCCAGCGTGGATAAGATAACGATTCTTTCATCTGTGGAATTGTAGGCATCTTGCCAGTCAATACCATGACCAGCAGCAGCCTTCAAAATTGAGCTCCCCAGCCTATCTTTTCCGCAGGAGTTGCAGAAAGCGGCCATATACAGTATCAATCGCTCAAACTGACCCTCATTGTCCGCCACCGCGGAAGATATGTAATCTACTACTCTTAGTAGAAGCAAGCCGCCCTTTTCCCAGTCCTGCTGTTGGGAGTAAAATCGGAGGTATGATCCCAGTATGTAGGGATTATCTGCATATCCGCGGTGTCTCATGACAGCTAGCCAGGCATCTGCCCTCTCTGGCTGATTAAAACCGAGTGCGGAAGATATAAGTGTACTCAAAATTGCATGGTCACTGCCCCTTGGCGGCACTGGAATCTCAATGTTGCCGACCTTGGTGAGTTTCCAATACTGCGGCAAGCGTAGCAGCTTCCCCCCTAACAGTCTGTTTAAGAAGCCGTCAAACCGGTACAGATCTTTAGACTTGTTAAAGAAATCCAATGTGGCTATAATCACTCCTTCCCCAAGAATAAGACCGTTTGGAAATATTGAGTCAATTATCATGTTCACCACGTCATTTTGCCTTGAGCGGCCGAACATCCTTATCATTAAGGATACGGAGAGTCGCGATAGCGGTTCTTCCGATGATAGAATATTCTCGGCAACTTTGACAAGTAAATCTCGAGATGTCAACTCGTCGTCTTGGTACATGGTGTACATCCGTTTCAGGTCCTCGTTTAAAGCAGCTCTCTCCGCAACCAGGTTTTCATGCTCCACTATCGTTATATTCCGGGCAAGGTCACCAAACCATGCATCCCTAGAACCTCGGAGTTTAGCTATCCTGACCCGGATATCTTCAAGCTCCTCTAGAAGCTTTTCTATTTCAATATCTGGAAGAATGCAAGAAGCCCGTGACGTAAAAGGTACACCAGCATACAGGTGGGCTAGAGCGGGCCGTAAAATCATCTTGATCGCGAGTTGTCTAGCGGCTAATCGCAAGATCGCCCTTTGCCGTAGAATATCATTGAGCGAAAGATCGCTTTCGTATCGTTCTATTTCGGCTTCAGACCTGGGGTCTACGTCCAAATCGTAATTAGTTAACTCGCGAGGGTGTGGTTGTATCCGTGGGGTCGCCGGATCCTCAACCCCTGGGTTGACGTATCCCACATCAAGCGCTTCTGTTTCCGAGTTTCGATATTGAGCTCCCACAGCTTGGGTCGATAATTCACGGCATCTGCGCTGAAGAGTATCCGGCCTTGTAGATGTACTGAATTTTCTCCGTTGTTGTGATGTTGTCGACGTCCGAGTCCTCTTCCTTGACGCCAGCGCTTCCAATCGACGGAGTTGATCAAGTTCGAGTGCTTCAACTTCAGCCTTCACAGCTTCGATTTCCTGTTGTCTCTCAATTCTTCTTCTTGTCTTGACGCTGGTATCCCATGCTACAGCGGTAGCAAATAGAGTAGCATAAAACCCGGTGACGCTATTTCCAATCAACATCCGTCTTCGGCTCGCGGCTGACACGGTTCGGTTCGACGCAGCATTTGAAGCAGAGCTCTTCAAACAAGAGCCACACCGGCAAGTATAGGCCTGTATCTGGGCCCGTGGCCAAAATGTCTGCATCATGCGGAATATGAACGAGGCATCGGGGAGCGGAGATGGAGGTTTAAAGAGCGCTTGGAAGTCGTATTCTATATCAGAGACGGTTTCCGATGTATGACAGTGACGAAATCCATATTTTGGTCGTCAATTGCTGGCGTTTGGAGCGACAGTACGGCATAAATTGCTGGTAGTGACGACCAAATCCCTCCATTAGCATAATTTCTCTCAGAGGCAAAATTGAGTTTGATATGTTACATAAGCAATGAGGTTATGTCTTGTGCAAACAGTGCAAACAAGCGCGCTTAGTGTAACGTATGCTTTGTTCTATCAGATCTACAAGGAGAGGCCAGCGGAGGGCACAGTCTGTTATCCAGAGCAATTGAAGGGCCCCCCATCACTGTCACAGACAAGGCATACTATACCTCACGATGATTAGCCCACGGAGTATTTTGCTAGCGCTTTTGGCTCTTACCCCAACTATTCTCGCCCACGGAACTCACGACGACAACACAGATCGCTCCAAGCTTGACTGGCCAACCCTCCATATGCTGGGTAGGTTGTTCAATCCAGCCATTTCTATGGCTGGACGCTCGTTTATTTTTCGTAATACTTTGTGCGAATGTATCTAACTAGTAAAAACATATTACAGAGGAACATCACATCACTTCATTCGACGCAAGATCTTTCTTTTCACTACACGATTATGATAACTCCGGGGTATGGACTACAGACGAAGTGCGACGAACGTACGGGCTAGATGATGAATCCAATGCGGCCTTAACTGAGGAACGAAAACAACAAATTCTTCGAGAAATTTTCAATATCTTCGACCCTCTAAAGACAGGGGTAATTTCAGCCAACGACTATGTGCGGCTTACAAAGGAAGGCAAGACGTTGCCGGATTTTGGAACTGGACCCGGACACCATGGCGACATGGAGTATGAATATGAAATTCATCATTTTGAGAAATACCACGGGGATGATGCGAAAGAGGAAGATTTGACTCATCCAGAAGATATTGAGCACTTTAAGAAGCATGACAAAGAGTATGCCGAAAGTCTGAGATTGGAAAAGCTTGAAAGTATGGATATTGTGCTGGCCAATGTTCCAGCCAAATTCTTGAAGAGTCCGAGCGCATAAGTTTTCTTACTTAAAAATGTCTGGCTGATTTAGTATATTAACGGAGTACATCATGCATAGCCATTCAGTGAACTGGATATGTTTGAACGAAGAGAATGCTGTATGACTTCATTTAACATGTTTAATAGATTTCTAATGCTAGTGTATATACCACGCTACTCGCAACGTTCTTTTTAGCATCGCATTTATTACTCAGTTATAGCAATGGCATGGCTAAGTATTTTTACTCTGCATTTCTCTAGTCGAGCTATGCAGATATTGGATATTGATGTCAAAAACACAATGCATCACTCCTGGGGCATAAGTCTTGACCTTCTCCACATGTACACACTCTACCTCGTTTGTGATATGAGCATCTATCATCTTTCGGCTGGATTGCAGCTTTTTAAACTCTGCAACAATTTCAGCCCGTTTCTTAGGGATTTCATGAACATCGACATTTTCATGCACATGGGCCCATCCCCCCATAAGTGGGTCTACCAACGCTGTAGCAGCATCCCAGGTATCCCTCGAACTTGGTAAGAGACCAAGATTAGCATGTCGTATTGGCTTCCACGCGTTTCTTGCCTCCATCTTAGCCTTAATATCCTGCATGATACCAACAGCAAAGGTGTTATCACCGTGGAAGGCAACCACGCGCAGATTGTCATCACACAACTCATCAAGCAGGTCATCAATTCCATGGACACTTCCTAAACTGTCCACTCTCAATATCCTTATTTCCCATTTATTTGCTTCACACCCTCTCCGCAGGCCTTCGATAGACCAACCGTTGAGTTCCCAAGCCCACACCCTAGCCACACCCATTTTCAAATACGAAAATGCAAAATAGCCAATTCCAGCATACAAGTCTATCACCGATATTTTTTGTACAGGCTGACAAAGCTGTTGTTCGTTCAAGCCATCAAATCTAGATTCTAGTCCCAGTATTCGAGCCTTCTCCACGACATTTCCCCGGCTGAACATTGTATATAATGGAGCCCAAACTTGAGTTATCCTGGAGTTTTGTACAGTCTTCACCCAGAATGCTTGTTGAAGATCTAACTCTGAGGGATGTATTTTTTGGTCTGCAGCGGGTATTGGACCAAAATCTCCATATAAAGGGGTGAGATCAGTCGGGCCTCGAACTTTGTTCTCATTTCCAATATGCGTAGTGAGCGAAATTGGAGCATTGACTGCTACATGAGTTACACCCATCGGTGTAAAAACCTCTGCTATGCATGCGTATAATTTTTGTAGTTGGGTTCTGCTTAAAAGTGAGATAAACGACTCCCATTGAGGGCTCTTATTGAAAAAATTTGGAGGCAGAAGAAGAAGAGGCCCATATATAGTAAATCTTTTACTGACAGAAGACAGTAAGCTGTCCAGGTCGACGTCGTTGTCCACCGAAAATGAGGGCTCAAGATGATTCTCAATGAAGAGTCTAACCCCTCGCTGAACAGAAGGATTTTCTGCCTTCTTTCGTGGCCGTCTTTCAGGTTTTTGTGACCCTGGGTCCTCCATCCTCGAATTCGTATACCTTTTTCGATCAGTACGGAGTATACTGTTAACTCTTCAGCCAGATATCTGCAGGTTGTTCATCAAACCAGCTTGAAGACAGTCAAAAGTCTGAACTCAGTCACGTGATGATCGTTTCCTGAAGCTTAACTAACTGAATATTGTTGTTCTTTTAATATCAAATACGACGACGACGACGAAGACAATTGAGATGAAGAAAAGGTTGAAGAGAAGATTAAATATATGAATTACCGTCAATGGTCTTTGGCTTTATTATTATAACTAACTATGAGCCATCTTCGCAGTTTTTCATGGCATGTCACCTCAAAGAGAATCGCGATTTCCAGCCAAAAAGGCGCCTCTAGATAAAGACAAGTTTTCTGAAAAACGAGGTTATGTGGAAACTTGCTTTGTCTGGGGAATTCCAAGCACCCAGTATCTGATCTGGATACGTCTCCTTCGAAGTAACAGTGCGGAAGAAGTTCATACGCCACTTGGAGCCGCGGGGAGTGTCCACGTTGAAGAGGGCAAGAGGTATCTGCACATCGGATGTCCACTTCCCCTGGGCTTGAGTAAGCGATGTCTTGGATGTGATTCCATCAGCTATGGGGTTGCTGATGAATGCATGGTCGAATGGAGCACCGTCTGCTCGGTTTTTGGATGGGTTGTAAACGAAGGCCTGGTAGGTGACGTTGTTGGGGTTGACCTCAAATTCGAGGTATGTTGAAGGGTCGTCATGACCAGAGGAAATAAATGCTTCCATCACTTCATATTTCCAGATATCGTCGTTCGTCTTTTGGGCAGGGTCGAAGTAGAAATACTTTTCGTCATTTGCCTCGAACTTCAAACTGAAGTCCTTGCTATTATAGCACAGTCTAACGGACGTCCGTGGGAATGGTTTCTGGTCAGGAACAGTCTTGTCGAAGTGAATAGCGACATTCCGGGGACATTTTGGAACATAGACGATAGGGTCATGGGCTACAGCGAAGCCGACGGCTGTAGCCACTGTGAGGGCAGAGTCAAGGCGCATTTTTGTAAAGACTTTTTTTTTGGCTATATCAGCTCTTTCTGAGCGGTTATGGAGGAAGGAGACGCAGGACAATACTTCCAGCAAACATTTACGCAAGACATGGGGCGACGCATCCACTTTATATCTGTCGTCATGGGTAAATATCGCACTTGCAGCTCTGGACAGTGAAAGGAATGGGATATATGCATAATTACCCCTGTGGAATTATAGATTGCATTTGCGAACAAAGCTATCGGTAGCTATCCAAGCCGAATGCAGGCAGCTATAATGGCATTTCCCTGCAGTGAAATGTAACACTCCAACAGGGCCTGGGTATCGCGATTGGCTGTCCCCTTGTTCCCTGACAGAGTTCAGCCGTCCTGAACCACAGAAGCTCACTACCACGGTGCCAGCGACATGTTTTCGACATGGCTTCGATTGGTGAACATGTGGAACATAAAATCCTCAGCGTTGCACCGTGGGATGCATCACGCGCGTGGCAGAAGGTCGACCCACTGCCATCCTCCGACTGCTCGTATTGAGAGCAGCAAGGAGAAAGAACTCGACCTGGGGAGGGTATTAGGAAGGAAGGATTTGCCTGGTTTGGGGATGTCCAAACGTTGGGGCTCCCAAAGGCCCGGCGTAAGAACGAGCTCGGATCGAGTAGCTACGGAGTACATGCACCCTTTCTCGGGACCGTAGTTACTTATATAGCACAAGGGTACACCACTGCCCAGCAAGCAAGCCGCATTCATAATCTGGGCTTGCCTCGCATTAATAGCTAACTACTCCTTGTTTTTAACTGTTTATTTCTAGGAAGGGGTTAAAAAATGGCTCTCTCAAGCAGTCAACCGCCCGCGGAGCGTAAAACGAGCCCAGGGGCACGAGAGAGGCCTGGGAAAGACTCAGCGTTAATAACTCGTCAACTGCCTTTATATCGATGCATCAAGGAAGTAGTTACAAGTGCGAGGTCGTCGGCCGACCATAACTAACTAGCTAGCAAGTTACCCAACTACCTAGTTAGTTAACTACTCGGTACTTGATGTTTATCGCTGCACGACGTGCATCCACTTTCATTGCCTCATGTCTGAGAAACTCCAGCAACCACTCGAGATGCAAGATCCAGATGACGAATTGCAGGACGTGTCTCCTCCACCGAAATAGTTTCCCATCTGCCACAGCATAGCTGATTCTTCAATTTCGGCTGGTAAAGCGAAGATCTTCCAGCTACTCGATGCCATCTCACCCAATTTTGCCCAATCACAGAATTTAAATGATGGAAGATTGACAAGAAATACGATATCCCTATAAATAGCCAAAAAGAAAGGAGTCTATATATACCCTCTTTGTCCCTTAGTCTCATCGTCATCAAGAAACTGTGACTTCGACCTTAATCCTCAAGCGGGGCCTTCTATGGAAGATACATTTCTCTAAGGAAAAGACCTAAATATTTATTCAAATATGAAGCTTCTACTCTCTGTCGTCCTACTCCTGCCCACGCCCATATTTGCTGCCGTGGGCGGTAGATGCTCCGGAGAATGGAACACGGATCGCTGTATCTGTTTGGACCACAACGTATGCACCAACACTTATCATGGATGGGCATATCAAGGAAATCCAGAGACAAAGAACTGGGCATGTCCTTTTGATGGAAATAACGTCTGGGGTTGTGAAATTTCGCCGTGCCCCGGTAAGGGAAGGAATGCGGTTTGCAAATGGAAGAACGAGTGCATAGGAACCGTACTCCCAGGTAAGTTGAATAGCCAGAAAAATGTCTTACTCTCCTATATGTCACGCCTAACAAATACTAGACCCGGTCTGCCCCGGCGGTGGTGACTTTGTTTGCTGTCAAAATCCTTGAATTACCCTCCCGGCCCGGAGTAAGGTATCCTCCTTACATATGACTGAATAAGGGAGCCCAGAGGGTTGGCAGTGAACCATGATGTTATGCATAGGGCGTTGGATTGTATATATATATCAGTATATATGCATACACTAAACTTTGAATGACTGAAAGGTTTCGTGATTCCATTATTTTACCCTTTGTACCGTCTGGTTTATCGCACGCAAGAGGTTCCGATTCCTATATACCCTTATATTCTATCCCTGTCCTACAGTTTCAAATGCGGATGTTGCTCCTTGGAAGGCTGGGTAGGCACATCCAAACAGCTAAACAAAGCACCAGTACTCCGAGTATGAAAGGTTGGAGAATCTCAACTCCTTTAGCTTGTGCAATAGCACCGACAGCAAAGGGCAGCGTACTAGCTCCCGAGGCACCCATGGCCGAAGTGAAGCCAATAGCAGCAACGTGGAGATTCCTTGGTAGTAGTTTCGTTGCAGCAACAACACCTGCCGGGAACAATGGTCCAAGGAAGAAACCCATAAATGCAACGGAGATAGCAGAAGCATAAAAATTTGGGACGAGCCAGAATACCAGGTCCAAACCAATACAGCATGCGAGATAGAACACAACGGCATGCTTTTCTGTTTTGAAGCATCGAGGGGTAACGAATCCTAGAATCATTCGACCTAGTGTAATGCCCAACCAGAAACCCGTAGCAGTGACTCCAGAATCGAAGGGGGAACCGTGTCGGACGTTTATCATAAATGTGACAATCCAACCTCCCAATCCGACTTCTGCGCCGGCATAAATTGCAAGGAAAACACTGCATATCCAGGTTACCCGGTTACTCAACGCCTCTGCCATCCTAGTCTTTCCCAAAAACTTGACCATGAGCTCGTTGGCCCTGACAGGAGGTGTGTAGGCATTGATATTGTTTTCGTGGCCTTCAACTTCATCATATGTGTCTCTGTGAGCCTCTCGGTATCTGGACCCAGTTGCACTCCAAAATGCTGGAAGGGAAAAGGTGAGGGACAAAAAGGAGGCACCAGCAAGCAAATAGTAAAACTCGTACCATTCCCAGCCAGCCTTTGTAATGAGAGCGGTTGCAATAAGGGGAGCAAGCATTCCTCCTAGACCATAGAAGCCATGTAGTAGACCAAGGAGTTCGTTTGCATTTGCCATGCCGCCTATCCATGCATTCCACGCTGCATCCGCAATTCCGTTGCCGAACCCAGCAAAGATGAAGGCAACAATGAGGGCCGGATATGGTGGATGAAGACAGACGGCGACGTAGGCCAGGATATGCGAGCATGGCCCAAGGAATGCTATACCACGCTGGCCTAGTTTCATATGGATCATGTTGCTAAACGTTGCCGCTGCCGCATAGCCACCCAGCGGCGACAGGAAGATCAGAGAGACGACCGTATATGAGATGTTATAATGTTTTTCGATCTAGATGTTCCAGTCAGTTCGATGCCGAGAAGCAGTTGGGCTCAACGTTTATACATACATATGGTATCACAGCCTAGCCAACATCAAAAGAAACGAGTTAGTTAACCAGCTATTTATTTCATCGAACTCAGCAGCAACTTAGCTGCTTCTTGACGGTGATGAAGCTCACTCCATATGCTGCATCGTTGGCACCGAGGATGATGAAGGTATAGTTCGCCGCTGCAAACCTCCACAGGTTGATAGCCGGCTTGTTCCATTTCGGCAGATTCGAGTGGGATGAATTGATCGAAGCTGAACGTCTGTCTGCCTCGTCAACTGGCAGCATAGAAACCATCAGCACTACTGGCTTGTCTCTTGGGTTAACTAGCATATGGCACTGGCTATACGCCTACCTTCTCTCATCTCCGGCTGGGGAGGAGACGAGTCTATACAGCCCTGGCTGAGGGTCGTCAGCGGGACGCTCATTCTGTCGACCGGGCGCCCGAGTTGCTTTGTTCCGATATATCTAACTATAACCAGCTATACAGACCGTCCTACGACGACGGGGGATTCGCATCAAGAGGACAATGGCGATGGCGATGTTGAGGAGGATGGCGAGAAGATGCAACTATATATGGGACTCCATAACTACCTAGGGCCTTTGCATATATAACTAAGCGGCCAACTTGGGACTGGATCTGCCGAGGACCGACCCAAAATCCGGCGGTCGAAGCTGGTTGGCATGGCTCGACGGATGGCGCATCCCGCATGGAGCGTCGCAGCTGGAGGATTCGTGGTTTAACTCACAGCTGGTGGAGTCTGAGGCCCGTAAAATCGACGTTTGAGAAGCCGGCGAACCCTGTCCTATGCGGGTGCCGGGGGGTGAGGGAGCCCTGTCTTCGGCAGCAGTGGAGGAGCCAGTTTCTTTGGCGGCGGGAAACCCGGAAAACCGACAGACAAGAAGATGATGAACGCTTGGGAGCGATCAGATGGCCCTTTTTCTGCGTCATTACGAGGTTGATGTGAAGGAGACGGCGTGATGCTGCTGATATGAAGTACCTTGAGCAGGCAGCTTCTCTTCCCATCGTCCGGGGAAACATTTGCCTATTACAGGTATTTATGGTCTCCGTTGTGGACTGGCTGGATGGACATGTTCCCTGCAGGAGAGACGAGGTTTGGTAGGCGGATCTTCGCGAGGAGAGACAGGTGGACATTATACATATATTCTGGGTACACATGAGACTGATTTCACCATCCAGCAGCATAAGAATAACAGCAAGTAAATAGACAAACATATACCCTCGTGAGATAACGCCCTTGCAACAGTAGAAACACAAAGATGCAATTCGCTAGTAAGAAAGAAAGAAAAACGAGTGAGCTGCCTCGAGACAGAGAGACCAGATAAACAGGACACCGAAGCGATTTTAAAACGTGAGGATGGAGCGATAAGCATGTTTGATTGACATGATTCACCCGCTGCAGCACCCGCAAACCCACCAGCTGCCTCTTGCTAGTGGTTTTGCTTATCTTTGGACATTCTTCTCTCCTCATTGGACACTGTCATACTTTTTAGCCAGGGCCAGGTCAGTAATCAGCTGCTGAAGATCCCAGTCTCTCACTGGAGTCGAGGACACTAGAAAAGGAACCAAATCAGCGAGTCTGGCCGCAAATCAACAGAACATCAAACAGAGGAAAGGAAGCTGGACTCACGAATGCTGTTTAGTGAGTGTACCCTCACCTCCCTTGGAAAGGTCGATGTTGAAGACGTAGAAAACGCCATCACTTGTCACCACCATCACCTGTGGGGTATTGCTACTCATTGCGACAACACTTCTCACAGGACCAGGCCGTGACTGAGAATTTGCAGTATGCTTGGGCAGTTTGATCCAGGCGAAATCCCGTGCCGGCTCCCACATCTCAGTCACACCTTTAGGCAGATATCCGCCTACCGTGGCAGCAACAGAGGTTCCGACTGTTTGCGAGGTTCGTCTTATCAAACCCATGAATGTACCATCGTGTTTGCGTCCTAGGAATCCGTCCATATCTGGCCCTTTATTACCAGAATTTTCACGCGGGCGGTTCCCTGGTGGTGGGCTGTTCGCGCTTCCAGGTGAACCGGGAGCACTGGTCGCCGTCCCTTGGTGGCCCAGTTTGAAGATGTGAACTGTCTCTGTAGCCGATGAGACACATAACAGAGTAGACGTAGTGTTGAATGACATGCTATATATCCTCGATGGCATCGATCCTCTGCGAAATTGATACAGTTTATGGCCGTCAGGGACTGAGAAGACACGGAGAATAGTGCCCTTGTCGGACGCAGTAGCGAGAAGGGTGCCATCGTTGTTCAACGCGATACATGATAGTGGCGATCGATGCGCTTCTATAACATTGATTGCTTCGAGTTTTTGAGCGTCGAATATTAGCACCTCTCCATTCGTAGGAGCAATGTGCGAGTTTCCAGGAGGAGTGTGAGTAGGAGCAGTGAATGACGGAGGTGGCGCTTTTTGCGGCAGCGGATAGGCAAGATAACAGTTATCGGAAGATGGAGACAAAGCACAAATAGCTAAATAATATGCGTATTAGCTTGGAGCCTAGAGTTATTCAAAGAAAAAAAAACCAGTGGATAAATGTAGCCATACCGTTCGGATTTGGCGATGTTTCAATCGTGTACAGTAGTTTCATCGTCTGAATATCGTAGACGTAGATCTGATCCTCCAGCACGATGACCAGGCGCTTTCTATTCAGGCGCACAGCGAGCACAGTTGTAGGGAAAGTCAGTTCGCAAATAATTGACTGCCTCTATAGAATCAGGCAACCATTAGCCACATGTTCAGGCAGAACGCACCACAACCCTGTGCCTTTAGAAGAACAACCCCCTCACCTTTGTATTTGTGATCTGGAGCCGGCGAGGAGAGAGTATCAGTGCGACAAGCGATGTAGAGAATAGCATCTCCAGCATGGCAATATTCCCTTCTTTTGTCTCATAGCTCTTCACGAAGGGGTCGGTTGAAAAAATGCGAAAGCCTTTCGAGGTACCTGAACAAGCCCGAGGGGGTTAACACATATGTCCAGTAGGAAAAGCTATCCACATGAAGAGTCATACCGACAGCTAGATAGCTGTAGTCCTGGTTGAAGGTGACGAAATTCATCGCCATGATGCGCCGGGCTGTCGCGTAGAGAAAAGAGACGAAAATGCAGACAAGGCAGTACGAATAGAGAGTTATTGAGGCAGTCCAACGCCACTGGTTGCAAGGCTGCCTTTAAGAAGTCGTTCTATATCCGGGAGAAGGGCAAAGGCAAGCCTCCAAGCGTCTGGAATACGTCAAGCGTCCAGGTTCCAAGGCATCCTATAAATAAAGAATCCAAACGGGAATGATAACAAACACAAAGCCGGTACTAGGTGGCTAATGGATAGAGGTGATGAGGAAATAATACTGCGCTGCTAGAGGTATGTCGAACGTTCCGCCAAATGTTGAAAATGGCTGATTCTAGCGACACAAGTGAGATGGACATTAGAGCAAACATCGCCGTTGAAATAAAAAGTGACGAAGTCATTCCGCAGTGCAGAGTGCCCTTACCTAAAGAGGCTTAGCGCACATCATATGACGCACGGGAATATGCACGGATCATTTTTGAGGCTTATATCATGTGATTCTTATCGATAAGCTAAAATCTTTATCAAGACTTGGCGTCTTTTTCCTTTACCCCGTCCTCCATTTTCAGGGCGGACTCCCGATTTCCATACGGGCTACCTTGACGAACAGTTAAAAATTGTGAGGATTACATGAGGAAGCCAGTATAGCACTGTGATGATGAGGAAAACCAATGAAATTCAGACGGAGAAGGAAGCTGGCATGGTGATGGGAGTAAGCGTTTCGATTTATTTGTGCGATTCTTGGTGTATCCTATCCGGCTAATGCTATGGTATCAGACGAACGGAAGCAGTATCGTTTCGAAGCGCAGTGTCGAGCGGATATACTACAAGGAGCCTCATTTCTTTCGGCATTTTGTCAAGTCCTCCCCACGACGAGCACCCTTGGTAAACCGAGGATATTGGCTGCGGATGTATGCCATAAAGCATACGGTTACGGAATTCCTCGAAGAGGTCACAGGCCGCCCAAAACTGGTTATAAATTTTGGCTGTGGATTGTGAGTCGATTATTTCTAGCTTCTTAGAGGTGAATGAAGGAATTTCGCACCAGCCCACCAGTATAATGGAAAGAGATTGCTAATTTTCCATCCGTCCAGGGACCCATTGGTTTTCCAACTACTTTCGCAAAGACCAGGCCTGTGCAGAGATACCATATTTGTTGATATTGATCATCGCAAGATGATGTTAGAAAAATGGGAGGCCATACAAAGCAGCCCTGAACTCAAGGAACTTATCCCCGACGCAATTTTGTCAAGCGGCGGCGGCCCTCTTATCTGTGCTAGACAGTACATCGGAATTGGATGCGATCTTGGAAATCTTTCAGAATTGGAACGAACACTGAAACCTGCAGTGGATACATCTGAATTCTCCATACTATGCATAGCCGAGGTGGCTCTAACTTATATGGCAGTCAAAGCAGCTGATGCATTAATATCATGGGCAGCAAGATTGAGTGATGGTCAGCCCTCACTTATCCCTTATGCCCTTATATGAGGCTAGGCCAATTGATAATGATTTACTAACTAGTTCATTCCAGATACCCAGTTTGGTCTGTTGGAGCAATTCTTCCCAGACGGGCCCGAACATCCATTTGCAAGGACAATGATAGCACATTTCACCAAATGGCGTGCTCCGCTTCAATCAATTCATATCTATCCCACTTTAGTCGAACAAGAGCAGCGATTCCTCAACGCAGGCTGGGAGCAAGCAAAGGCTAGAAGCTTGTGGGAAGCTTGGAGTGACCCCACCTTCATAAGTGCTGAAACAAGACTATCCCTGGATAAATCTGAAGCCTTTGACGAGTGGGAAGAGATTGCTTTGTTTGCTTCACATTACTTCTGGCTCAGAGCTAGTACGCGGGCAACAGCTGGGAATAGCAATGACGAAGCAATAGCTAACACAACCACGGCACCCCCAGATCCCCAAATCCGCATGACCACGAATTTTCAGGCAGATTTAATCAATCACAAACGATTTGGGGCCTTATTTTCTTTTGGTGGCCAAATTGGTTTTCATGCGGGGCTAGGACAACAAGCTCGGCTCTCATCTACAGATGTATATTTGCAATCTGATACCATGCATGCTCCAGTAAAAAGCGTGCCGCCAGAGTCACTTCCGGCACGGGGTATGCCATACCATCACGCAGATGTCGAATAACAGATATCTATTAGTTGGTGGTAGAACGTCCCCCGTCAAAGGCCTTGGAGGATACCTGGTTAATGGACGGAGGTATCTGGCGACAATCATGCCCCTTTCCAACAGCATCCTTTCGACATTCTGCAACCGCTGTTATACTTCCCAGTGGCGAAGAAGGTGTCCTTGTCTACGGTGGAAAAGTTGTCCAATGGCACTGTGACCGGGCAATTTTCTCTGTGGAGAAACATCAGTGGCATAGAAACTTGGACTGTGTTGTCGAAAAGTGGAGGATCCTGCATGCCGCGCTTCGGGTCTGTGATATCTAGCATCGGCAAGGGGAGAGGAGTTCTTACTGGAGGAATGTCGCAGGATGGGTTAGTGTTGGATGACTTTTGGACATGGCAGATATCCACAGATGATACTGGAGATATATCAATCCACCTAATCGATCAAAAAGGGCGATTCGAGACCTCACACCCGCAAATATCCAAGTGGGTTGGTCGTTTCGGCGCCACAGCGCATCGACTTGAAGATAAGCTTGTTCTCATCGGAGGCATTGCTGTTGGCGGGTGTATACCACATGGGTATGAAATCATAACCCTAGACCTGAGCATCTTTGATTACGACGATGCCAAAAAATTGCCTATACAGATGGTCGCGAGATCATCTCCCACCCATGCACGACCACTCTTGGTTGGCCACAGTTCCATCCCTGTTGGTGGAGGCAGTGTCCTAATCGCAGGTGGAGGAGCAGTATGCTTTGCTTTTGGCACATACTGGAACAATGGCACCTGGCTGTTAAATGCTGAAGGTTCATGTAGCAGAAATAATGAATGGCGAATGCTTCAGCCATAGTCAGGGTGTTCTGTTTCCAGAACGGCAGAGACCGATCAATCATCTAGCATGGAGCATCCCATTACTGGCATTGGCGCTGGGAGTTAAAGGATAGAGAAGTACCTTTTAAAAATAAACGAAAGGTTACTCGGCATTTCAAGTAAACGAGATACCGGTGAAAAAGCAAAGCAAAACATAGAGCGTCCCTGATATGTCGATAATACCGTCACGGTGTTAGTGTGAGGTTGCGGGTAAATCGCTTTCAAGAGGCGTGGGTTTTCAAGGGGTGCGCAGAATGCGACTAAATTTTCCCCAATTAGCGAAAAAACGATCACCTGCTGTTAACCACTTACTAGGGGACGAGCTAGTTGTGCTGTCCAACACGCGCGTCGTTTCCATTTCTGGACGCTCTCCTCAAGCGATGCTATGATCTCGCATAGTTCGAGAAATGTGAGTTGGGCATCAACGTGCATATACAAGCGCCCTATCGGCTTGCTTGATCGCTATGAAAGAAAAGGAAAGTAGAATGCGGAAGGCTCGTATTTTGGTCAACTCCTCCTCGATCCTCGCACTGTCCGACCTGGCCCACGAATTAATGCATCTCCAGAGTGTGTACGGAGTTTAGGCGGCCTGGGCGCTTCACTTAATCTCTGTGCTCCACCGTGTCTCCACTGGTGGCATCATGGTGACTGTCTAAGATGTTCTCCCGCATACGGTCATAGAGCGAAGATGCATCAGCCAGGAGACAGAACCAGTAGATGCAGATCGTCAGAGCAGTGTAACCCACACACCCTCTCGCTCTTACAGTTTCCTTCAGTCATACCTTCGCTGGCTAGCTGATGGATGGAGGGCGGGCGACAGCATCCATATTCCTTTTCTCCCGCTGTTTATCTTCAATGCAAGTATGCAGTACGAGCGCAGTACTTTCTTGTTTTAGTGTCCGAACACGGAATCAAGGTCGCATCCTTGACATGTCGCACCTCCGGCTATTCCGCAACAGTACATCATAGAAAACCGTTGAATCAGCCAACCATCTCAGCCCAAGCACACCATAACCGTGTTATTCCCTCCACCTCAACAGTCTCTCTCCTCGCGCATGCATCGTCTTCTCTCTTTCTCTCTCCTTTTCTCCAACGCAACTCCCCAAAGTCTTTTTCCTTTTGATATCAACTTTATCTTTCTCTGCCTCTTTTTAATCTTTTCACGTGACAAGAAGCTTCCATGCGTCACGTGTTCCCATTGGTTAATTCAACCTCCAACGCATCCTGAAGCAGACTAGCGGCCCCTGTCCTCTCCACTTTTCCGCGTTCTTTCCGGTTGGCCTCGAAACGCTATTGGCTGCTTGTACCAAGTACCTCGCGCTTGCGGGTGGCGGCTAACTAACCGAAGTACCCAGTACCTTGTCTCCATCGATCCCCGCCTCCGACCCTTCTTTTTCACTCCTCCGCCGTCCTCCATCTACTACTTCTTCCCGCCCCCTCCCCCATTCGGCTGCACTCCAGGGCGTCTTCATCCTCGTCTCAGTGGTATGCGCATAACTCATATACCCCCTTATCCTTACCCATCGCCGCCCTTTTTTCCTTCTCTACGTCGAGCGTGCCACCGCATGCTTACATATTGACGGTGCATTTTCGCGGCTTGTTTGCTTTGCCATCCTGAGGCTTCAACGGCCAACAATACTCTTATCTAGACTCATCTGACACAGAGGTAAGCTGGCTTATATATATGTTTATATATCCGTTATAGACCGCAAATCGCCATCATTGAGGGAGCAAGAGTTTCGGCGGGACTTAGCCATTAGTCAAAAGTAACCAGATGCTAACCCTTGTTGCTCTACTAGGCACTATGCCATTCGTTGGATAGAAGTTCCCCAGTCGTCTATACTTCAAAAGGATACACCTATTAACCATCCTGCCCTGTGCTTCATTCCATAATCACAAGCCCAACCATCTTGTCGATACCTTCCTACGCTACAACAACATTGGGTGTCAATCGGGCAGATAATGTAGC